GTGTCAGAGTTAAATGATTCACTGGTGTATTTTTTTTCTCGCCCGGCTCTGAGTTTATCTGGAGCTGACCCTGAAATGACCCCAGAATGACCCCGGGGTGAAGATTGGGACAGGAGGTGAGAGGGGAGAGAGAGAGACAGAGAGAAAGGAGAGAGGGAGAGAAAAAAGAGAGAGGAAAGAGCGGGAGACGGGGAGAAGGAGAGGGAGGAGAGAGGGGGACATAGAGAGGGGGACAGAGAAAGGAGAGCAAGGGGGAGGGTGGGGAGAGAGAAGGGAAGGAAAGAGGGAGAAAGAAAAGAAAAAAAAATAGAGAAAGGGGCGAAGTGAGGGAGATAGGAGAAAGAAAGAAGAGAGGAGGTGAGAGAGAGGAAGACAGGAGTAAGGTAGGAAGAAAAGAGAAAAGAAACATGTGCACTAAACCTTTCAGGATCCCATGGTGACAGATATGTTTAATGTCATACTGTGGAACATTCCTCTAGAAAAATCCAAATTTCACTTTGTTCTTGCTGTAGAAACCGTGACACCATGAGGAATGTGGAATTACAAAATGATGAATACTGTAGGCCTATAACATTACTCCCTCATGCTAAGTTAAAGTTACAGTGTGCAACTTTCTGGAGGTGTTATGTCACCCGCGTGACTGTGTAGAAACACAAAGTTAAAACCATACTTCAGAACATTCTTCATAGAAATAGACCATTCGTGTCATAGTGTGGAAGATTACTAGCCTGATTCATCAGTTGGTTTTACCTCGTTTTACTTCGTTTCACTTCATAGAAGTGACGGTTTGTCTGACCTTAGATTTCGTTCTCTCGATGGTAGACGGGTACTTTTTATCATTTAACCAGTCGCTGCTGTTTGGTTGTGATGTATGTAATGTGCCGCTAACGGAGCTAACTGGTATATTAAGCTTTTCCCAAATCCTGTAGGAAGAAGAACAATAACATCTTTCCCCTTGATGAAATTCACCAAACATTTTCTTTGTTCCGGCTTTAAATCCTCGATCTGGGTTAATGTTAGGGTTAACAACACAGAATATATGGCTCTTCGTTGATTGGCTGGTGCCTGAACTTGTACTTCGGGGTTTTTGCGAACCGTGTATTCTGATTCCTGACCTAGTCACTGGAGAGAAATGAAATGAGTGGAGGCACTAGATGGTGCCAGCCTGGCTAGAAGATTATAGCCAATGGAACATTTCAATGGAAACAAAGAGTTGAGGCCCTCCTCCAGGCCAAGTAAGAGTCAGGTCTGTGGAGATGCAAGCCTGTTCACAGTAAGGACACAGGTGTTTCTATGTTTTTCAGGACAATAAAACATTAACAAAAAACTTCTATACTACGACCAAAGGTTCAGCTTCTGCTCACCTGTGTGGTCCTCTACCGCCACCCTCAGGACACATGCAGAATTGAGAAAAAAACGTTTAGAAAAACTTGATGAACAGCACAAAATATACATGCAAAAATAAATAATAATAATGGAATGGAATGTAAATGTGCTTATCATTATCTTGAATTTTGTGAAGATGAGACTGATAAATTAAGTCAAATGATTAAAGGGTATCATGTGAAATGGACCTGTTAGCTCACTCTAAACTCTGTTTCAGATCCTGTGTGCATAATGGACTCTTGTGAGCTGTAAGACATGTAACATGACAGGAGGTAACAATATAATGTTGTTACCTCATCAGAATGCTCTTTTCCACCTTGTGATGTCATGTGGTAATACAGGAAGTGCTCCACCGTGTTTTTAATCTACATACACCTTCACAAGAATCATTAGGACGATTTCAGATTTTTCAGAAGTTACTAAAGGTAACTTGAAAATTACTGCTTCATGACATCACAAGGTGGAACAAAGCATTTTGAGCTTTGGAGATGTAAACTGGCTAATAATCCAGAATTACTCAAACATGTGTGAATGAAACAAAATACAACTCCAGGTCTGTTTTTGAGGAGGTGACAACATTCTATCATGTCTTAAAGCTCACAAGAGTCATTTTTGTGTAATATAGGACCTGTAAAGATTAAACTTAACCCTTGTATTGTGTTAGAAAGCTACACGCGTCTTTAGTGTTACCGGGTCAAATTTGACCTGTGATTTAACTCAGCCTGAAAATACTTAAAAACACTAGATATCATCCAATATTGTTTTTCACCTCATAACTAACTTAGTATGTGTTCATGTCCATGGAAACATTTTTTTTTTTTTTTGACTCCACAGACCTTTTATCTTAAAATATACCACTCGTTTTTTATTACAAAAACTGCTTAAATTCACTAATTATATTTCCTATAGTGATAAAATTAGTAATTATATTATATAATTATACTATAATCATAATAATTTTATATATAATACATATAATATAAATCTAATTTATATAAGTATAATTATATTGGGTGTCAAGAGGCTTGATGACCATGAACTGTCACTTTTTCTTGACTTGAAGACGTCTCTTTCAGTCTTTGTGACATCTGGGTTCTCCTATACGTATTAACCTGCGACACATGATCCTGATTTTTTTTTTTTTTTTTGTCCATCCAAAAAGTCCTATTCATAACATATAACCTGGCTCTAGATTCACTCCTGTAACCGTGAGCTTCATTTGAGCAGCGCCAAACGCTGTGGGTGACGTCACACTCACTTAGTCCACTTCTATTATTCAGTCTGTGCCCTCATCATCATCCTCAGACACATCTTCCTCAGCTTCACTTTCCTGTCTGTCTTCAGAGTCACTGTCATGACCAAAAATCTGATCCAGTGCCTCATAAACAGTGAACCTGCTCATGTTGACTGATGCTGCAACAGAATACAGCTGATAATATCTCACTGTTTATATATGACAATGTTTATTTTTGATTCAAAATGTATCAATGTGCTGCGAGAAAGAGAAGAGTTCACGTGGGTGAAGACGACCTTTTTATGTGTGTGTGTGTGTGTGTGTGTGTGAGTATAGATTCTACGAGAAAGTTTGAGTTCACGTGGGGGAGGGGTGGTGAAGGGGGCAGGTGTGTGTGGTGTTTACGCGCGCGCACGTGTGTGTGTGCGTGTGTGTGTGTGCATGTGTGTTTGTGTGTCTGTGCGTGTGTTCTAGTTTCTACGAGAAAGTTTGAGTTCATGTTGTGGAGATGTGGTGAAGGGGGCCTGTGTGTGTGTGGGGGGTTGCATGTGTAGGGGTGCGTGTGTATGTGTGTGTGTGTGTGTGTGTGTGTTGTGGGGCACACTGAGCCATATTTGATCCACAGAGCAGCCTACAGCTTGTAAGTGATGCTTAAAACAGCCACTATTCTCTGCCGGGTCATTTTTGACCCGTAACACCACAGATGTTACTTTTTTTTTCAGACCTTTACAGTTTACTAAAATGGTGAAAATTAATTTTTTTGTGTTAAAATAGTTGTGTCTGAGGATTAGATGAAGCCTCGTTCCAGTACAAAAAAACAAATGGCAGTTTTTACATACCTAAACTTGAAAACGGGTCAATTTTGACCCTAACACAATATAAGGGTTAAGTGAAATGTTTGAAATGTAGTGGTTTAAAAAGTTTCATAAACAGATCTTACATATACTTATAGCTTTTGCGGTCATTAGTTATCATGTATAGCGTAGCCTAGATCTTTCAAACTTTTTGAAAATGAATCTGACCCGTAGTCTGACCTCCTTTGCACATGAACGTTCTCTGAGTTTGCTCTGTTCTATCACTGTTTTGTTTTTCTTCTTATTCTTTCTGCCAACACAAAGACTCTAGAGCGAAGAATCAAAACTTCATCTGAGAACAGCACACACTTCAAGTTTAGGGGATTAGGGAAGAGATGAGGGATGCAAGGAGGAGGAGAGAGAAGAGGGCAGCGTATATAGGAAGAGAGGGATGGAGGGAGAGAGAAGGGGAGGATAGAGAGGAAACAGAGAGGGGAATGAGTGAATGAGGAAGAGGAGAGAGAAATGAATAAAGAGAAGGGGGGAGATGGAGAGTCATCACTATTTCCTGGGATTATAGACAGAGGCCATAAGAAACAATAGTATAGATGTAGAATAATGATTTGACATAAACTTGGGGTGTTCTACATGTATGTCTATAGTAGAATGTTGCTGTTGCTGTTCACATGGTGACACAATGTACACATAGCAATCACTGTCAAAAAAGTTTTATGATGGTTTGAAAATGGATTTAAACCACACATTTCAGGACCCTGGTTCTGTTTCAGGTGTTTGAGTTTGTAGTTCTTTCTAAACCAGTTCTTTCTGGTCAGATTGTGTTAAAACAAAGATCAGATTAAAGTCTAACTTGAATAACAGCTTCAGACTGACTAGAACCTCCAGTTAGCATCACACCCCCAGAGAATGTTGATGAGATTAGTTGAGAGATTAACTTGTCAACATAGTAGCTAAATTACTCAAAATGGACTCTGGTGAGCTTTAAGCCATCTTAGAATGTTGTTACCTTGTCAAAAACAAACCTGGAGTTGTTTTGTTTCATTCACACATTAAGTAAACCTTTATTATTAGTCTATCTGCATCCCCAAAGCTCAAAATGCTCTGATCCACCTTGTGATGTCATTAAGTGTGAGAGAACTCAGCCTAAATCTGCAGGGTTTGTGTGTTAACAAATCAGAAAGAGCATAATATGGGCCCTTTAAATAATCACTCACATCAGATAATGTGGTTTACATTGTCACTTAAAAGTCCCATATTATGCAAAATGAACTCTGGTGAGGTTTAAGCCACATTAAACATGTGTGAATGAAACAAAACACAACTCTGTTTTGGCGAGGAAACTACGTTATAACATGGATCAGAAAAGTATAAGATCCTAAAAAAAAGTCTCATTTTGGTGTGCATATGAACAAAGCACTGTAGTTGTTATTATAGTTTCATTGTTGACATGATATGTTTGACAAAAATATAATTTAGCTTGCAAAAGTGAACGTGCCAAAATGAAAATCCTGATGCCAAATTTAGTCTAAATGAATTCTAAATCCGGAGCCAAAATCATGAAAATACAGTGAGTTTTTAATATGTTTTTATTACTGGAGTGTACAGAGCTTTTGTTACAGTCTTCAATTGTGATTCATTAGAAAGCATTTTACATTTCTGTTTTTGTTTTTTTTTTTACATAAGAAAAGGTCATTCGGAAAAGTCCAAAATGCAGCGGAAATAGCGCAGTCCATGTTCAGATTGTTTAGAGTCCCGATTCAATCCCAACTCAAATCTGCTGCAGGAAAAAACATGGAGGAGCCAGTCCAATTGTCAACTATATAGCGCCATCTAGAGGTGAATAGTGGAAAAAAAAAAATGAAAATCTAAAGCAGCTACAAGTGCAATGAGGTCGAACAAAGACAGAAACACAGAATCTTCTGAATCAGGTTTTTTCTTTCTGCTTTTTAAAAGATCGTCATGAAAATCAAAGTAAAAATCTACAGTCCAATATTTTTTTTTACCATAATATTTCACAAGTACTCCATCAATATAACACATACAAACACACAATAGAACTGATGAGCACTGCAGAGGCCTCAAATCTCTAAGTATCACATGATTATGGATTTGTAATTCATCTTATGATAATTAAAGGGATTGTATGAATAACTAACACAACGGTTAAAGTTGACACGCTGTTAGGGTTAGGGAACAAGATGGAGCAGAGGAGAGGGTCAGAGGATGAAGTGGAGAGGGGGAGATGGAATAAAGGAGAGGGTCAGATGGAGCAGAGGAGGAGAAGACGGTCAGATGGAGCAGAGAAGAAGGGTCAGATGGAGCAGTGGAGCAGAGTAGAGGGTCAGATGGAGCAGAGGAGAGGGTCAGATGGAGCAGAGGAGAGGGTCAGATGGAGCAGAGGAGAGGGTCAGATGGAGCAGAGGAGCAGAGTAGAGGGTCAGGTGGAGCAGAGAAGAAGGGCAGATGGAGAGTTGAGAGTTGATAGAAGTTTCTGAAATACTTCAAAGACCACTATATGTTTTACAGCTTGCCTTTCAATGTTTGTATTTAGCCTGGCAACGGTGATGGAGTGGGCTAAGCATTCACCCTCAAATGAGACGGTTGCTGGTTCAAACCTCACTGTCCCCATGACAATTCCTGCTTTATGCCTACTTCACAATATGGAGCTGGCTGGGAAAGGGAGGGCATCTGGCGTAAAAACCTACCAAATCACAGTGTGACTATTTTTTTGCAGCAACTTAATATCCAAAGGTATACTGTATGTATAAAACATCATTTGATCATTCTATTGTTCTATTATTCTATTTAATTAAGTGAAATTTGAAATCTCTGCAGTGCTGGTTTTGCCTGTTTAAATAAAAGGCAAAAATAACATGAAATTTTCAGAACACGACACAAAAACTGAAAATTATTTATGAATTTTGTTAATTTAAACTTAATTTTGTTACATCATTACCATCTGAGTTTACAGTACCAGCGACAGAGATGCTCCCAAAAGAACATGAACCATACCGAACATGTCTGTTAGTGACAAACTGAAAAGAAACCGTCTTCATGCACAAACCCGTATCAGGGACTTCACATGAAGCCCAGGAAATGGAGGAGTAACCATCTCTTGATCCTAAAATTATCTTTGAAATTATGTCTTTTTTTTAGGTTTAATGTATGCACTGTTTGTCATAAAATACCGCCGATTGAACAGCACATTTTAAACTAGAAATAAGAAATTAAAAACTAGAAAATACAAACAATAATGCAAAACAATTCCCGGCCTTAGAAAGATTCTTCATGTACAGAGGACCTCATTAGCTTTAGCCGTTAGCTGTTAGCCACTAGCGTTAGCCTTAGCTGGTCTCCAGCTTGGCCATCTCCTGAACGTAGATGCCGATGCTCTCGCTGTCGAACAGGACGAAGTAAACCGTTTTGATGGTGGAAGACATCGTCGCCACAAAGTAACTGGAGATGGCCTTCAGGATGAGCTGCGCTGCTGTCTGCTTTGGGAAACCGTTCCTGGGGAAAAAAGAAAAAAATATCTTTATTATAGAAGGGTATTCTCTCTCAAAATCAACTTTTTGGACTTTCCACAGTCATCAAAAACACACCTGAAGGTTTTAGACAGAATCAGATCAGGTGGTACAGAATCTATGACCAAGAATCTACAATAATACAAATTTTCTGCTTCCTAGCTCTATTTTTTATGAAGTAATGGTCTCTCAAACATGCTTATAAATTAAGGCTTCCGAAAAAGAGCATGCCCCCCCCCCCCCCCCCCGCGTGACTATAGATAGTATCATTTGTCTATAAAATTGTTATAAGTACACCTGTGCGTAACACTGCCACCTTATATGACGCCAACAACGCTCGCTGGTTTACTGAAGTAGCAGTCACAAAGCGGGATGATTGTCGGCAATATTCGGCACGTTTTCGCTGAAAAATCTCAAGCGGCTTATCAGAGTGATTGGGGTGTAATGTATTTAAGTGACGCCTTAATTTATTGGGCTTCATGCTGTCGGCTGCCAACATTTTTAGACACAGTAAGCACACCGGTCTTTCCTCGTCTCCCACCGTAGTCACAGTGAAGCCAAGCGCTACATACACTTCGTCATATTTCCTCATCTTAACTTTCGGGAGATTTTCGTTTGTCTCTTTATCTCCGTCTCTCTCCGTCTGTCTTCTCATCCCTGTTAAATATTTTTTCATGGTGTCACTTGAGGGTCTGCTACACTTCGTGTCTACACTTCATACTCAAACTCTGTGCTGTGTGCAAAGCGCGCATACTCAGTGCAAACAAAACTCCTGCACCACCGAGCGAATGCTCCCTGCGCACACTCTGCCAATGAGAGCGCCACTGCCCCCTAATGTAGTGGAAGTGCAATTGCACTTTATTCTAAAGGCCCGTTCAGACCAAAGCGTCAAAGCGTCCACTTTCTATGTAAAGTCTATGTGGACGCGCGACTAGAGCGTCCTGCGTTTTTGCGGCGCGTTTTCGGCGTCAGCGCGGCGCGGCGCGAATCTGGCGTCAGCGCAGCGCGTCTTCAGCGTTTTGGCGTCAGCGGCCAAGACGCGCGTCCAAGGCGTCAGCGTCAAGAAGTTGAAAATGCTGAACTTTTCGCGTCAGACGCGCCGCGTCAACCAATCAGGGACGAGTATCCAGAGACGCAGCGACGTTATTATCAGGAAGCAAGACCCGAGAACCAGAACGAGAACCACAAACATGAGCGGAGAATAAATATATACGCCACAATCACCGAGCCGATCGCGAGGAATACACCAGGACCGGACCAGGACCAAACCAGGACTAGACCGAGACTAGACCGAGACTAAACAAGGACTAGACCGGGACTAGACCGTGATTAGACCAGGACTAGACCGGGACTAGACCGGGACCTGACCGGGACTAGACCGGGACTAGACCAGGACTAGACCGGGACTAGACCGTGATTAGACCAGGACCAGACCGGTATTAGACCAGGACTAGACCGGGACTGATCCAGTGTCATTAGCGGAGTATAAATATATATACGCCCCAGTCGTCGACCCGATCTCCTCCTTTGATGTTTTATGTCATAAAAACACTCTCTCAGTCTGGTCTGACATTGTTTCGGGAAAAGAGCGGGACCGGGCTCTTGTTTCCAGGGCAACGGACGCGCGTCAAGTATTTTTGTCCCGTTCGTCCACGGCGTCAAAGATGCGCGTCGGGGGCGTCTAAACTCAAATGCAAAGGCTCCAAATAGAGGCGTCAATGCGTTTTTTTGACGCTTTGGTGTGAACGGCCCTTAAGACCCCAGGGGGGCGCGCCCCACTATTTGAGAAGCACTGCCTTAGTGTGACATCACAACATAGTCAGCGTGCATCCCACTAATGAAACATCGCATCAGGTTTGTCCATTTCTGAAGTATTGTTTTGTATCATGTGTATAGATATTTATGGAGAAAAGCCGTGCGGAGGGCTTAAGTGCATCTGTTTAATCACACTTCATTTTTCTGCATTAGAGATGGGACAAGACAGAACACACCAGCGAGACAAAATGACATTTTGACAGAATTTATCATAAATGTAGTGGTTTTTCTGTTCACAATTTTGATCCTTACATAAAGATATATCCAAACGCAACCTCATGTGTGCACAATCTAGTGGAAAATTGCTCTTGTGACACGAGATCTCGCCCTCTGGGTTGTAGTTGATTAACTGGTCAGGACATGTCTTTAGTTCACCAAGAATTTTAGTCGACTTACATCCCGACTTGTCCCATCCCTCTTCTGTGTGATGTAAAAACGTGTATCTCACCGCCCGCTGCCGATGGAGGGGAAGGCCACAGACTTGAGTTTCTTCTCGTCGGCTAAAGCCAAACAGTTCCTGACGGTTTTGTCCAGAAGCTCCTCACACTTGTCTGAGCCCCAGCCTGGACTGTGGCAGTGGATCACGTATTTTGCAGGGAGCCCGAAGCCCGACGTCAGCACCGCTACAGTGGGAGAGAGAGGCAGAGAGAGAGATAACATATTTAGATCATAAATGTTACCTTTCATTGTTTTGAAAATGCTACTGTATAGTCGCCGAAAAAGAACACATTAACATGTTTAAAAATGTTCACTTGCATTTTTGAGTAAAGTCACTCCACCTTCAGAGCACCACCACAACACGTGCGTCCCGCTAATGAAGCTGCTGCACATCACTTCAGGTTTGTAGAGTTGCAGAGTATTGTTTTGTATCCTGCTTTTAAATTCTAGATTTTATCCTAATCTGGGTTTGACTTAACTCCAGCCCCCAACGAAGAAGTTTTAGAGTGAAACTGACCTGCCTCTGTTCACTCCCCAACATCATTATGGGTTGTTATGCTCCAACTGCATATTAGTGGTCTCACCTGTCGCGTTGTTATCATGTTTTTTACACTTATGCAGAACTGTCATGTGGGAGCATGGGTAACATAGACTTGTGGGCGGAGCCTTGTATAAGATTGTTCTACTAACTGTAAGGAGGGTTTGAATAGGATCCAGGAGAGATCGCCAGATTACTCAAACATGCAGGGATGACACAACCTCTCCAGGTGTGTTTTTGATGAGGGAACAGTAGTGTTATATCATGTTAGAAAGTCCAATAGGTCAATTTTGCAAAATACCTCCTCTTTAAAAAAAACATACACAAAACTAAAGACCAAAGCATGTGGAGGTTTTGGACTCTTCATAATCCCAAATCAAAAACATGCCACAAATGTCTGGATGTTTTTAGCTCATAATAATGTAAGCGTCACATTATCCCCTTTGTGGATTCCACTTCAGATTGACTTAAAGATTACAGCATCGTCGGCTCAAAAATCACTTCTCCAAATCTACAAAATGTCTGGAGAATTAAACATCAGATTTTGCAGTTCAAATGCAAACGCTTTAGCCTCCATCAAACTCAAATCGGCACCATCAGAAATCCTGCCAGAGAAGAGAGGAGAGTGCTGTGAAGAGAAGAGATGTGCCGCTCCACTTCATTATCCGACACAAAAGTGAGAGAAGTCTTAAGGCAAGTAGGTTTCCAGATGTTTGAGGAGGAAGCTGATGATGGAGCAGAGGAGGTGTGAAGTGCTCATTAGGAGTGATACACACGCTGCTCTGGAACAGTTTAAAGTCCCCAGACAGGCTGGACTACGCATATCACGAAAACGCACTTTACATCATCAGAATTTAAAAACTGACTAAACATTTGACTTTTTTCTCCCAATTTAGGAACTTTTTAGGTTTCAAAATTTTACTTCCTGGTTTATGAGTTCACACTAGGGAATTCCATAACTGTTTGCAACCAAGTGGTACCATGTGGGTCAAAACTACTAAATGAACCCCATCAAAAAACGACTGCGCACCCCGCAATCCAGAGCCCCCATACACAGATCCACTCGGGCGTCCCAGCACGACTTCAGTAAACTACAAAGCCGCACCACCCGGAGCGCACACAAACACACATGGAGCAGACAGCGACTGCACAGCGAAACACACCCACAGGCACACTCATCACTCCACACCGACGAGGAACAGAATGGAGGAACGAACCGAAAAAGCAAGCACAATGTGCCACTTCTAGACACAACTGAACAACTGAGTCACTGCGAACACGGCGACAATCCGTTGGTCCCAGACAGCACCCTCCCACGCCACAACTGAACAAAGCCCCGAGTCACCGTGAACACCACAAACAAACAAAACCACTCACCCATCACACTGTTGGGTTTCATTTAAAATCCCACGCGGTTTATTTGTGAAAAAAGTTTGAAAATAGACCATTCAGTGACAGCGCCCTATAATCCAGAGCACCTAATAGTGTGGAAAATACCGTACACAGAAATTATGACAAATATTTGACAAATTAAAATATAAGAAAACATGTTTATTTTGTGGAAATATTCGACAGAATTCTCCAGTGTGATGTTATCAGATGTTGCCATCGACAGAAATTTAGGGGCCCAGGGCAAGAAGCCTCATATAGGCCCCCCTATAATCCAATCCAATTTTGGGGCCCGGGACGACAGACCCCATTGCCCCCCCCTTCCATCTTCACTCCTGGTTATCAATATGGAACCCTCTAAAATCAAACTCTCTACTTCCTGTAATTTTCAACATATTTTTTGACCTTTCTTCACAAATTGCTTCTCAATTTGTGTAAAACTATAATTTATATTTACAACAGGTATTAAACAGTAAAATTAGTGAATCATAAAAACCTCTCAGATGCACATTAAAGCCTCTTATGAGGAGCTTACTATGATTCTGAACAGCTGAATTTGTAAAAAAAAATTTAAAAAATAAAAAATAAATGGGTTAGGGTTAAAAAAGGATCCATATTACACAATTTTCTGATCTATGTTCTAATGTTGTTTCCTCATCACAAACAGACCTGGAATTGTGGTTTGCTTCATTCCCACGTGTTTAAAAGCCCTGTATATTTGAGTTGTTCTTTTAATGAACTATCTCATGCTCCTGAAAATGTGCTTTTTGTGTTTTTTCTTGAGTTTTCAGACTATTTAAAAACTTTTTTTTTGGAGTACTTGCTAATGTTTGCATTGTGTCACTATGGTAACTGCTGAACATTCCACCATAGACAAACATCCCCTGCATGTCACTGCAAAGTATCGGTTTACTCCTATCTAGGCCCTTTAAAATGCATGAAACCTGCAATTACCCCCAGCCACCTCTAGGGGGCCGTGCTTCTTCTTGAGCTCCAGCACAGCTTCAGCGAACTCTTTCCCTCCTTTCTTCTCCAGTGCAGTTCCTACAAAAACAGAAGGACCAGTTTTTATACTCTTAAATTTATTTGAAACATTTAAGAAAGAAAACACAGAGCAACAGGACAGAAGAGGTGAGAGACATGCATCAGATCAGAAACAACACACAAGTGATCAAAAACACTATTAATGTACATTTGACAAGGTATATGATTTTTAGTTTACTCTCTGGGTTAGTTACGGGTTTAGTCCCTGGTTTAGTCCTGGTTTAGTTTAGCCTTGGTTTAGTCCTGGTCTAGTAAATAAAACACAAATTACATTAAAGTAAATAAATACAACTAATACAGAATTATAAGCAAAGTAGTTCAGGTGTTTTAAGTTGAGTAACTAATAAGATACGACGACTAATTCAGTACACTAATTCAGATCTCTTCATTTAAACACACACTATAAATTGAGATATGTTAAAACTTTTCAGTAACTTAACATAAAACTTCTTATGTAATCAGTTTCCATTAAGTTAATAAGTTTACTGAATTTATCTGAGTTTACAAAGTGGTCTAGTTTAGTCCAAGTCTGTGTCCGTGGTCCAGTCCCTTGGGTTTTTCCTGGTTTAGCCCTGACTGTCGTCCTAGTTTAGCCTTAGCTATTGCTAAGACCAGTTCTTCTGTCAAAGTTCAGTTTTGGTCTACTCCCTGGTCTAGTCCTGGTATAGTTTAGTCCCTGGATTAGTCCCTGAGCCCCAAAACTGTAACAAAATACAAACTTACCCACTTTGGGAATAGATCAAATTTAAAAATCATATTTATTAAGTCACTTCCAGATTGTTCATGTCTCAGTCCAAAAATCTTGCAATTTTTTGTGTGTACCAGAATCATATCACATTTCAATATCCTTAAAGACGACATACTGTGCTCGTGTCTGCTTTAGTTATAATCTATGACACCCGTGGATCATTATGTTAGAATCTGGATAGTTTAAATCGCAGTATCCATATAAAAAGAAACAATAGGAGCTGATGTCACTGTAAAAGTCAACACAGCTGTAAATCACGTTATCAAGCAGCAGGGTTTTTTTGTAAGAAAAGAATGTGTGACGCTGCTATATGTGCATCACCAATTAAGTAAATAATCAAATAAAATAATATGTCACAGTGGGCATGTACTGATGGTGGTGAAAAAAGGGATAGATCGGAGCAATGACGTTTTGAATACACGAGAATAAAGACGACTCAAACATGAACTCTAAATACAACAGGTTACAAGATCAATTTTGCACAGTATGTCTCCTTTAAATTATTTGATTTAAAGGGCCCATATTATGCCGTTTTCTGATCTACATGAATGTTATACTGTAATGTTTCCTCATCACAAACAGACCTGGAGTTGTGTTTTGTTTCATTCACAGATGTTTGACACACAAACACTGCACATTTAGGCTGAGTTCTTCTCTCAGACAGAAAACGCTGCTCCTCCTTGTGATGTCATTTGGTAATACACGAAGAGCTCCACTGTGTTTTTAAATTCAATACACCTTCACTAGAATCATTTGGATGATTTCAGTCTGAGTAAATTTTGCATAATATAGGACCTTTAACATGGCTGGAAGTGGTTTTGTTCAAAGTTGGACTGCACATGAACAATCAGACCCATAGATTTGATTTGTGTATATGTTTATTGTTCTTCTATTTCCAGTCGTTTACCTACTTCCCCTCCCGTGTACAGGGAGGAGTTTGTGGGGTGGATCACCGCGTCACTGTCCACGCAGGAAATGTCCGCTTTCACAACTTGTAACTATGGCAACAACATGAAGGACACACGAAGGTCAATGAGAGGTCAAAATGAGACAGTGGGATCAGGGGTCAGTGTGGGGTCAAAGCACAGAGGAGAGGGAGAAGTGCTTCTTATGATGATGAGAACTGCAAAAACATGAGGAAAACTGACCTGAATTCAGAATGTGTGCTGTAACGATCAGCTCTGACATACACACAGACATGTTTTGTTTTTGTTTTGATTTCACCATTTGGTTTTAGTTACAAGCAAAAAAGCAAGGCACAATTCCAATCCTTGTGTCTTTAGACAAGACACTTCACTAGTATGAATGTTTTGTATGAGTGTCAGTGTTTATGGTGGTCGCGGGGGTCAATAGTGCAAATTGTAAACTCACTTTCCTCAGCCATTAAAGCCATAGTATGTAACATTTTAGCTAAAAAAAAAAAAGGCATGTCTTTTTCATTTTGGTAGTGTTTGTTCCGCTGAAAAACGTTGTGTGAGTGGGCTTGCATCTCCACAAATGGAGAAAGCTCCGAAGTATGGTTTTCACTTTGTTTCCATGAAATCATGCAGGCGATGTGCCACCTCCAGAAAGTTACACACTGTACCTTTAAGCTTTGTGTGAAGCCACATGATTTGGTCGATGACATTTTGATCATTTCTTACTACTGAAAAACTTGCCAAGAATCGCTATATAAACTTACAGAGTGAGTGAAAACTCATCTAAATGAGCCACATGTTTGACATTCAAGTCGATTTAACTCTGTATTAGTTTTTGCAGTGAAGCTGAAAGCAGAGAAGAGACAAAAAGGGGTTACAAAGGACATAGCACAATTATACAGGAGCCCGATTAACATAAAAATAACTTTGCAGTGAACCAAATATAAGCATAATGTGAAAATATGTAGTTTTAATTGAAAAAATTTTTAGGCTAATTTTGAGAAATTGTTTCATCAAATTGTGCTGTCCTGATTTTTAAACCCCTTTTATGTACAAATTACAACACAAATTTGAAACTCAAATCCAAAGCAACAATCTTTCAGTGGAGGTTTGGCCAAATTCTAGATATTTTTGTAGCAATTGGGTGATGTTTAGTTTCACATATTTTAATTTAACACAACAAAACATCTGGTTCTAAAACTAGGTAAAAATGATGAATCTTCTAACAAACTATATAAAAAATATTACTTTCAGATTTTTACTTGATTTACTCAGATGGAGGACAGGGGCCTAAATAAATCTATGGGAGATTCACGGTTTTAGAAAGAAACCTCTAAATTTCTGATCCACAAATCCACCTGAGAATTCTGACTTGTCCTTCAGCTCAATTTAAACTATAGAGATTCTTTCTACAGTGGGATTGAGATATGAACCATTAACCAAGTCAAAAAGTGGTTATAATAATCAGACTTTTCACACATAAAATGGGTGATTTGTATGTATATTTTTTTAAGTGCGAGTTTAACTTTAGTTTCTCATGTGTCAGATGTAAATTGGGATTGTGACTGAAAGGGGGCGCTGCCTTGGACTGAACGCAGATCTGAGGCTCGGAGAGAATCCTTCAGTGCCATGAGTTTCTATTTAAATGAAAATAATTTCTTTGTTCTCTTGTTATATGGCTGAACAAGTGAAGGCCATAATTTAAAACCTCATTTGCAGTTTGATATACTCACTATAAAAATTATTATATATATATTATAATCTTGTTTCAGTCATTCAGTGGTTTATATAAACTAACTGACTAACTGAAAAAATATTGCTTCCTTTGCGACTTGGCGCAATCCTGTGTGATGTCACATAGCACTTGAGAGCACAGTGGCATTTAGGGACAGTGCACACATAGCACAGGTTTTGAACACAGAACTCCAAATGTACCTAGTTTGCAGTAGGCAAAGCATTTAAAACACAAAGTTGATTTAGTGTGTAGTGTCGTGAAAATAAATGTAACTTCTAGCTCTACCTAAGACTACAATTTGTAATAAATGCATTTGCTCTCTCTAACTCTATGATATTATTTACAGATCCTATGCATGAAACAAAATAGATTTTTGTGAGATTTAAACCGTGTTATAATGTTGTTACCTCATCAAAAACCATAGGTACGTTTTTTCTGATCAGAGACACCTCACAGTTGTCAGCTGACACATTTGACAAAAGCATAGTGTAAATAAACTAGTTCGCTTTTTACAAAGCTGTCTTATTAGAAAAAAAACACAAAGTTTCTTTACTTGGAGTTGTGTTTTGTTTCATTCACAAATATTTGAGTAACCATTTATTATTAATCTGTCTACATCTCCAATGGTCAAAATGCTGTTCCACTTTGTGATGTCATGTAGTGGTACTTTTCAAGTTAATAGTTAAGCATTTTATCTTTAATTCAGCAGAGAAATAATCCAAATTATTCTAGTGAAGGTATGGCTGTATGGAGTTTAAAAACACAGTGGAGCACTTCCTATATTACCACATGATATCACAAGTTGGAGTGTTTTCAGTTCAAGAAGAAATCAGTCTATATATGCAGGACTTGTGTGTTAAACACAACTCCAGATATGTGTTTGAAGAGGAAAGATACATAGATATATTATTATAAATATTGTAATATGGGCCCTTTAAATGTTCCATCTATGAGCACTTAGCCAGTCTGGTGCCCCCTAGTGCCTTCACTCAATTTCATTTCTCTCCAATGACTAGGTCAGGAATCAGAATACACCGTTTGCAAAAAATCCCAGAAGTGTGTGTTCAGGCACCAGCCAATCAGCAAAGAGCCATATATTCTGTGTTGTTAACGATTCCCGGGATCGAGGATTTAAAGCCGGAACAAATTGAATGTTTGGTGAATTTCATCAAGGGGAAAAACGTTATTGCCCTTCTTCCAACAGGATTTTGGAAAAGCTTAATATACCAGTTAGCCCATTACATACATCAAAACAAAATAACAGCGATTGGTTAAATGAAAAAAAAGTACCCGCCTACTGTTGAGCGAATTAAATCTAAGGTCAGACGGTTTCTACAAAGTGAAACCAGCTGATGAATCAGGCTAATAAGTACTATGATTCCTGCTTTGGGCTACCATGCTACAGTTAAATCAATATCTTTGTATTTATTGTATTCTATTTGTTGTATTCTATTCAAATAAATAAGTATATGACCAGTAATGGTCAGCACTCCCTTGTTCAGCCATGATTATAATGTCATTTTTAACCACTAGCAGGCGTGTGGCAGCTCTCATATCAGCACTGTAAGATTCCCTCTCCTCAGCTCTGTGTGTGGATTCTGGTCTCACCCAAATCGTCCTTGAGTTCGAGTTCGGCGTTGGTGGGGTTAATGACGCCCTCCACGTCGAAACCGGCCAGGTTACTGACCTCACTGTGGATAAGGTTCAGCTGCAGCGCAAAAGCAGCACCAGCAGGGAGCACAGTGCGAGAGGAGACATGCGCGAGGACATAGAGAGCAAGCCGGGGTTAAAACACAATCACACACAGGACACAAGGATACCGGGACTTCAGGACACTTTTGGTAAGAGTTACTGTCAATGAATTTTTGTGAACAATTCACTACATCCATTTCAAAAGCTGAGTTATAATTCCTAATGACTTGGCAAGAGTTTCAGGGTAGATGCTATTCCAGTTTGGGCTGAAAGAATTAGGGAAAATATCTCATTGTGATTTTTCTGACGAGTATTGACATTAGACTTGACATTTCTGTTTGAACTAGAGTATTCTGTTCAAAGTTCAGATTTTAAACATGTCCAGAAGAATTGACAAAGACTTTGAAATATGAACAGACAAACTAATACAAGAGTCACATTTCAGAACATGTTTGTGCAGCTCTAAACTACAGTAGAGTTTGTTGTTTATGGAGGAAAACAATGGCACTTCACAAATTACAGCCAGTTGTGATTTGCTCGTTGCTCTTTCAATTAGTGATTTCAGCTTGATAGAAATTTAGGTTGTAGCCTTAGATTCAATCCACACACTTTTTTGACAATATATCTACTTTTAATGTGATTAAATTAATCATTTACGTTTTACAAGTAGAATTCTGTTCAAAGAGCATTCAGATCTGAGAGAAGACTGAAATCTGAACTGCTAAACAAATCCAAAAATCCCCATGCATTTCAGAACGTGTTTGTAGAGGTCTAAACTACAGGGTCAACAGCTTTTACACAGAATAGAAACACAGGAAGGACATCTGACACACAGGGAGGGCATCTGTGACACACAGGGAGGGCATTTGACATACATTTCAATTTGAAACCACATAGAAGTCCAGGTATCCTTTTGGTCTAATCAAATTCAGCAGGAGGAGTTAGTACATTTGATTATCAATCATTTAATCATATTTACACAGAGGTGGGTAGAGTAGCAAGAAAATGTACTCAGTTCAAAGTACAAAGTAGTGGTCCAAGAAATTACTTAAGCAAGAGTAACTTAAAGAGTTACTGCAACATCTGATTTATAATTTAAAGTTAGTGTAATTGAAGGAAATAATACACAAATTTCTGGTATTTTCAAAGGATAGGATTACATTGCATTGTCCACATTAAGCTTTTGTCACTTTAGACTTACTCACAGTGGGAAAAGGAACCACAACTTTTACTCATGTAAGAGTAAGTGAGAGTAAGTGAGTACTGTTACTTCAATAAAAATATGATATAAGTAGGAGTAAAAATATGCTAAAAGTAAAGTACAATTTCTTTAAAAAGTTACTCAAGTAAATGTATCTGAGTATTACCCACCTCTGCATCTACATTTTACTACAGAGAAAATAGAAAGTAAAATAGTAGTAGTGGAGAAAATACATTGTGTTTTCCAATTAAAAAGCACACCAGCTGTTATATGCTCAGAGAATAGGAACCAAAAAAATATATCACTAAACTGTCTTTGTGTGTGAAATCTATCTCAGTCCAATAGTGATTTTTCTGCATTGTGATTGTGATCAAATTTGTGATTTATGTTTTAATAGTAGGATTCTGTTCAGATTTTTAAAGAGTACAGAGTTAAATCTGAACAAACTAAAACAAGAATCACATTTCAGATGTTTGTACGGTTCTAAACTACAGGCTTAGCAGTTTTTATGCAGAAAAAGACTGAAGATGTTGCTGTTTGTGGAGGAAATGATTGTACTTCAGGTAAAATTGGAACTTCAATCTGATTGTGGTTAATTTTGCAGGTCTTGTAAAGCAGGATTGTAATTGTTCCTAGTTGTGTGTTTCTACAGTTGAAATAAAACCCAATAGTTTCTCTCAGTTGGGTTATTTAAAAGGCGCACTACTTAACTTTTCCCGTGGGGGTCTGACTCCTGCTACGCTCAATGCAGATGTTATTGTTGTTGAGCTGAGTGCAGTGGTGTAGTGGGTTAAGCATTAGTCTATCAACGGGAGGGTTGCATATTTAATTCTAACTCAAGCAAATACTATTGTGGTGTGCATGAACCAAGGTCAGTTTAAAGGTCCTATATTACACAACATGGACTCTTGTGAGCTTTTAGCCATTTTATAATGTTCCCTCCTCAAAAACAGACCTGGAGTTGTGTTTTGTTTCATTCACACATTTAAGTAACCCTTTATTATTAGGTTATTACTTGAATGCTCTATTCCACCTTGTGATGTCATGAAGCTGCATTTTTCTAGTTAACAGCTATTTTTTTATATTAAGTTCAGTAGAGATTGGCAATTTCAGGGCTGAAATGAGTGAAGGTGTATGGAGTGAACACAGTGGAGCACTTCCTGTGTTACCACAAGACCTCACAAGGTGGAACAGAGTATTTTGTGTTTGAAATAAGAACTCTAAATATGCAGGGTTTGAATGTTAAACATGTGTGAATGACACAAAACACAACTTCAAGTATGTTTGTGATGAAGAAACAATATTACAACATAGATCAGAAAATATCGTAATATGGGTCCTGTAAACTATAGAGATTCTAGAATATGCTGACAGGTGGTAGCTACCCTAACCCAGCAAAAAAGTTCCACATTGAAGCTTTAAAGTTAACTGTATTGAATGAGAGGTTTTCCACTGCGATCCTTATCACTTATTGCATCAGTCTTGAGTCATTCACAGCACGCCTCAGAACATCTTCTTTCAGACTTTTTTCCAATAAAGTATTAAACTCCACATGAGATGAAGATGCAGTATTTGATTACAGTTGGGTTGAAATAATATTGAATGTACTTCCACTTTTCAGCCATGTTTAAAAGCTGGGTCAATAGATCTGTAACTAACCATTGAAGACGACTGCGTTACAGAGTGACTACGGCTTGTTTCAAAATATCTGCAGACTGGGATGCAACAATACTGGAATTTTTTTCTGTAGTATTGCGTTTAGATTATTTGCAATTTAAGTTAGAATAATGGGATTCTGTTCAAAGTTCACATTTAAGAGTGAAATATGAGGTTAGAGGTTTTTATGTAGAATAAGACAGGACTGTACTTGAAAAATTGTAGCTTTTTGAGCTTTGATAAATGCGTAAATTCAAACTGGGGAATTTTAATTTAATTACCATTACGGCCCCATTGGAATGTCCCACAGTTAAACATTAAACTTAAGCGTTCAATTAGTTTTGTTTTTTTATTGCTCAGAAATACATTCTTGCTGTGATCGGGCTCAATGTATGTTTTGTACATACACTGAGTATGTTCCACTGTATGCCATACAATGGACCATTTTAGGTAAAGCATCTCCATGGGGACAAGCAGGTGGCGGACATTCCCTTCAGAAAAGTTACATAGTGCATGCAAATTATATCAAATTATTGATACTGTGAGGTATTTTTTGAGGTATATTGTGACAGTGGTACAACAGTGCGGCAGACGTCCTGTCCAAATTTTATTTCTTCATATCCTGTGTAAATCCCGCCCACTGAGAAGGTCACTTCCTATTGGCTCTCTCCTCTCAACGGAGGTGATTGACAACTGAGGAGTCGAAGAAAGAAAACTGGGACATGGTCGTAGTGCTTAGGGAGTGTAGTGGTGTGCGGTTGTCAAGGGGCATGGTGTAGTTGGTGTGCGTTTTTTTGTTAGGGGGCTGTAGTGGGGGTGTGTGGTGGTTGTTGGGGGGCTGTAGTGGGGTGTGTGGTGGTTGTTGGGGGGCTGTAGTGGGGGTGTGTGGTGGTTGTTGGGGGCTGTAGTGGGGGTGTGTGGTGGTTGTTGGGGGGCTGTAGTGGTGTGTGGTTATTAGGGGGTGTGGTCTGACCTTTTGACCCAGGAAGAGGCTCTTGGTGGACAGGACAGTGAAGCTATCCCCGATAGCCCCCTCTGTGGTGCTGTCCGCTGAGGCCGCCTTGCTCACCTCTCCAGTCTGCTTCTGCAAAACAAAAACAACACAGATCATGTTATGAAAGTCTGTAAATAAGTAAGTACATTTTAATTGTATGACACTTTTCACAGATAAAAATCACAAAATGAAATGCTCTGACCTGTACCTTGGCCTGGTGTGTTGCCATGGCGACAGACTCTCCAACAGAAAAGTTACACACTGCCATTTTTATTCATATTCTGACCAGAAAACTTATCTTCATAGATATAGATAAGTATGTGACACCACCGGGTCAAGATACAGGGTAGATCTGTGGAGAGGCAGCCCTTCTAATTAATAATGCACAATTTTTTTTGGCAACACAAAAACAAAACAAAAAAACACCTGTTATTGAATAAATGCAAATTAGATGATTATAATGTCATGGTGTGGAACATTCCAGTCATAAAAGAACCTCACCAGAAATGTTCCATAGTGCAGTTTTATTTATCCTCTATGACACCTGTGGATCATTATGTTATAATTTGGACTTTCATTTTAAATCACAATGTTCAACCATCCAGTTTTTTTATTCTTATCCCGGGCCGGGTCACGGGGGCATCAGTCTAAGCAGGGACTCCCAGACTTCCTTCACCCCAAACACGTCCTCCAGCTCCTCCATGGGGACCCCGAGGCGTTCCGTACATAGACATAGACATAGTCCCTCCAACGTGTCCTGGGTCTTCCCTGGGGCCTCCTCCCGGTAGGACATGCCCGAAACACCTCCCGAGGGAAGCGCCCAGGAGGCATGTGGAACAGATGCCCAGGCCACTTCAGCTGACTCCTCTCGACGTAGAGGAGCAGCAGCTCTAATCCGAGCTCCTCCCGTGTGACTGAGCTCCACACGTTGGGTGGCTGGGTGCTCCCTGTGAAGGAAACTCATTTCAACCACTTGTATCCACGATGTCATCCTTTCAGTCATTACCCAAAGATGAACTAAGAAAATGAAAACCATGCAATGAGCAGGCCCACACCAGCCCACCGCCGTTCCCCGTGGCCATCACTAGAGAAATAGAAATCGCCGAAACCTCTGCCTTCGACTGCCGCCCAGATCTCTCAGCACCGGCATCATCTGGATCCTCCCGCAGGTGGTGGGCCCACGGAAGGGCAGCCCCACGTTGGTCCTTCGGGCTGTGCCCAGCCGGGCCCCGCTGGGGAAGGCCCAGCCACCAGAAACTCAGCGTCGAGCACCCACCCCAGGCCTGGCTCCAGGGTGGGGCCCCGCTAATGCCGTTCCGGGCGACGTAACTGGCCTCGCTGGTATGCTCATCATAGGGTTTGTCCTGCATAAAAATCATGGTCCTCTTGAAAGACTTTTTCCTGTACCACTGCTTGAAGAAAGTGTCTTCTAAAAACTGGTAGTAGGTTTTGAAGTTCATTTTGAGTCCATCTTCAACTGAAAAATGATCAACAAGTTCATCCAGCTCATACCAATACCCCATCTCCACTTTGCGTGGAGCTCTGTGCCATTACTGATCCTGCCATGAGATCCTACATCTTGTCTGTCAAGAGTCACTCTCATTTCATCAGTCCATAAAACGTTTGAACAATCTGTTGTAAGATATTTCTTGGCCCAGTCTTGACCTTTCAGCTAGTTTCTTGTTCAGTGGTGGTCGGGATTCAGCCTTCCTTACCTTGGCCATGTCTCTGAGCACTGAGCACCCTGTACTTCTGGGCACTCCAGGTAGTTTGTAGTTCTGGAATATGACAGTGCTGGAATGTCAAAAATCAAAATGATCTCCCTCTGCCTCTGTGTGCGCGGTGCCGTCTGTCCGCTGCCCTGCTCTCCCACCCTCTCTCAGCTCCTCGCTTTTTTCTCTTTACTTTCCATAACTTGGATTGTAAACGACTATTTTCTCACTGTTTATGAATGACACGTAAGACCTTATTTAGCGCACGGATAACCCACACGTTTTTGTTGATAGCTGTAATGCGTGTATGCATTTAGGTTTAATATATTGTACAAACTGAATTTCTCTGGAATTACCTGTCCTATCAACAGAAAATAAAAAACGAACAATCCTGACACCCTGCTCTTTTTACCTGAAGTATGTTTTAGTAAGATGGAAGGAGATTGAATCGAAAACTGAGATCGATCAGTATGGGGGGGAAATCATGATTCCTTTTATTCCCATATCGCCCAGCCCTAACACTGGAGGATAATGGCTTCCCAGTAGCTTCAAGTTTGATTCTTCTAAAATCTCTTGCAGTTAATTTGTGTCTTTTTTTCTCAACATGTCTCATGCGACACTGACTATTTGCAACAAAACGTCTGATGGTTCTGTGATCATGCTCCAATATCTTTGCAATTTTAAGAGCTCTGCATCTCAGACTTCTTAAAATTTTTGACTTTTAAACGTCATCACAACATATTACCACATGCTGTTGGCACTCCTGTGGATAGCTGCACATCACTCTAACGAGAAACAGATTTATTTTTTAAATTTGTACCAAAATGGCTATGTGATGCTTCTACATGTATCACAGATCAAGAAAATAAGACTGGAGAAGTAAGTACGTACGGCCACCGGTACACACTACGGGTGTGTACCGGTGGCCGTGAAAACACATGTGCAAATGGGAGCAATGACATCTTGAATATAGGAGAATAAACATACATGAATCACTCTAAATACATCTTTAGAGGTTCAATGAGAAGGAAAAGTGGATTTTGCAGAATATGACTCCTTTAAATACACCCTTTTGTCCGTACCTTGGGGCGGCCGAGCTTCTTGCCACTCAGTTTCCTGGTGGCTGGTTTCTTCTTGGGCTTCTTCTCTGGAGCGGGAGAGACCGGTGCCTCCAGTTTGCCCTTGGCTCCTCTCTTTTTGGCCAGCAGCTCGGGGTGGATGTTGGGCAGGACTCCTCCAGCTGCGATTGTCACGCCTTTAAGCAGCTGCACACACAAGATGAGCACAAGCAAACAATTGTGGACATTTACTTATTTCTTCTTTTATTTATCTGTAAAGGGACAGCACATATTAATGAACATTTAACATTTAAATATGTAAAGATTATAGAAAACTTGGCTAATTTCCATCTCAGGTTGATGTCAGTCACAGGACAGGGAAAGGTACATCAACAATAACACAAAAAGTATATGTATCACCAGCACACCCAATTATCACACTATACATACAATTTATTTCACACAGTTCATTTGAAGTTCAAAGTCAAAGGTTAAAACAAATTATTGCTCTTTTAACAGCTCGCGCTAAGGTAAGCAGGCAACATTAGCATTGGTTCATTTAAAAGTTTTTATTCATAATCAAGGATCAACTATGTGAGTTAAAACATCGCTTTTGTCAGTTTTCATTCAGCAGTATTGTGGACAGTTAAAGACCTGATGCTGTTGTTTTCATGACTCTCACAATGCATTACTTTTCAAGGTGCATTGTGCGGAAATTTTGAGTGCACTATATTTATCAACTGGACATTCAGACACCCCTAAAAATGGCGTGAGTCCTAGAAAGAGCCCAAAGAAGGGAATAGTGTGGACATTTGGACACAGCCTTAGACTCTACTTTTGGCCAATTCTGTGCATGAAGCTGTAGTGCAATGTTAGTGTGTCTCCAACAGCAGGGATCTAATCGGCAGGGTTCAGGACCAGAAGATACGGTACTCAGCCGTATAGAGGGAAATATCTTTGAAATATATTTTGAAATATATTTCTCACTTTCTATAGTTCTCCACAATGATCTAAAGAGATTAGACTGTAGTAATCACACTGCTCCGTGAAGAGAATCTGTTGTTTAGTACTGGGACAAAAGATTGGATCCATGAGTGAGTATATTTTTTGGAAAGTTTGGCCTCACCGTTTTATATTTACTTTATTTATATTTTTGTGGTTATTGTAATACTTTTTAATAGTATGTATTTTTGGACCAATGGCCTCTCAATGCTAACTCACCAGCACTTTTGTCCAGTCCAAATGTAAACATGGGAAATAAATCTCACAATATAATTTGTGTCAAGTGTGCAATTTTGTCTCACAAAATCTAGAATCCCAAGAAATAAGGTTGGAGTCCACTGTCCTCCATGATATGTGTCCTTTAATTGAACTGTTCCCCAGTGAATAAAACCTATAGACACACAGAGCACTGTGATTGGTCAGACCTGGTTGAGCTCTTCATCGTTAGCGATGGCAAGGAGGATGTGGCGAGGCGTGACACGGCCCTTCTTATTGTCTCGGGCGGCATTTCCCGCCAACTCCAGGATCTCAGCTGAAACACAGTAACAAGGCTTTTCACGATATTAACATACTAACATTTCAAACTTAATTTTGATATTAAGGAAAGACTCAATATTCACTTCTGCTTCTGATAATAAATATATAGACAATAGATGATAAATAAATAGACTAGAGAATGTGATTTTCAACATAAAATCATAGTACTTTCTTTCGTAGGCGTCCTTATATGTGTGTAATCCTCAGTGGTGCAGTAGGTTCATAGTGGTCCGTGTGTATACTAATGTATGTGCTCTTCTATTTGCTCTGATACAGCTCAAGATCATTCTGAAGCTATTCAGGAAAGGTTTGCTTCTGTCCTGTCAATGGGACATTTTTAGCATTGATGCTCAAATGAGTTGTGATACTAGTTTGAGTATTGAAACAATGTAGATAAAAATGGTATGATGTGCTGTCTCACCGGTAAGGTACTCGAGCACAGCGGCCAGGTACACCGGTGCCCCCACCCCGATGCGGTACTTGGGGAGGCCTCTCTTGATGTAGCGCAGCATTCGTCCCACAGGGAATATGACGCCCGCTTTGGTGGAGCGAGACGTTTTTGTCGTCTTCTTCTTTCCTCCTCGACTCGACATGGCAACACTCTGCTACAGACTCAGGACCTGACAGGAAACAGCACAGATGTATACACAATTATATTACTGCAAATAAATGACAAAATGACCAAAAAAAGTTCTTAAAGTGGAACTAAACACTAAATACTTTTTTTTAAAGCTGTAAATTTTAATATTTTTGTGTAATCTTTCAATTAGATCTTTTAGCATTTTATCAAATGCAAATGTTACTGATTGTAAAGTTGATTGTAGTTACACATAGTTAAGCAATTTTTGAATCATGTAAAAAAAAAAAACACATTTGTGTTTTGGGTTCTTAAAGCAGAATGAGCATTTTGGGTTGCCAGATCTAAAACCAGTTTATCCAAAATCCAAAAGAGCACAATTGACACAGTTTCTAAAGTACCATAATTTTGTCCACAAACTACAAAATCTCCCATCTTATTCTCTAACCCTCTAGTTTAGATCTGTACAAACATGTTCTAAAATGTTCAGTTATGTTAGTTCAGATTTCAGTCTTTTTGCCAATTCTTCTTTAAAATCTGAACTTTGAACAGAATCCTAATATTAAAACATAAATCGAAAATCTATTACATTACATATTTTTGGTGATTTTATATGATGGAAATCTGATCTTTGGATTTTGTATTGTCCTCTTCATAGAGCGCCTTCAGGATTAGGCTGTTTACATGTTGTATCTGTGGGACGTCTGAGTGTCCCTTTTGAGCTTATCACGCACTGTACAGAAAAGCTGATATCAACTGACACAAGCCTCAGCCTGATAATCCACAACTAATGCTACTCTTTCAGCACAGTGGCTACGTTTACATGGATGTTCAAATTAGATAACTGATTAATCAGATAACAGGATAATTAAATCTGATTTTGGTGTGTGTTTACAGCACAACAAAAATCTAATAGTGAAAAACATCTGCTCACATGTACGGCTGTTGGGTTATACTTGTTTAAAGGCCCATATTACATGATTTTCTAATCCATGTTATAATGTTTTCTCATCACAGACATCTAGAGTTGATTCGTTTCATTCACACGTTTAACACAAAAATCCTGCAGATTTTGGCTGAGCTCTTCTCTCAAACTGAAAACACTGTTCCACCTTGTGATGTCATGTGGTAATACAGGGAGTAGTCTAGTGTGTTTTTAAACTCCCTACATCTTTAATAGAATCATTTGCATAATTTCAGACCTGGAACTGCCAAATCTACTGAAGAAAAAGTTGCTGTTAACTACCACTTCGCCACTTTACCACTTCACTTCACTGAACTTTGCAGATGTAGACAGACCAATAACAAAGAGTTACTCAAACATGTGTGTATGAAACAAAACACAACTCCAGATCTGTTTTTGAGGAGGTATCAACATTCTAACATGGCTTAAAATTCAAAAGAGTCAATTTTATGTAATATAAGACCTTTAATTAATCAATCGATGGAGTCTTAATCAAACAGAGAGACATGGAGACACACATCAGCGAATTAGTGGACTTTTAGAGTAACTGTTGTATGTTGAAGATGAAATGCAATAAATTTTAAAATTACTCTTTCAATCTTTCATTTATTTTATTCAACTTTAGCTTTCAATTGTGTCTTTGCCACATTAGTTTGTCCTTTTTTCACAACTTCCAAAACAATACTAAAACTAATATCAAAACTAGATAGTCATTGAAGCAGGTATCAATACTAAAAAAGTCACTATAATGAGACAGAAATTAATCATTCCTTTAGAATCAGTAAACTGTATCAGATAAGAGCACCCATGGACCACTATGGATATAAAACTGTACAAAGATACAAGACCACATGGTAATAAAAAAAAATTTTAAAAATCAAAGAAAGTACTATGATTTAATGTTGAAAATGACATTCCATTGTCTAAATAAGAGACATATTTTATTTGTGGTATCAGATTCACTACTGAGTATCAAGTCTATACCTTAGTCTAAAAATTGAGTATCATCACAACACCAGTTCACTCACATCAGATGCAACTGTTTTGTTTTCAATAATCCGATAACCCCAGAAATCAGATCATGATCACATTTTTGGTCTGCATGAAAAAATAATGGGTGTTATATAAGAGGCAAGACGAAAAATGGACAAAACCTGTTGAAACTAACATTGTATTCAACATGTTGCAAATGGATTTCCAGTGTTTAAAATACAGGTCAATAACAGATTCAATAGAAAAGTAAAAACCAGGGCCACATGATCTGGAAAAAAATAAAAAAAATCTGACAAGTATTGTGACTGCAATCAAATGCAATCTGAACTGACAAACTAATCACATTTCAGGACAGGTTTATACAGGGTTAGCAGTCTTTAAGCAGAATGTTTATGAAGGAAATTAAGGTACTTCATTAGCAAATCACAAAGGCTGCAGTTTCTGGAGCTCACCGGTGACTGCTCGCTCTGGTTGTGGAAGTACATTTTACATTCATTTTTCTCATAGACTTTTTGAAAATTTCAAATATTAAGAGTTCAAAGATATGGCAGAGGCTGAGCAGCTACACACTAATTTATATCTATAACATGTTTTTTCATAAAGCACATTTAAATGGTTTGATAACTTAGAGGTTTTTAAAGTTTCAGAAATAGAGTTTAAATATAATTATAGGCCTTGTGGTCATTAGTTACCACAGAGTTGATAAGCACGGAGCTTTCAAACTTTTACGATTCTTATACTAAATAAAAACATTAAAATTAAGGAGATATTTCGGAACCGGGGTGGATGGTCCCTAATGAAAATTACAAAAGTATAATTTGAGTCTACAGTTGCCTGAAGTGGACAAACTGAGCAATAATTCAGCATTGTCTTTGCCTGGAAGGTTCCACAGTCTCTCCATAGAAACATCCGGGTGGCATCAAGGAGCAGTTACAAGTCAGATCTGTGGAGAGGCAAACCCACTCAGACAAGAATGCATTTTTGAGCAATATGATACATGAAACAAAGAAGATATGTTTAAAGTCATAATGTGGACCATTCTTTGCAAAGCATTAACTAACATCCATACAAGCAGGTGGTGGACTCCCCATCAGAAATGTTAGATTGTGCCCCTTTAAAATAAAATGTATTAAAACGTGGTACTAGTGACTCTTTTCACAGCAGGTGTATTATTTGCCTAATGTTGAATTTGAATGTTTAAAATATGACAAGTAGGTCTGTAGTTGGCTAAAGAAATTCTTGGACTCAAGACGTGCTGCTGTTCGATTGGTCAACTAAAAAGGGGGGCAAGTCAAAAGCTCTCAAAACTATTGTGCAACTCTGACTGACTGTACTCACCAGACTACACCTGCAGGGGGTGCTCATTCAAACACTACACTACCGTTTATCATGGCCAAAATAATTGTGATTAACGATTAGATCATGATAATTATTAAAGTTGCTGACAGTTTAACTATGGAATCTAGTCATAATATTATATAGAATTCTAATTATTCATACCCGTTTTAAACTGTGTGTATTGTACTTTTATATGTGAAAACAACAATGATCAAGAAAATAATCTTGGAGAAGTCTCTTTATTCTTCTCATTCTGCTGATATAATGGTTTATTATCTTTGTTGGCAATTCTCACAATTGTTCTGTACTTTTTAATCACAATAAACCAGTTTATTGTCTCATCCATATTTACGCCAAAAAAACAACAACAAAAAAGTACTAGGAAACTATGCATTTATACAAAAGCAGATTGAACTTGTGACTCATGAGTTTAAATGCTGCATTGTATAACTTTTCTATTGGAGGGTCCGTCACCTGCTTTTCTCCATGGAGATTATTGCTTTGTCTGAAACATCTCACAGTGAAACCTTTCTATCTTCATGGAGACCAAACCAGACCAAGTTACAGGTCAGATCTGTGGAGAGGCGACCCCGCTCACAGTCTCAATGTCTGTTTTTCTAGGTGTTTTTGAGCTGTAAAACCACCATGTAAAGTAGAGCTGTGTAATGTTATACTGTGGAACATTCCAGGCAGAGCAATGACATCTCCATAGAAACAAGCAGGTGATGAACCCCAACCAAAAAATTACATAATGCACATTTAATCTAACTTTTTAGGTAAATACGAAAAAGTACCAAATCTTCAGCTAACTCACCCATCGACCGATTAATCAAATAAAAACTAAACGACTACAGCCCTAACAACTCGAATTAGGCTATGTATAGGCCGGATGATGTATAGGTCTGTATCAAAACTGAAGCAACCACAACAATATGTAAATGAGCCAAGTTCCATATGCAAAACTAAACATTCACAAATAAGCAATAAAAACACAATGTGTAAATCTAGTTTTTTTGTAGAATTTCACATAGGCCAGTAGTCTGCAGCAAGCCAATAGCCTATAGAATTATTTTATTAATTTAAACCCATGACATGCTGCTATGGCCTGCCAAAAGACTTCTCAAAATACCATCGCGTAAGGAACGTGAAAATGACGCAAAAAGGAGAAATAATTACAACTGAACAACAATCCAATTAGCGGAGTATTACTGAGAATCAATTAGCGCCACAATGGACCTGGCTCTTCCACCTTCTCCATAGCAACAGCACATTTAACGGTATCTACAGCTGACCTTATCCGTAACTCGAGAATTACGCACAATAACACAATCACCGCAAAAACTATGCGCATATTTGGGTTCGAACGCGCCACATCTGGTGTATATCGCCAGAACTCTCAGGTGTGGAGGTTTTAATCGGTTTAAATTCTTGCAGCTGTGACAGTGACAACCATTTCCGCATGTCCACGGCACGACCACCGCGCGGTACGCATTGGCAACGGCGGAAAATAAAGCGCCGTTTTCTAATCATGTTTGTCACTCGACGCAGATCCGTTTCCAGTGTTGAGGTCAGCGGGTTTTTCCATAGAAATGATCCGGGCTAGGTTGCGAGGCGGCTGGCTGTTCCCGCTCCTCCCCTCCCTCTCTGCCGCCTGCTCTCCGCCTGTCTGTCGCGCTCCACAGTAGGCCTTCGCGTTGGGGAAAAAGGGAAAACGCACCAAATGGCAACGCGCGGAAAACAAGCCACGAGCATAACCGACCAAATACTTCCACGTTCGGTCCGAAAACAGCGGGTTTACTCACAAACGAGGCGAGCACAGCGGAGGGAATGCGTCTTCGCGTCTCCGGTAACAGCCTGGGCAGTGTCCTCGACTCGACTCCCACAATCCACAGCGAGCCCGAGCCAGCGCTGCCCGCGGAGTGAGCGGCGGAGAGCGGAACCTGCCGCGCGGAATCTCAATCCGCGGCGGGGAGAGGTGATCCTTAACCCTTTACGCGTTCGCTCTTTTGGGCATAGACGCGTGAGATGAGCACACAGCGATGCTGGACATAAACAGGGATGATTGTAGACAGGTTTGCTTTAAGTTGATTTTTGTGGTGGAATTTCCATTAAAGGGGCGGTGCAACTGTTTGTGCAGAAAAAAGTCAGGCAAAACTGCTCCACCGGGCTGGCCCTGCTCACAGAACTACCGGAATCATAATAAACCCATGGAATGGATTTTATAGTCTCGTGTTTAATGTCAAAACTGGACTTATGTTGTCATTGTGCAGTGACATGTTGTAAATGTTAACTTTACAACGGAAATCTTATTGTTTTACACCGCAATTTGGCATTGCACACTCAGCTCAGAATAATTTGTCAGAAAAGTGGCCCACATGATGCTTTTAAAGGAATGAATAGTGAAGGATTAGACCATTATGTTAAAGCCACAGTATGTCGCTTTTATCCCAAAAATAGAACAAAACAAAATATTTTTGTTTCTTTGTTGCACCAAAAACTGTGTCTTAACTGTGAGCAGGCTTGCAACTCCACAAACCTGACTTTTGCTTGGTCTGTATGAGAGCCTCCTCCTGTTTGAAATCCTATCTCCATGGAGAATGTTCCGAAGTATGGTTTTAACTTTGTATTTCCATTGAATCATGTAGGCATCGTGCCACTTCCAGAAAGTTACATACTGTAGTTTTAATTTTAGCATCCACCTTGTTTAGTCAAATGAAATAAAATGCTCATTACGTGAAGCAATGACCAAAAGTAAATGTAATAGTAAGTCATATTTATTAATAATATACAACTATAAATATAACATATATTTATTAATATTAATATAATAATAATATAATTCAGTTAAATGTATTTAATAAGAAATCCTCTAATTGAAAATGGCTTATAGTTGTATTAATACTTTGCAGTGACATCACGCTGGGCTTGTTCTGCATGTATGCGTATGGTGGAATGTAGAAGAGTTACCATGGCAACAAAAGATACACATTAGCAAACTCTGACAAAAAAGTCTGAAAACTCAAGAAAAAATACAAATGGATTTAAACTGCACATTTTCAAAAGCCTGTGATCAATGATTGTTCATGGTCCTGTTTAGAAGTTTGATTTTCAACAAAAAGGTGAGAGAAAATCTGTTGGCTAACGCTAGCTAACTATAATCTACTAACTCTAAACTATAGTCTCCTCACATCTGTGTTGTATGCAGGGCCCACCTGGTTAGCACTTGGATGGGAGACCGCTGGGAACATCAGGGGCCACTATATGGGGTGCCAGTGGCAAAAGCTGACATTGTGTCCTTAGGCAAGGGACTTCACTCACATTGTCTTGTGTAAATGTGATGTGTGTTGGTGGTGGTCAGAGGGGATGAAGGTGCTGATTGGCAACCTCAATTCAGTCAGTCTGTCCCAGGACAGTTGTGGTTACAATTAGGGGTGTCAAATTATCGCGTTAATTGCGATTAATTAATTACAGTAATATTTAGCGCGTTATGTTTTTTAATCGCGTTAATCTCATTTTTAATCTCTAACTTTACAGTTTCTGTATGCGATTTGCTTTATTATAAAATCTGTTTTTATGTGTTGTTGGGACAACACACACACACAAAAAACACATTCATTATTTTTTTATTTCGGTAATTCCACTCATTGCCGGAAACCCACACAAAACGCGCGCAGTAAGAGCGATGCAAACGTCATGTTCACGTTTGCCGCGTTACTCGCACAATGGATGAGGTCGAAGAGCCAGTAGAACAGAGTCAGCAGTGCACAGGTAAAAACACATTCGTGTCTTGGAAATTATTCTCCCGACGTGAAATATAAAGAAAATAACAAATATAAAATCGCTTACAACTTAAATGTCACTGGTGAAAACAACCTGCATAGACTCATGATGTCTGCACTACTGTCCTATAGTGACCTGCCACATGAGGGGACACGCACACAAACACACACAAATACACACAAACACAAATACACACAAACACAAACACACACCTTCATCATCGTCATTAACCTGAGAACGCGCGGACCACGTTTCTTTCCGTAGTTACTGCGCGGACACCGACGTGCTCCCGTGCGCCGCGTACGTTTTCTCGCGTACGCTGCTTAAACCGCGCTTCCTCCTGTGCGCCTCTAAACCAGAACTAACACCAAGACTAAAACCGGGACTAACCCAGTCCAGGACTAAACCAGGACTAAACCAGGACTAAAACCAGGACTAAATCCAGTGATCTCATATATAAAGCATTTCTCTATCAATAATATTTTAATATGGTTAAGGAAAGACTGGACTTTTTATTGTCTTTAAGTAGACAAAAGTTATTATGTTCAGATTTCCTCATCTTTGCTACTTTACAGCAAACAGTTTCTTCTTCATGGAGACTTGGGCTCAACAGTCAATTTGGAGAGATTTGTTAAACAATAAATGACTTTATAAAGTCACTTTTTTTTGTTCTATTTCAGTCTTTTGATCTGCCACAATAATGTAATAATGAATTTAAATGAAAATACCTCAACTTGAAGGCTTTTCTCAGCATTTTTTAGGTGAGATTAAAAAGAGATTAATTAGATTAATTAATTACAGATCATAATTAATTAATCTCTCAATTTTTTTAATCGCATGACAGCACTAGTTACAATAGCAATTTACCACCACAGAGTGTGGAGTGAATCCACTTTGAGCGTGTGGAAAAGTATTATTATTATTATTATTATTATTATTATTATTATTAAACTTTATGTGTTACAATAAATGGCCTATAATAGGCCTATAATGAGCCTATGATTTATACCCCATTAGTCCAAACCACACTACCGCACCACTCGTCCAACTGTACTCGTCATGTGATGGTCTCACTCTAAAATTGTGATCTGTCACATTTTGAAGTGTGATCTGTCACATTTTGAGCGTTTGTGAAACCACCGCAGACCTGTGCCCGGGTGCAGTGCCGCCTTATGTCCAGCAGAGGCCAGGGTAGAGCTGAGGAGAAAAGCCAAACTTGTCAGAGGCAGCGCCTGTTACCTTGTTGCGTTCACGTGAATAAAACCAAGTTTCTGTTTGTATGATAAAAGTTCGGATGAACAGTCTGTTGGACCCGAGTATCTGTGGAGGTCACTCTCCACAGCGTCCACAGGCTTTTGTTTAATGTGCTGCACGCTATTTATTTATCACATCACGGTGATGTATACATAAAAAACTCCGTGTGTAGTCCTCAGTTGCAGTCGCTTGCTTTTTAAAAGTACACCACAGAATGTAGACCTCATGTAGCATTAAACTGCTGACTGGAGATGCTCTTCAGAATGTCATCTGTTGGTGGTTTTCAGATTCTAGATTGTGATGATGTCAAGCGCTAAGATGGGGGCAAGAGACAGTTTTCCATATTGATTGCATTTTTGCATGAAATATCCAAAATATAAATTCACAAATGTTGAACCTGATCATTTCTATTAGTGACTGGCCCCAAGAACTCATTGTATTTCAACACAAATCTGTATTCAGTATTTAGCTGCCCCCTCTGTATTAAATAATATTATAGATGAAACCCATCTGAAACCAGCAGAGAGTCATGTTTGGTTTATAAGTATAAAAAGTCATGAACATTTTATTTCATGTCTTAAAGCAGCGCTAAACTCACCAATAAAAGCTAAGTTTTTGTTTTCAAGTGAATGCAGTACGATTCTGTATATTACGATTACATGTGGGCAGTTTTGTTGCTGTGTGGGCTTTTAAAATAGATCTGTTTTATAATGTTTCAAGTTTCTTACATATATCACTTCTACTGCAAGGTTTCTTTCTTTTTTCTTTTTTTTTTTTTACCAGTACTTTTTGAACTGTTTTTTTTTTTTTTCATCAACCTTCTCTCAGATCTTTGAGCTATTGTCTGTCCACTAATCTGAAGGTTTGTGGTTCAAATCCTGCTCTCAGTGTAAACATCATTGGCTGAACGGTCAGATCCCCTGACCCACAGGTTGGCGTGATTCCAGTGTCTGCACTGGTGCATAATCCGTGTATCATTCGTTCATTCGTTTTTCAATATAAAACCAAAAATAAGAAAACGAAAAACAACAGTTTTCTTCGTTATTTGTCTCCAAAACCAAAATGAAAAAACGGATAACGATTCGTTTTTTCAGTTTTCGATTTTGTGTTTAAATGAAGAATGGAAAAAACGGATAACGGCCGTTTCCCGTTTACGTGACTTCCGTGACTGCGATGCCGAACTTTTGCACCGCATACGGACTGAACCGGGACTGATCCAGGTCCGAGACCAGACCGAGACCAGAGCGGGACTGAGACCGGGACCAGACCGGGACCAGAGCGGGACCAGACCGGACTCCGAGCTTTGACTCCGAGCCTCCATGGGGTCCGAGCCTCAGCTTGGAGCTCCGGCCCTGTCGTGGGCTCTGAGCCTCCGGTCTGGTCCCGGTCTGGTCCTGGTCTTGTCTCGATCTCGGTCTCAGGCCCGCTCTGGTCCCGGTCTGGTCCCAGTCTCACCGTATACGGACTGAATCAGGACGGATCCAGGTCCGAGACCAGACCGAGCTGCTCTGGTCCTCCGCGCTCAAGAACCGCGGCTGATTCCGAGGTGGTGCAAAGTCTCCGACTGACGCTTTCACCCCAACGAAAACGAACCGAACTAAGAGCTTTTGGTTCAGATGGACCAGGTCCGGGACCAGACCGGGACCAGAGCGCTACTGAGACTCAGTCCCGCTCTGGTCCCGGTCTCAGTCCCGCTCTGGTCTCGGACCTGGATCAGTCCTAGTTCAGTCCGTACGCGGTGCAAAAGTTCGGCATCGCAGTCACGGAAGTCACGTAAACGGGAAACGGCCGTTATCCGTTTTTTCCATTCTTCATTTAAACACAAAATCGAAAACTGAAAAAACGAATCGTTATCCGTTTTTTCATTTTGGTTTTGGAGACAAATAACGAAGAAAACTGTTGTTTTTTCGTTTTCTTATTTTTGGTTTTATATTGAAAAACGAATGAACGAATGATACACGGATTGTGCATGAATGTGTGTATGAACGGGTGAGTGTTTCCTTTTTGTAAAGCACTTTGAGTGCCTTCAAGGTGGAAAAGCGCTGAATAAAACGTGACCATTTACTCTGCATAATAGAGTTGAAATGGATAAATGGAAGTTTGTATCCTTTATGATGAAACTCTACTGCTAGTTTATTTATCATTTAATTCTGATGTCAGCCTTTGTTCTGAATGTAAAACAACATTCTTGGGGAAAAAAATAGTAAACAATTTCCTAAATATTCAAATGTCACAACTTCACAACAACAATCTGAACATGTATTGAGTATTTTCTGTGTGTGAGCAGTGAGCCCTGACCTCCACACTGCACGAACCACAGTCATACTGTGACCATGAGGCAACATGTGGCTCTGAACTGTATTAGCACACAGATAATATGATAATATGAGTTTATGGTTTCACGGGGGGCTGCGGGTTATCAGGGACATGTTACGTAATGAGGCGTTATTCACAGAAATATACAGGTGAACTAGCAAGAAGTCACTCCTCTGTCTATCTGACCTTCTCGTCCATATACTCACCTTCCATCCTCTGTACTATATATTCACTGTCCCTCCTCTGTACCATATATCTTCTCTTCATTCACTTACTGGTCTTGTTTATACCACCGGTAACGCAATTCCCATCGCATGGAGCGCTTCACCTTTCACCTGCACACGGAGGGGCAAGAAAACAATAAAAACACGAGGCAACAGGATCTGCTGCTTCTGGTCAGCTGACTGAGCCTCAGCCAATCAGGACTGCTCCCCGGGTGTAAATAAACGCTGGCCAGCGCAGTGTTACCAGCGGTCAACGACGAGAAAGATGACGGTGGACACGGAGACGCGAGGTGAGACGGGAAAACACGGGGTTATAATTGTTTTGGACTTGTTTGTGTGTGAATCTTATATTTAATAGTGACGAAATGCTAATATGGAGCATTTTATCCCGAGTTTTGGCTCTCGGCTCGTGCGTAACCATGCGTCAAAGTCTTATCAGACGCTGTGATGTTCTGAAAACTACCCACCTGTTCTCACATTGATTTAACACGTTATTACTCAGTATTATTTGCCTATACAATAGTGATGGGACTTTCTGCTCTTTCGTGGTATCCGAATCCCCTTCATGTCAAGGAGCCGTTCAGAAGAATTTAATTACCTGAGAAAAGTCAATGTAAGAACTGTTTTAACTCCACATTAATCACAGAGAAAGATGACCAAGGCTGGGATTTGTGGAAGAAGAGTGGACACGTGTTTATCCTTTAAAATAGGAAAAGTGTCGCATTAGCTTAATTATTATTATTAATTATTATTATTTTTTGTACATAAAAGCATTAATTTGAGTAAAAATGCATCTAAAAATCTTTTAATTTTAATTTTTTTAAAAACTGGATCATACCGTTCTCGTTAAGGAATACTAATAGCTTTAGAATATTATCTGTAAAATATGTTCCAAATATTGTTGTTTGTTTTCGTCACAACAAAGAAAATTATCCAGTCAACTTAAAGAGGGATTTGAAACTGGCTGTATCCATGGAGGTGTTATTGCTTTGCCAGGAATGTTCCACAGTATGGTATTAAATGTATGTATTATTTAAATAAAGAGAGGCAGGTGACACAGTCAAACCAGTTTACTTGTCAGGTCTGTGAAGAGGTCACTTCACTCACGATAAGAATGCATGTGTTTTTTGAACAATATAATACCCGTACTCGAATAAATGCAAGATGTTCATTTAAAGCCATACTGTGGAGCATTCCAGGTAATTCGCCATAGAAACTCACCAGAAAAGTTACATAATGCACCTTTTAATATTTTTTATTTTTAAACATTTGTCTCCACCTATTTGTTACTTAGACCTAATGTTAAAATATGCCAAATGTCACATTGACAGAACAGAGCAGAATCTTTTCTGAATGTCTTTAGAATGATGTTGAGCTGGATCAGAACAAGTAGAAGAGCACAGGTGTACAGCAGCATTAATATACAATAGTTTTATATAATAGTTTGTAAAGCCGAGATTTTACTTTGAGAGAGTAGCAGTACTTTGCAGATTTTCCGGTTTGTCTGTATTACATAAGAGCTACTCCAGGCAATAACAAGGAAATGCATCTGTTAGAGTAGTTATAATGTTGTTTTCTCATCACAAACAGACCTGGAGTTGTGTTGCGTTTCATTCATACATGTTTAGCACACAAACCCTATATATTTATGATGAGTACTTCTCTCAAACACTCTGTTCCACCTGGTGATCTCATGTGGTGATACAGGAAGTGCTCCCGTTGTTTATAAATTCTATAGACCATCACTAGAATCATTTGGATAAATTCAGCCTTGGAATGGCCAATCTCTAACTGAAGGTAAAAGGCGATCTTAACTTGAAACTACCTTGTTATGACATGAAACAGAGCATTTTGAGCTTTGGAGATGAACACAGACTAATAATAAAGGATTACTCAAACATGTGTGACTGAAACAAAACACAACTCCAGGAGGAGGTAACAACATTATAACATGACTAAAAGCTCACAAGAATTCACAAGATTCCTTTAAAGTTGGATTATTACATATAAAATGTCATAACAGAAATGGGTTAATTATCTGTACTTCAGTAACATTTGAAGAAATGACATAGTTCACAACAAATCCACTCTGCAGCGTTGTACTGATTTGACCATGGTTTAGTCCTTGTTAAGTACTGGTTCAGTTCTGGTTTAGTCCCCGGTTTAGTCCTAGTTTAGTCTTGGTTTAGTCTTGATTTAGTCCTGTTTTTAGTCCTGGTCACAAAAATCAGACAAACTAAATCATATTTGAAGCTTTTGTGACTTGTAACCTTACTCACAGTGGGAAGAGTCACCACACCTTTTACTCAAGTAAGAATACTGTTACTTCAATACACATATTACACAAGTAGGAGTAAATGCATGTTGCTAGAAAAGTACTCTGCTTAATACTACAGCCATCCATTTTCTTCTGCTTATCCAGAGTCAGGTCGCGGGGGCAACAGTCCACAGGGAGTCCCAGGGACCAATCTTGCACCGAATCTTAGCACTAGTGGGGGTGGAGTTCTAAAGAGGAGGTGTGCCGTGCCTAAATATCAGGTGGAGTGGAGCAGACTGAGGGTGTGGTGTGGTGCGTTCAGTGAATTGCCAGAATCATAAAAAAAATTAAAGCCACGAGCGGCGATGGTGGCCCTCGCCCCGGCGCGCAGTGGCCCCCCTACGCGACCTCTGGGGACTCGCGTCCGCCCCGGCACGCCACCCTCTCTTCCCGACAACGCCCAGGCCGACAGCTCACCCATTACACACATGATATAATGCACCTTTAAATATTTTTTAGGAGTCATTGCGCCCCTGCTGGCCAACAGTGGAAAATGCACCATGTCCGTTATGTATTTTTTTGCTCATAGTCATGCATAGAACTTATTCCCTGAATTTGGTACAAATCCAATAATGTTGACATGTCATGTCTATTCTAGGGGGCGCTATAGAGTTCACTTTCCATTTGTTTTATAGTGTATTATGTTTAGGCCGTGATCAGACATTAGTGATTCAAATTTCAGCACAATCGGACTAAACCTGTGTCTGTAATCATTTCTTAACTATTTTTTGGGGGAGTCTGTGCGCCCCTGCTGGCCAGTGGTGGAAAATGCATCATGTCCGTAATGGACTTTTTGGCTTGTATTCATGCACAGAATGTAATCCCCAAATTTGGTACACATTCGATAATGTTGACGTTTCATGTCTATGGTAGGGGGCGCTATAGAGTTCACTTTTCATATAGTGTATTATATTGAGGCTGGGATCAGGCATTAGTGATTCAAATTTCAGCACAATCGGACTAAGCCTGTGGGTGTAATAAATTTTGAACTATTTTTTGGTGGAGTCTTTGCGCCCCTGCTGGCCAACTGTGAAAATACCCCATGTCCGTAATAAACTTTTTAGCTTGAAATCATGCATACATTTTTATTTCCAAATTTGGTGCTAATCCGATAATGTTGACGTTTCATGTCTATGGTAGGGGGCGCTATAGAGTTCACTTTTCATATATTTTATAGTGTATTATATTCAGGCCGTGATCATGCCTTAGTGATTGAAATTTCAGCACGATCGGACAAAACCTGTTTCTGTAATAAATTTTTTACTATTTTTTTGGGGAGTCGTTGCGCCCCTACTGGCCAACCGTGAAAAATGCATCATATCCGTAATAGACTTTGTTGCTTGTAATCATGCATAGAATTTAATCCCTGAATTTGGTACAAATCCAATATTGTTTACATTTCATGTCTATGCTAGGGGACGCTATAGAGTTCACTTTTCATATGTTTTATAGTGTATTATATTCAGGTCATGCATTAGTGAATCAAATTTCAGCACAATTGGACAAAGCCTGTGTGTGTTATCATTTCTTAACTATTTTTTGGGGGGGGTCTTTGCGCCCCTGCTGGCCAATGGTGGAAAATGCATCATGTCCGTAATAGACTTTTTTGCTTGTAATCATGCATAGAAGTTATTCCCTGAATTTGGTACAAATCCAATAATGTTGACATGTCATGTCTATGGTAGGGGGCGCTATAGATTTCACTTTTCATATGTTTTATAGTTTATTATATTCAGGCCGTGATCAGACATTAATGATTCAAATTTCAGCACGATCGGACTAAGCCTGTGGGTGTAATAATTTTTTAACTATTTTTTGGTGGAGTCTTTGCGCCCCTGCTGGCCAATGGTGGAAAATGCATCATGTCCATAATAAACTTTTTTGCTTGTCATCATGCATAGAATTTAATCCCCGAATTTGGTACTAATCCGATAATGTTGACATTTCACATCTATGCTAGGGGGCCCTATAGAGTTCACTTTTATTAGATTTCATATTTCATTACATTCAGGCCTAGATCACACAATTGTGATTTGAATTTGAGTTCTCTAGGTCAATGCCTGTGGCCGTGACAGGTTACCGAAAAAACAGGAAATGAAGGCGTTTTTCGCCGGCGTGCTACGGGCGAACCGTAAGGAGTATCCCAAAAAAATGTGGCAACTTCTGTGAGTTCATGTCTTTAGTTGTGACATGTCAAATCTGAGCTAATTTGGACCAAACCCCGGGGACTTGAATCTTTTTGTAGACACCCAAGTCAAAACTGCGCCGAATTTTTGATCCAATATGGCTGACTTCCTGTTCGTCATAGGGGTGCACAATGATTGGCTTTTTCGCTTGTCCCCTTGACTTATATGACTGTTCCGAATTTCGTGACCGTACGACAAAATATGCCTCTCAGCCTCCCATTCACTTCAAAATTTTCAAATTACAAGGGGGCACTGTTGAGTGGGGGGGCTTTGGGCATTGTCGCAATGCCTGTTTTATCAAATTTTTCGCCGGGCCAATCGATCTGAACCCGGTTTGGGGACTTTTCGTCCATGTTCAGGGGGTCAAAAATGCGATTCAATGTGGGGAAAAAAAAAAAAAAAAAAAAAGAAACCGACGAAGAACAATACCCCTCGCCAGTTACTTCGTTACTGGCTCGGACCAATTAAAGCCGCGCGCGGCGATGGTGGCCCTCACCCCGCCGCGCACCGCCCCCCCACGCGACCTCCGGGGACTCGCGACCGCCCCGGCATGCCACTCTCTCTTCCCGACATCCGCCCAGGCCGACAGCTCGTCCATTAGACACGTTACATAATGCACCTTTAAATATTTTCAGGAGTCATTGCGCCCCTGCTGGCCAACAGTGGAAAATGCACCATGTCCAAAATAGACTTTCTGACTTGTAATCATGCATAGAATTTAATTCCCGAATTTGGTACAAATCCAATAATGTTGACATGTCATGTCTGTGGTAGAGGGCACTATAGTGTTCACTTTTCATATGTTTTATAGTGTATTATATTCAGGCTGGGATCAGGCATTAGTGATTCAAATTTCAGCACGATCGGACAAAACCTGTTTCTGTAATAAATTTTGTACTATTTATTTGGGGAGTCGTTGCACCCCTACTGGCCACTGTGAAAAATGCATCATGTCCATAATAGAATTTTTTGCTTGTCATCATGCATAGAATTTAATCCCCGAATTTGGTACTAATCCGATAATGTTGACGTTTCATGTCTATGCTAGGGGGCGCTATAGAGTTCACTTTTCATATGTTTTATAGTGTATTATATTCAAGATGTGATGACGCATTAGTGATTCAAATTTCAGCACGATCAGACTAAGCCTGTCTGTGTAATAATTTTTTAACTATTTGTTGGGGGAGTCTTTGCGCCCCTGCTGGCCAATGGTGGAAAATGCATCATGTCCGTAATAAACTTTTTTGCTTGTAATCATACATAGAATTTATACCCCAAATTTGGTACTAATCCGATAATGTTGACGTTTCATGTCAATGGTAGGGGGCGCTATAGAGTTCACTTTTATTAGATTTCATATTTCATTACATTCAGGCCTAGATCACACAATTGTGATTTGAATTTGAGCTCTCTAGGACAATGCCTGTGGCCGTGACAGGTCACCGAAAAAACAGGAAATGAAGGTGTTTTTCGCCGGCGTGCTACGGGCGAACCGTAAGGAGTATCCCAAAAAAAGTTGGCAACTTCTGTGAGTCTGTAGATGTGACATGTCAAATCTGAGCTCATTTGGACCAAACCCCGGGAACTTGAATCTTTTTGTAGACACTCAAGTCGAAACGGCGCCGAATGTTCATTCATCTTTTGGCTTGTCTCATTGTTCTCTATCACTGTTCCGAATTTCATTTACCTGCGACAAACTTTGCCTGTCCACACTCCCATAGGGGTCCAATTCTAGGAGTCGGGTCACTCGGGTCATTGATGCGATGCCCATTTTATCAAATTTTTCGCCGGGCCGATCGATCTGAACCCCGGTTTGGGGACTTTTCGTCCATGTTCAGGGGGTCAAAAATGCGATTCAATGTGGGGAAAAAGAAAAAAAAAAAAAAAAAAACCAGCGAAGAACAATACCCCTCGCCAGTTACTTCGTTACTGGCTCAGGCCAATAATAAGAAACCGGCGAAGAACAATAGACCTCGCCCCTAACTTTGTTAGTGGCGCCTCGCCCCTATCAAACAAGTCCACTGAAAAACAACATGTAACATGTTCAAGGCTTCTTTTATTTGGAAATATATTAGGATGATAAATGCATAACATGTTGGTGTGCTGTGCAGGAGTCGTCCGGATGCCCTCCTGCAGCAGAGCACAGCCCCTCACCCACTCCCTGCATCGGCTCAGCTCTGCTCTATAGTTTGGTTTGATCTGGATCTGTACAAAAGCTGCTCATTCACATGAAGCTGTTTACACTGATGTCCTAAAGTGTGTTTTCTTACTCTGTCTGTGTCCTAATGCTGCAATGTCGATTTCCTCACATTCTTGCGGACAGGGATCATTGCGCGGGTTCACTGAGAGCTCAGGCTTACAGCGGTGCGTGTGCATGAGAGGGGCGCACATGCTCGTGGAGTGTTCGGAACATAAACCCAGTCAGTTCTGTCATGGCCCATACAAAAGTCTACATTCCTTGCGCCTCTGCTGGAGTGTACTTGCATCGTGGGACTTCAGAGCTGTTTTATTGTACACGTACATAACTCTTCCCTACTCCCCTCTTTGCTGCCTCATAATGAGGTAAAGTTTACAGACATTACCCACATGGGCAGTGATTTTAAATGCCACAGTGGTCACAGATTGGTTCAGGTGCTGTCACCATATATGTACTTGTACCATCCCACTCCAGCCTCCAGCAGCAAAGCACAGCCCCACCTGGACACGCCCCCTCCGCACTTGCCCATAGTGCTAAGATTGGGGGCAAGATCAGGCCCCCAGACTTTCTTCACCCCAGCCTCTTCCTCCAGCTCCTCCTGGGGGGGACCCTGAGGCATAGTCTTTCCAGCATTTCCTGGGTTTTCCAAGGGGCCTCCTCCTGGTGGGACATGCCCGGAACACCTCTCGAGGGAGGTGTCCAGGAAGCATCCGGAACAGATGTCCCAGCCACCTCAGCTGCTCCTTGACGTGGAGGACTTGATACCAGTACTGTTATGAAAATGGAAAAAAAAACTCTTATATTCCCATGTGTCTTATCTGTGTGTAATGGTCGGTGGTGCAGTAGGTTCATGTTGGTCCATGTGCTCTGAGACTTGTTCTGATCCAGCTCAACATCATTCTAAAGACATTCAGGAAAGGTTCAATTCTGTCTTGTGAATGGGACTGTTTTTAGTATTGACTCAAATGAATATCTAGTTTCAATATTGGTTTGCTATTGATTAGTGTCTGATTCCTGATACTTTTGAGGACCTTACATGTAGTATAGGTCTAGGAAATTTAAACTTGTTTTGTTTTGTGGTTTCAGAAATGAGGGACACATTTGAGAAACAGGTAAGATACACCTGAACACACCTCTTTAAACAAATATTGTTATGTAATAGACTGGTGCTGTAAATTACTATTAAATAATTACTATTTAAAGGTCCTATATTGAGCAAAGTAGGTTCTTGTGAGCTTTAAACCTTGTGATAATGCTGCTACCTCCTTAAAACCACGCCTGGAGCTCACACATGTTTGAGTAATTCTTTATTATGAGTAGTCCTTTATCATCATGACGTGGTATCGATACCTGCTCGAATGAGAATCTATATTGGATAGTAGTTTTAAAATGGATTAGTCTACATCTATAGTTTATATATCTGACTTGAGTCTAAAAGTTCAAACTAAAACATGTTTCTGAGACATGGTTGGAAATCGATTAAAGGCTCTTTAATTAAATTTTCAGGTTTGACCAGAATCGGCTGCATCATTCTTGGTTGGTTGAGGATTTGATCTGTTTTGGTTTCTGTAGTATTTCTTCATGTGGAGCTCAGGCCTCTCCCCAAAGACAACAGCCTCTTATTGTTCTTGTGAACCTGTTTTTCAGATGCTCTGCCCTCCTGCAACAGATGCTTTTACATGTTTCACTGTTTCTCACAAAAGAGACAAAAAGTTCACTCACTTTTGTTTTCTGACCCTCTGCTCTTTTTACTGCCCTCCCTTCCCCCCCCACCCCCCACCCCCCAGCAGGACGCTCATGGAGGATTGTGGGACTCGGTAAAGAAAGCAGGGTTTGTGATTGGCTCTGGGATCTTGTTTCTCGCTGCCTTTGGGAACTCCCTCACATGGTACAAAACACACAGTGTTTCTCAAGCAATGTTTATTACACACACACACAGACTAGTATGTTATTGTTTCTATCAATACAACTCTGCTAAATCAGAGGTACACACCATTTTGACCTAATCTTGGATTTGCTGAACCAGGACTAAACCAGTTCCAGAGTTGGAGCTCAAACCAAACCATTATGCATTTACTGTATGTTTTTGCTCTGGTCAGTCTCACATAGATGTGATGTTTTTCCTCTGTTGGCTCTAGGCACCTGCAGAAGTTCTGGGGAGCATCTGGAGACTTCTGGCAGACTCAGTGGAGCAAACTTCACTCGAGGTTTGAGGGACATGACCAGACTCTTTTTACTTTGGTGAGATGCACTTTCATATTTTCATTACTATTGTGTCTTGCGCCTGCTTTATAATACAATACACAATATTCATCTAAAATGACTTAAAAGAAATTCCTTCTGTGTTAGGAAACAGCAGTATCAAATGGGCCGGCATAAACATCATCACAACAAAGTGGAACATGCTGTCTGCCCCTCCTGTATATTTCTCTCACTATCCAATCCAACTTTATTTGTATAGCACATTTTATAAGTAAGACAGTTTCAAGTGCTTTACAAAGCAGTGTAAAACATTTATGAACAGTCTCAAGCACATATCCCTGTACTGTGGGGTGATCTTAGAGCATTCACACATGTAACCATACACTGTATGGACATAGCTAACCCTCTAGCCACTGCATTCCAAATAGGAAGGGGCTTTGGCTCCACTGACTCTGGCTCTAATTCACTTTGTATTGAAAAACTGTCACCCCTCTCTCTGTAACTGCTGCTGTCAGGCTCCTCAATTTGGTCTTAAAATATTAATATGCTCTACATGATCCTGGTGTTTTTATTTGGCTGTTTTGTACATCTGTACATATAAACACAATCATGAGACACAGACCACACAGGAGTGGCTCTGTAAAGAATTGCTCCTGTCTCTGTAGTCTCAGTTTAAGCACTTAAGTTCAGACAGACATTTCACACATTTTGGACAACAGACTAGACTTTGTCTCAGCATTTCTCTTAGGAGTTCCTTGTCAGGCAGACAATTCAAAAAAGACATATTCATTTTGTGTATTCATTCCTGTTCAAATACTGTAAAACTCAGGATTGGAAATGAGCTCTCCTGTGGTCTGTGTCTGGATACGAGGTCTACACATGTAGGGCCATGTGTACACATGTACACATGTATTTTGCCTGTGTTTGTGCAGGATTTGTTTAACACTAAAACATGTACAGGGCCCCATTGTCCAGGACTACAGGAGCACAGTCATCTCAATGGGACTGTGAAGTTTAAAGGGTCCATATTAAGCTACTTTCTTATCAGTTAATTCCTCATAAACATACCATATATAAACATATACTGTATTTTTCAATATTTTTCATAATTCGCTCCGAAGTATAAGTCAAAAATGTGTAATGAAGAAGAAAAAAACATATACATCATACCGGACTATAAGTCGCACTTTTTGGGGGAAATTTATTTTATAAAATCAGGGACCAGGAACCGACATTTTATCTAGAAATGTAAGTTATAATAATAACAATAGAATAAAGAACAACAGGCTGAACAGGTGTTAATATGTTAACGTCAGATAACTAGAGCATAAATAACAGAACATAAGTTTACCAAAGTCACGATCTCACTCTAAATGACTAAATCCATTGAATCCATTGCATTCTTCAGCCTCGGTGTCACTTCTTAGCAACTCCGCGCAATTTCAGTTGTCACTGAAGTCCATGCTTTGTCATCCAATGACTTCCAGGAAAGTTGCATGGCGCATCCTACCAGTTGCCATGAAGCTGTGTTCTCCATCCCCGCTTTTCACCAATCCCTCACAAAATTCTCGCTCACTCCAAACTTACTTTCTGCTGCTCAATTACCATTTTCGTCTGCATATTTCACTACTTGCACCAGGACAGTGGCTTTTTCTGCAGAAGACACGCGCAGAAACCTGATGCACAAGCCTAGATCGCCCTCTTGCAGTTGTCAGTCTGAAAATTTTAATATGTAAGTCGCACCGGAATTTAAGTCACAGGACCACTCAAACCATGAAAAAAAGTGCGACTTATAGTCAGAAAAATACGGTATGTAAATGCTCCAAGAGTCCAAATGTTCCCTTCTCTCTCCCTCTCTCCCTCTCTCCCTCCCCCCTTCTTCGTCTCAGGGACCATGCTGGTGCCCACTGTGGTGTTCTGGTTGACTAATGCTCTGCTGCTGTTCGTGGACATCACTGCCAAACCCTCGTTCATCACAAAGTACCGGATCCAACAGGACAAGAACAACCCGGTAACTGTCATTAGATCTGTCTCCAAGTGTTTGTTTGTATATATGTAATAATAGCAGTCAGTGACACAACAGAACAGAAGAGCCCAGTAACTCTCACTAGATATCTAGAGATACTTGAAGCTGATGTCATCAGCATACTGTGATGCTAACTGCAAGTACTGCTCTCTCTGAGCACAATTTCAGAACTTAACTGAAAATACAACAGATGAGCTGATTTGAGTTAAACGAGTCTCTCACACATAAAAGTACTGTCACACGTTAGCTAGCATTAGCCAACAGTTTTTCAGTTGGTCACTTTCACCTTTTTGTTGAGAATCAAACTCCTAAACAGGACCTTGAACGCTTGTATTCTTCCTGAAAATGTACTGTTTAAATACATTTTATAATTTTTCTTGAGTTTTCAGACTTAATCTTAATTTTTTGACAATGTCTGCTAATGTGTGCATTGTGTCACCATGGTAAAAGATGAACAGATTCTACAATGTGATGATGTCATATTCTTAGATGGGAGCAAGGGACAGTTTTCGCCTATGTTTACATTGTATTTTACCATGAAATCTCCAAAAGCTGAATTCACAAATGTTGAACGTGATTAGTGACTAGAGCCAAGAACTAATAATAATAATTTTAGCTGATACCCAATAACCGATAAGAACCGATACCAGAGAATGAAAACAGCATTTATTTCCTTTAAGCAAAAATAAAACAAGACAAAATTAATACAAATATCTGAAGCAGCTGTTATTTATCCTTCAAGTGACAACAGAACAGCTTTGTGAAATACAAAATCAAACATTCTGAGAGTTTCTGGGCCGTCTCCGACTGACCAGTAAATGTCTTTTTACCATACATCTAGTGCATATGCCATATTTATCACGGCACATCACCTTAAAGCATCATTTTATCAGTCAATAAAAGTGCAATGGACCAGGGACCGTTGAACTAGCCTACTTGTGTTTTGTTTGCCTTCCCTTGTCTGTTTTGTTTAGTCGTTAGGGCCCATATTACACCATTTTCTGATCTATGTTACAATGTTGTTTCCTCATCACAAACAGACCTGGAGTTGTGTTTTGTTTCATTCACACATGTTTTTTTATTATTATTATAATAAATATATTTATTTCATTTAATTCCTAAAATATAAAAAACATAATCGGTGTGATAACATGAAACATGCAAGAACTGAATGAAAACAACAGAAGTGCAATCTGATGTGAGCTGTGTTTTTCCACATTATACTTTAACACTGACATAAACATAAACATGAATCCACTGCAAACCGATATCTGCACTTTGTCATGATGCCATGGAGACAGAAAACCATACTTTGGAACAATTTCCATTGACATATAGAGAAGAAATGAGTCAGGTTTGTGGCGATGCAAGCCCACTCACAGTAACGCTGCATGCTTTTCAGCACAATAAACACATCATCTGCAGTTTTCTGACATATTTGATGTAGATTGTATTCAGTGTTGGGGAGTAACGGATTACATGTACCGCCGTTACGTAATCAGAGTACAAATTATGAGTAACTGTATTCCGTTACAGTTACTGTTTCAATGAGTGGTAATTGGATTACAGTTACTTTGCTGAAATAAGTGGATTACAAGGCGGTATTTTCCTGTTTTCACATTTTGTGCTACATCCCATTTATTTATTTTTTTATTTCGGTAATTTCACTCATTGCCTGAAGCCCAAACAGAACGCGCGCAATAAGAGCGATGGAAACGTCATGTTAAAGTTGGCGGTGTCAGTCACACAGTGGAAGCAGCAGTGCATTGGTAAAAACGCATTTGTGTCTTGGAAATTCTCCCGATGTGAGATATATATATATATAAAAAAAACCAAATATAAAATCACCTACAACTTAAATGTGAAACCGGAGCTACTGGCACTGGTGAAAACAACCTGCATAGACTCATAATATCTGCACTACTGTCCTATAGTGACCTGCCACATGAGGGGACGTGCACACAAACACACACAAACACAAACACACACCTTCATCATCGTCATTAACCTGAGAACCCGCGGACCACGTCTCCTTCCATAGTTACAGCGCGGACACCGCCGTCTCGTGCGCCGCGTGTGGACTGTGTTTTCTCGCGTAAACCGCGCTTCCTCCTGTGCGCCTCTAAACCAGAACTAACACCAGGACTGAACCAGGTTTAAACTAGGACTAAACCACGACTAAACCAGAACTAACACCAGGACTAAACCAGGACTAAACCAGGACTAAATCAGGTCTAAACAACATGACACCTAACAGTAGGTTGACATAATTTAAGGTGATCTCATATAATTTCTCTATCAATAATATTTTTTAATATGGTGAAGGAAAGGCTTATCTTGTTACTGTCTTTTAACAGACAAAACCTCTTACATTAAGATATCGTGGTCTTTGTTTCTTGAGACTTGGGCTCAGACAATTTGAAGACAACAAACAAGAATTTTGAGGATGTGTTTGCTACATTCATGTCATTTAAAAAAACATGACAATATCAAGTAATCCAAAGTAATCAGATTACGTTACTCACTTAAAGTAATTTAACGGATTACATTACAAATTACATTTTGGGGTGTGTAATCTGTAATCTGTAGGGGATTACATTTTAAAAGTAACCTTCCCAACACTGATTGTATTACATTTCAGGGCTAGCTGGGTAGCATAGCTTTTGCCAAAAAATAGACTTATTTAAAAGCGTGTTCTTCCCATTTGGATGTTTTTATTGAAAAACAAATAAAAACCTACATTCTTACTGTGGTGGGCTTGCATCTCCATAAACTCTTCTATGTCCTGGAAGACATAGAAGATGTCCATGGAAATGTTGTTCCTTTGGCTACATTATGATATATTATGTGTCTCCAATGTTCCAAAGTGTGATTTTAATTTGGATTTCCATGGAATCTTGCGGGTGATGTGCCACCTCCAGTAAGTCATGAGGTTGTACAGTGGAAGGAGCAGGAGAAGATGAGAGTGTGCAGTGTTTACTTGTTTATTATGAGCTTGTCTTTCAAGGGCCATTGAAATCATGATTACATTTGATTCCAGTTGAATTCCAGTTCATCTGCAGTGCTCATTTCCAGTATGTTTAGTCTTAATAGTCCAGGCTGATGCCTGGACTATTAACCAGACCCAACACTGTAGTTTTGATGACTTGTGTGCTCTCACCAGCACAGGTTCATCTGAACTGCGATCCTCATCCTAACAAGTATTAGGCCCGAGCCCCGACAGGGCGTAGGGCCTATTGCTTCCGCTAAGCGGAGCGAATGGGGAGCGACGTGCGCATGTCCGAATGCGACAAGACGACATGCAACATTGTCCTTGGTCGCCCCCGGCACGAACAGCAGTATCCCAGTAACCCAAGCCCAAGGCCTGGCTCATATTTACTACTGCTAAAATGAATATAAGTCAATGGGAGGTTGGGGGGCGACCCCAGCAAGATGGTGCAGACGCAACTGCAACTTGACCTCTGACAACACTGACTGATCCACCCTGAGACCAAAGCGTTAATTATCAAGAGCATAATTTGGGAGGGTTTTAGCTTTCATATGAGACATTTCTAAAACCAATCGATTAATTTAAAGTCAGGTTATAAGCTTTTGTTTCTACAAAATGGATAAGCGACAAGACTTTTTTCAGGGACTGTATATAAAAAAAATATATTACATGCACAGTCTTAGACCGATCATGCTGAAATTTTAATCACTAATGCATGATCTCAGTCTGAATATAATCCACTATAAAACATATGAAAACTGAACACCATAGCGCCCCCTACCATACACATAAAACGTCAACATTATCGGAATTGTACCAAACTTGGGAATTACATTCTATTATTGACTAGATGCAAAAACCTATCTTACTGACATGGGCATTTTTCATGGTTGGCCAGCAGGGGGTGCAAATAATATTTAAAGGCACACTATGTCATTGCTCCGTTTGTGGGTGCAGCGTTTGCGGGCACGGCGTTTAGGGCATGGTGTTGGCGGGGCACACCATTTGTGGACGCGGCGTTTGCGGGTGCGACAGGTGAGGGCCGTTTGACGCCGCTTGCGGCTTTAATTAAACTTTCCTTTTGTTAAAGACCTTTTACAGTGCAGCAAATTAGTAAAAAAAAGTTCACTTTGGCCTAGGTACTCTCTAAGGGCTACTATTTTGGAAAAAGCTATTGGCCTGTCAAAAATTCAATATTACCATATTGAATTTTTGACAGGCCAATGGCTTTTTGACCAAACGTCCGTTTTTTCCCGGACATTTATTGCGTCCTCTCCTGGCCGTCCGGGGGTTTTTTTTTTTATAAAATGATGCAAATGCCTGGGTTTTCATATTCTGTCTTTGGGCCATTAAATTGAGCGGCTCTCGTGCAGTCAGAAGGAGCGAGCCGACACAAACAGTCAGTCGGGACAAGTGGTGGGCCATGTGCACAGTGTACAAAGCAGGCACACCGAAAAACATTAAAAAGCTTTGCCAGGTGAGAGTAGCTCAATGTCAAGGACAAGGCCCCACCTCCCACCCCCCATATTGTGTCCTGGTTTTGACAAACTGAAATATGGTCACCCTACAATATGGTGGCCATTTTTCAAGATGGCCACCATTGCTATTAAATGGTTATTATATAAATCATTCAAAAGTGATCCAAGCATAACATTATATATAAATATTCTTGTTACCCTTGGCTCAGCTCTCCCTCGCTGGCACAACCTGTCAATTCAGTTGCAGCTGTCTATCTCAGAGTCCTGCACTGTGCACCCAAATAATTGCTGAAATGGGCAGATTTTAACGTTCTGGAATTTTGTGGGTGGGTAGTGATCACACACGGGCGGGTCAGGTGAATCAAATGAACAACGAATGGGTAGAAAAATACTTAACGTGCGTCCAGGACGTCCGTTGCCCTGGAAACAAGTGCCGTTTCCTGGTCTTTTCTCAGGACAATGGACCAAACAGAGAGATTTTAGTGTTTTTGTTACATAAAACCATCAGTGGAGGAGAATGGCTCAGCGGCTGCGCTCCTGGTTTAGTCCTGGTGTAGCCTTGGCAGTTGGCTCGGCGGTTGCAGTGTGTAAATATTTATGCTAATTGCATAAATGTATATTTATGCTAAATGCTGGTGTAGTCCTGGTGTAGTCCTGGTGTAGTTCTGGTGTAGTCCTGGTTTAATCCTGGTTTAATCCTGGTTTAATCCTGGTTTAGTCCTGGTGTAGTCCTAGCCATCAGCTCAGCGGTTGTGGTGTGTATATATTTATAATCCACTAATGACACGGCGTAGGTTCACTCCTGGTTTAGTCCTGGACTATTGGGCTGTTGGACTAATGGGCTGACCCTGATTTATCACGGGTGGGTAAGGGGTGGATTTTAATGGCTCTGGGCGGGTGTGGTGCTGTACTGTGCGAGTGCAGGTTTCCAAAAATGGACCCGTGCAGGACTCTGATCTAAGTCCATATATTTCTTGCTAATTGATGAGGGGCTGTTAGACGCATTTGGGACACTAAACTATTACTACGTGTCAAGAACTACAGTGTAAGTCTAACTAGATGAGCTGACACTGAAGCCCAGGCTGAGTTTCACAGCAGTGAAGTCACCAGTGCCCTGGTTGTGTCATGATATTCACTCGATTAAACTAAACGTTCCTTAACACATTCAACTGAGCTCTGACAGAAACGGTGGCCATCTTGAATTTTTGAGTGGCACACACCTTTTTCCATGAGAATGTTCCTTGAAGAATGTTTGTACCAATCTTGATGAGAGCATCACCATTTGATAAATTGAGGTAAAGATTTAAGAGAAATGGCAACCACCTTGAAAAATGGTGGTGATCATCCTGAACAATGGTTGTCGTTTTGATTTGAACAGAGTATTTTCACAAAATGCTACACTATGTTTGAATACTGGACATAATGAGCATTAGACAAAATAGCAGCCATCTTGAAAAAATTGCCGCCATTTTGAATTTTTGGGTGGCCAACACCTTTTTCCCAAAAAGTGGCCCTTCGAGAGTATCTGTGCCAAATGTCATGCTTTTATACCAAAGTGAACGATTCTCTGGAAATATACAACTAACCTGCTGCTTTATTATACTAAAAGAACTTTTCAGAGTTTTAATCAGAGTGTTTTCCCTTCTCATTTACACTCTGAAGTTTGTATTTGGACTGATTTGTGCATGTTTGGGCAATCTTTAATTACTTATTTTCAAGGCCTCATTTTACTGATCAAACTCTGTTTTCACATGTCCAATCCTCTGTACTTACTTTGTTCTCCAGTTTTATTTTCTTTATTGGCAATACGATGTCAGATCCCAATGGGCACTGCAGTTTTCTAACTCAGTGAACTTCTTTCTTTATTAAGAATTTTAGATGAATATAGTGATTTAGAATGTAGAAATTCTAACACAATGCTCCACAGGTGTCAGAGATTATAACTATATAACAGACACAGGCACACTAGGTCCGCTTTAATATTCAGCACTCGTTGATTTTGATGCTTGAATCTGCAGAGTCCTCTACATACAGTATGTAATTGGTGTATTTCTCGGTGAGTGTGGAGAGGAACATGAGTGTGATTAGATTATGCTTTGCAGTGCAGTTACATCTATACTTTTTCCATGGGCCTGTCCATGTGTCCACTCCAAAGTCCAGCTCTGATATGCCTCCGGGACACTGCGCTGATACACTCTGACCTCAGATTACCTCAGATTACAACAGTTCAATCATCAAGGAGAGATTAAATCCAGACACACAGGAAAACACTGTCAAAGGGAAAGTAAACCAGGACTTGATCAGGACTAGACCAGGGTTAAACCAGGACTAGACCAGGACTACATCAGGACTAGATCAGGACTAGTCCTGACTCCACCAGGATTAGAACAGGCCTAAACAAGGACTAGACCAGGACTAGACCATAACTAGACCATAACTAGACCATGACTAGATCAGGACTAGACCAGGACTAAACCAGGACTAGACCATAACTAGACCATGACTAGATCAGGACTAGACCATGACTAGAACAGGACTAAACCAGGACTAAACCTAGGCCTAGAACAGGACTAAATCAGGACTAGATCAGGATTTAACAGGCTTAAACCAGGATTAAAACAGAACTAAACCAGAACTATGCTAGCTCAGGACTAAACCTGGACTAAACCAGTTTTTTGAATGCCATCCACTTGTATTGTTGTGTTTAGCAGCTGTATTTGAAGCAGTAAAACATGAAATTCTGATACTACAGCCAGACTACTCATAAAACTGTAGCCTCAGACCTGGACAGACTTGTTAATTTATTTATTATCTTTTTGGTCTACAATGTGTCATACTCTCAGATGAGGTCAGAGACAGATTTGAACCTGATAATTTTTATTTATTTTTTATTCAGGCTGACTAAGGTATACTTATTCCAGAGTGGTAGTCTGTTTTTCTTTATTTTTGTGTTAAGTTGAAGGTAACGTTTCTGGTGGAAGGTCTGCCGCCTGCTTGTTTCCATGGAGATGTTATTCCTTGGTCAGGGTGTTTCACAGTATAGCATTAAACTTATCTATTTGAACTGAGACGAGCTTGTGACATTACTGGGCCAAGTGATTGGTCAGGTCAGTGGAGAGGCGACCCAGCAAGAATTTTATGAATAAACACACCAGGAACTGAATAAACACAAGCTAGTGCCATACTGTAGGACACAGTCTCCATGGAGACAAGGCTTATATACTTCACCTTTTAAAAGACTCATCTGTGCTTGTCTCAGCCTCAGAAATTGATTTTCACTGTCTTTAAAAAAAAGTTCATTTGAAACAGTTTGCAGTGCTCCAAAGTTACTCCTCACTTACCTTATGCATTCAGAGCGTCCTAATTATTCACCATGATGAATTTATAAGCACTTTTCACAACTTTCAGAGGCCAGAGCTGAGTTTTGACATTACAATAATGCACAACTAGCATGCTAATGTGCATTTCCTGATTGTTAGGCAATAAAACGTGTGATAATTAGATGCAGACAGTACATAGCAGATTATTTTGACCTCAAGAGCTGCTTATACAATATCTGTACCAAGGCAAGACACATTTAGCTCAGATACATGGGGGGTTAAATCAGGTACAAGCGCTAATTCTCATCTCAGACTCTTTTGTTTTTGCTCTTTAGGTGGACCCTGCCAAGCTGCGTCACGCCCTGAAGATTGTGCTATTTAACCAGGTGTGCATCTCAGGGGCCATGGTGGTGGCGGCATACCACCTCATGTCCTACAGGGGACAGCCCTGTGGCCCCGAGCTGCCCACGTTCCACTGGGCTCTGCTGGAGCTGACTGCCTTCGCCATAATCGAGGAAGTGCTGTTCTACTACTCCCACAGGTACAGGAAAGTGCTGTTACAGGTACAGGAAGCGTAAATTGTTTAATGACTTAGAGCGTCTGGAAAAGCACTGTATAAAACTAATGCATTATTATAATTATTAAATCGGCCTAAAGAATGTTGTGGTGTCATCTGAAACCCATAAATGTGTAAACACTGACATGCACCCTCGAGTGTTGCACACATGTATACACAGGTGTCTCTGTCTCTCAGACTCTTCCACCAGCCCAGTCTGTACAAGACCTTCCACAAACAGCACCACGAGTGGACAGCTCCCATCGGCATAGTCTGCATCTACGCCCACCCTCTGGAACATGTGGTCAGTACAACTGCCCCACCACAACTGCAGTTTCCCCTGAAATCACAAAACAAAGGCCAAAACCTCATCAGAGTTGCACAATATTTATGATGAGACTAATAAAAATAAATCACAACAATCATACCTTTATTTTTTTATTGTTTATTCTGTCACAAAAATGCCTTGTTTCTGCATAAATTGTTTCTGCATTTTGAAATGAGTTTTCCATGTTGATGACATGGATAGAAGGATTATGTGTTAGAACCCCAGACTGTGTATATAAATGGACATAGCTAACCTGCAAGCCAGTGCGTACCAAATAAGAAGTGAGCCTGGTTGCTGTATTTTCTATAAATAAATTCCCATTCCTATTATGGAACAAGTTCCAAATTCGGCCCTACAATTTGCCAGCCTTGATGAGCCTCATTCGACTGGAGCTGACCCCATATGGGGACGTCCACTTCTTTATACAGTCTATGGTTAGAACTTGAGCTCCTTCCTCTAATTTTTTACCTTTCTTCTGAAGTTTTTCCCACAAATTGCCACTTAACTGATGTAAAACTATGATAAATATTTAGCACAGGTACTATCAACCAAAGCAAGTCAGAATCAGAAAAACATGAAAAGCTGTCACATGCCCTTTAACCCTTTAACCCTCTGTGTGTGTTGGGTCAGATCTCAAACATGTTGCCCGTAGCGATCGGGCCAGTATTGTTGGGCTCTCACCTCAGCACTACGTGTCTGTGGTACTGCCTGGCCCTCATCAGCACCACTGTGTCTCATTGTGGGTACCATCTGCCCTTCCTCCCATCACCAGAGTTCCACGACTTCCACCACCTCAGGTACGTGCCCACTCAAACGCCACGGGACTGTGGGGACTGTAGTGCATGCATACTGCAGGGGGCGCTCACCACATTTTAGAATTCACCTAGAAAATAAACTAACTTGCGTTATTCAGTGAGAGAGTGTTTATTTTATGTATACTGACAGAGACTGAGCCAGGTTCAAGAATTACAAATATATGAACCATAAAACAGGTCAACAAATGTGCATTACAGCTACTTTTTACCTTTAGTTCAGCAGAGACTGATATTTCCTGGGCTAAAATTATCTGAATGATTCCAAAGAAGAAATATGGAGTTTAAAAATACAGTGGAGCACTTTCTGTATTACCACATGGCATCCCAATCTGCAGGGTTTGTGTGTATAAATATGTGTGAGTGAAACAAAACACAACTCCAGGTCTGTTTGTGATGAGGACACATTATATAGCATACATCAGAAAGTGTAATATGGGCCCTTTAACCATGAGCCCTGTTCTGTGTCTCAGGTTTAATCAGTGCTATGGTGTTCTCGGGATCTTAGACAGACTCCACGGCACCGACTCAAAGTTCCGTCAAACCAAACAGTACGAACGCCACACACTTCTCACCAGCCTGACCCCCCTGACCGAGAGCATCCCTGACGTGCCCAAGAAAGGCCTCTGAACCTGGGGTAACTCTGTGAGCAGGTCCCCATCTATTGCAGCTGGAGCCTGGAACCCACTGTACCTGATTTTTACTGTCTTAAAAACATGAAAACAGAGCAAGTTCATTTTAAAGGGTTTGCTGTGGTCCAGTTATTCCTCACTTACCTTATGCATTCAGAGCATCCTAATTTAATGAGTTATATATTTAAGGAAACCAGTTAATTCAACTATTTAAATGTATTATTAATGTGTATAGTTTGATGTTCAAGTACTTATTATCAAAACATTTAACATTATGATTTGAGAGATTTTTTACGTCAGATGCCCTTCCTAGTTTTGTCAATGAGCAATATTATGCACTCATGGGAGATCTGAATCGGCTACCTTCTGGATAGTGGGCAAATATTTAACACAAAACAGTTAAAAAATACTTGAAATTCATTTTTAAGGTAACTGCTTCTGAAAGACATTGTAAGCTTAACAAAAAGTGCACTTAATGAATCTCTAACCAACTATGACACTAAAGAATTTCATTTTTTCACAGTGGTAAAATAATTATAATTTAGATTTCACATATTTTCCTCATTTCATGTATGTTTAGACAAGAGTTAACAAAATGTGTTTGCTTTCATTTCCTTGTTGCACTAGCCAAGCCATACGCACAATAATGGTGAATATCTAAGCTAACCTGAGACAAACAGGTAGTATACTTTATGGATTGTATTCAACTACTCTTAAATTCTCATGTTTAACACTTTTATCACAATGTTTAAACTTTGCACTTGGAAACAGAGCAATGCAAACGATGCTCCGAAAGCCTCCATTTAAAGATTGTATTTTGAATTATTCTGTAATTGTTTAAGTAATTTTTGTGTTTTTTAAAGTGTATGTTTAAATTGAATGTTGAGTAAAATAAGTGTTTAAAGCTTCTTGTTGCGGGTGTACTTATTATAAATGTCGAGAGAGCAGCGACATCTGGTGGTCAAATTAACTGACTCGACAGTTATGTGAATAGTTTTGTAATTGGTCACTTTTAGGGCAAAACAACTCACTGGAAAATCAGCATTACAATCCTTAGTAATAAAAACACTGGACATGTCTTTTATATTTTAATTGGATTGGTCTTGAGAACCAATACACCAATCACCAATTTATTTATAATTTGTCAAATTTATGGGATTGGATACCCAGCACATCCACAATAATACAGACTTAACTAAACACACATACAAAAAAAATAAAATAAATAATAATAATAATAATAAATAATGATAATAATACCAAAAAAAAAAAAAAAAGGGGGGGGGGGGGGGTGTAGTACAGAGTTTCTCAATGCAGTGACACAAACATTTACATACACATATATTTTGACATTATCCAAGAGTATGTTATTCTTATTTTACTGTGCTTTGCCCAAATAGGGTTTTGCCACAGTCCATAGGTCAACAGTCCGTTTGTTTTTTGTGTTCAACGATTGAGCCGCCTGCTCCATAGAAATTAAATCAAAAAAATCTTTGTACCAATTGTCTGTCTCGAAGCACTTATGTTTGCGTTCCTTCCAGTTCATCATAATAATACGTTTTGCTGATAAAAAACCCAGTGATAATATGTGGTCCAATTTTTGGGATGACAAATCTTGAGTTCTTATTCCAAACAGGCACAACAACGGGCATAGAGAAATCTGCACATCAAACATACAAGACAGATAATCCATTACAATGCTCCAATATTGTTTCACTTCAGGGCAATGCCACAACATGTGTATGAGTGTGCCCTCTGCCCCACAACCATGCCAACACAGTTTAGATAATTTGTTATCCATTTTGTTTAATATATATGGTGTTGTATAAGCTCGATGTAATAATTTGAGCTGCAGAATTTTATATCTCGCACATTTAGAAATTTTTGTGGAGTTTTGCAGTGCTGTTTCCCATTGTGAGGCAGTAATAGGCATTCTCAAATCACGTACCCATAGATTTTTTGTTGAATTATTGACATCCCCTTTAGTGTGACGTAAAAGTTTATAAATTCTTGAGACTGTACCTTGTCATGCAACAGCACGTTTTAATTTTTCCTCCAACTCCTTCTTGTCCCCCATGCTCTTATCCTGTGACAATGAAGATTTTAAGACAGATTTAATTTGCATGTAAGTTAAGAATTCAGATTCTTTCAAACCACTCCTAGTTTTTAATTCATTGAATGATATAAAATTATTTCCATTCTTAATCGCCTGTGATACATTATTAATATTACTTAATTGCCAGGTTTTGTTATTTAGAGTTCTTTTACCTGCCATAAACAGGGGATTGGACCAAAGGGGACAAGAAGGTAAGGATTTCCCAGTAAAGTTTAAATATTTCAGCAATAATTTGATAATATCACCAGAAAATTTAAGCAATGGATTATTAATATTTGAGATAGTCTTAGGACTGTACCAAAGGGTCGCTAATGATAAATCTGGATTGTACTCTTGTACTATTTTTTCCTCAAGCCATTTCCAGCTTCCAGTTTCTCGAGGACTACAATAGGCCCAGTTTAGGGGATACCTAGAATTATATGCTATATAATATAAATAAATATCTGGCAGTCCCACTCCACCCTTGTCAGGGGGTTGAATCAATTTTTTATGGCCAATTTGTTTTCTTTAAACCATTTTGAGGGGAATTTTAGAGGAATAGATGAGATAATGAAAGCTAGTCTAGGAAGAAAATTCATTTTAATTGTTTCAGCTCTGCCCCACAGTGAGAGGGGCAGAACTGTCCATCTTTGTACATCTTCCTTAAGAGTCTTCATGAGGTCGACCATATTCAATTCGACCATAGTCTCAACAGGAGATCTGATTTGGACACCAAGATATTTCATACTTTTAGGTTTCCACTGGAAGGGGGCAGTATTGAGATGAGACTGGAAGGTATAATGGTTAAGAGGGATAGCCTCACTTTTTGCATAGTTAACTTTGTATCCAGAAATTTTTCCAAAATCATCAACTAATTTAAGCAACTGTGGACTATATCTTTGTGGATTTGTTATAGTTAATAAAATATCATCCGCAAATAAATTTAATTTGAATTCATAATCTGCAATATTAATACCCGAAATAGTTTTGTGTGCCCGTATTGCACACGCCAGTGGCTCTAAAGCAAGAATAAAAATAAGGGGAGAGGCTGGACATCCTTGACGTGTAGAGCGGTATAATTGAAAAGATTCAGATAGCATACCATTCGTTTTTACTTTTGCTAATGGCAGGTGGTAGAGAGCTTTCACCCAATTGATATACTTAGGACCAAACCCATATTTAGAGAGTACATAAAATAAATATTCCCATTCAATCCTATCAAAGGCTTTTTCAGCATCCAGAGACAATGCTATCGCTGGATGCTGAAAGTCCTCTGCCCTCTTCATCACATGCAGAAGCCTCCTTAAGTTATTAGAGGCCAAACGACCTTGAATAAAGCCTGTTTGCTCTACATGAATCAACATAGGAATGACTTTTTACATTCGCTTTGCCAATAATTTAGCAAACAATTTATAATCATTATTTAGAATGCTCAAAGGTCTATAATTATTCATTTGCTGGTGATCTTTTCCTATTTTAGGAATAAGCGATATGGAGGCCTGCCGCATTGTTGGTGGCATTGAGTATTTGTCTATTATATCATTAAATAATAATGTCAGGTAAGGAGCAAGAATCTCCTGAAAACATTTATAAAATTCTATTGTATATCTGTCATTTCCTGGTGTTTTCCCATTTGACAGAGATGTAATTGCAGTTTTAATTTCATTTGTTTGAATCGGTCTTTGTTAGAGAAGGTAAGTTTAAGTTTTGAAGAAAATCCTCTATGTCATTCCCATTACAATAACACTCTGATTTATAAAGATTACTATAAAAATTGGCAAATGCTTGATTAATCTCCTTAGGGTCATTTATCAGTAGACCATTATTATTATAGATTGATGAGATTGATTGGCGGCTCTCTTGTTGTTTTAGTTTTAGAGCAAGCACTTTGCCTGCTTCATCTCCAGACTCATAGAATTGCTTTCGTAGCTTAAAAAGTGCATAAGCGTTCTCTTCATGGAGAAATGATTGATATTCATTTCTACATAACAGCATGGCATGTTTAACCAGAGTGTTATTAGGGTCAGACATGTGTTCTATTTCTAGCTGCTTGAGTTTTTTCGCAAGTTCGTTCTTATGTTTTAATTTTTCAATTTTTGTAGCAGTTGAGTAACTAATAATCCACCCTCTACAAGTTACCTTGTATGCCTCCCATACGGTCTGGACAGAGTCTACAGAGTTTAAATTATTTTCAAAATATTCCTGTGTATTATTTTGTATCAGTGTCACAAAAGACTGCTCTTTTAATAAGGAATTATTAAATCTCCATTGTCTGTTTTTGCTTTGATACATCTTTGTTGTTGAAATTAAGACAGATAACGGTGCATGGTCAGATATAATAAGATTATGGATCTTACATTCTATAACATTTTTGATTATCATATGTGATAAAAGAAAATAATCTATCCTGGAATATGAATTATGAACATGAAAATAATAAGTATATTCACGATTATCAGGATGTACCACACCCCATATGTCAGATAAGTTCAGAGAATCTTGTAATTCTCTTAAAGCATTAGACAATACTCTATCAGATGGGAGGGGGCCCTTCGACCTGTCCACTAGAGCATCACTGACCAGATTTAAATCGCTCCCTAACAGAATAGGGTGGCCTACAAATTCTGCTAATATTAAGTTAAGTTTAGGTAGGAAAATATTTTGTCCAGTGTTTGGGGCATAAACATTAACAAATGTACATCTTTCATGTTGTAAAAGTCCTGATAAAATAATATATCTCCCATCTTTGTCAATAATCTGTTTTAATAATGTGAATTTCATTTTTTTTTAGAATAATATACTAACTCCTCTTGATGCTCCATTACCTGGGGCAGAAAAGACCTGTCCCACCCATCTTTGCTTTAACTTGGCTGACTCTTTCTCTTTTAAATGAGTTTCCTGGAGTAGTGCTGTGTCACAAGCAAGGGATTTCAAATGAGAAATAATTGTATATCTTTTAGTTTTATTGGAAATCCCTTTAACATTCCAGGAAATCATATTAATGTTTATGCCCATAATCTACATATATATTGCTTAGTGAACTCTGTACTACAACACTGGGAGGGGGGTGGGGGAGGGGAAATAAAAATAACTAAAGTAAAATAAAAAAACAAACAAAAAATAATAATAAACAAACAAATAAACAAAAAAAGAACAAAGATAAAGAATCTACAAAATGTATATAAAAAAAAAGCCATGAGGCAGTAGAAAAACAAAAATAGTGGGTAAAGGCCCACTTATCATTAGTCCGTGACGAAAAAAGAAAAAAAAAAGTGCAGGCGTCCCCAAATCCACTCTGTCCCTTATGTCTGATAAATTTTCTAGGGTGGCAAATTCAACATAAATTTTATTTATTATTATTATCACCATTATTATTATTCGTATCCCCTTTGCAATCACCCATTAACCAGCATCTAAGCTGAAAAGGAAAAAAAATAAATAGTCTTACTGCTGGTAAGATTCAAAGCTTCACATAGTCCACTTGCTCACTCGAACATCTTCGGAAGCCTCTTCTGTAGGTCCATTGTGGCCTGGGCTGCAGTATTGTAGATATGTTTGACCCCGTCAAACATATCTACAATACAATATGATTCAATAGTTTAAACCTAAAATGGCTCCAGCGCTTATAATCACCACGGTCTTTCCAAATACTGAGAATGAGACAAACTTGGAGGTGTCTATGTGCAGGGGAAGGCTCTGGAGACACAGGTTCAATTGTGATTGTAGTAATATTTTAAAACCATAACAATACCAGTAAAGAAATAACACACATCTGTCTAACCCCAATGATGATTAAAAGTCCACACATGGGGATTTAAGGTTTTTTTGTCCGTTTTGTGTTTTTTTTTTCTTTATTAAGGAAAAAGCAGAATTACTACAAATTACAAAGAACACTAATAGCGAATCACATCAGCCTACAAAGCAGAGATTATGAATCGTAAATGTTATGATACACGTCTCATTCAAGTATTTTACATTTTTCACTTTTAGAGATTTTTTTGTTCCTTTTAACACCGCAGTTTTCCTCCTGACGAGCCAGGCGTTTTATTCACACGTTTCTATGGTTACAAACATTTTGCAGATCATTTTATGGCTTCGTGAATTCATCCTTTAAATTTCAGTCCAAAGACAACTTTTTTCCAACATCAAGCACCATTTGAAATAGTATAGGCTGCGGCGCCCCCTATGGTTTGCATAGAGAGCTGTTTTGGTGCTTTGATCACACAGGAGAAATACATGTCAAAGATTATATTTGGAGTTCCTGTAATTTATCCAGAAGTTCAAGATTCAAACATTTGCTTTTTGTAATTGGCAAAAACAAATAATTAACAAAACAACCTTTGCTAAACAGGCTAGCTGCTAACATATAATTTTTAGCATTTACAATTTTTTTTTTAACAATTTGTTTACAACTTTTTTTTTCTTGAGTTTAAAGGCCCTGTATTACACAAAATTGACTCTTGTGAGCTTTAAGCCATATTATAATATTGTTACCTCATCAAAACAGTGTGTTAAACATGTGTGAATGAAACTAAACTCCAGGTCTGTCTTTGATGAGGAAACAATATAACAGATCAAAAAACACAGGAATATGGGCCTTTTAAAACTTCATGTATATTCAGACAAATTCAGTACAGATTTGATTTGTCCATGCTAACCAATACCATAACTCTTTAATATTTCAAACAGATTTAGAAATTAGAATTTACTCATTTAAACGTTTGTGTGAAAAAGCCTCCAAACCACAAACATTCGGTCCATTTTTGCCACCACTCATTTGATTTATTTTATTTGATAGCTCCAAAATGCTTCATTCAGGAATTTGACCAAATCTCCCAGAAATGAGGTCTGAATTTTCTCAAAAATTTTGATTTGGAGAAAGAAAATGCAACACTGACACAACAAAGATGGGCCCTGGAATCGACCAATAAAACAGGTAGGATTCTCACTACAATTCTGGCCTTTAAAGGTGCACTTCGGAACTTTTCTGGTGGAGTGTACTACTTGTCTCCATGGTGATGTTATTGCTTTGCCTATAACAGTGGCTCTCAAATCTTTCTCACCAAGTACCACCAAAGAAAAGATCTGGCTTCATCTGAGTACCATAAGATGTAAATCAGGTCTATGACAGGACTATTCCAGGTCTAATCCAGGACTAAACCAAGTCTAAGAAAATATCCACTTTTTTTTGTCCTCTTACAGCATGACTTTAAGTTGACTGTCTCCATGAACTAGGGATGGGCATGATTAGTCGATTAGTCGATAATTGATCATTAAGAATTTCATCGATTACGTAAATTTTTATCGACAAACCGAATGTAGGTTGCTGTGCGTAGCGTGACCAAACAGGGGTCCGTACATGTATCTCTCTGCACTCAGAAGGAGCGAGCAAACACAGTCGGTCAGCCTGCAACGTATCCAAAGTGCACATGCGTATTTAACGATGACTTGTACAAGAAATTCCACACTTTCCGTTGCGTTCGAGACAAGTGTGAGTCCATGTGCACAGTGTACAAAGCAGCACATATGTTTCGGTGGCCAGTGGGAAAAAGTTTTGCCAGGTGAGTGTAGCGCAATGTCGATGACGAGTCCCCACCTCCCACCGCCCGTACGGTGTCCTGGTTTTGACAAACGCAAATCTGGTCACACTAACCTGTATTCCTTTGAGTCATGTCTTTTAATCCGACAGAAGTTGAACCGCATCAGTGCACAAGAGCTGTATGTTTTATCTTCGCTTAGTTTATGCAAATTAGCGATGCGGTTTAAGTTTAGTTTCTGTGAGAGTTGAACAAAACTGAATTAAACACATTATAATAAAGGGGCTGATGTGGCTCTAGAGTGGTTACGGTTTATATGTCGTAAAGTTGAATTTATTTATGCAGATTACGAGTGCAGATAGTAATAATAATGATGATCATTTTAATATAAAAACGTTAATGATTAATCGATAATCGATCGTTAATTCTCTCGGCGATCAATCAAGAAAATTTCATCGAATGCCCATCCCTACCATGAACGCAAGCACGTTGCACCAGCAGGTCAAGTTATAGGTCTAATCCGTGGAGAGACGAGCCCACTTACAGTAAGAACGCATGCATGTTTGAGCAATAAAACCATCTGTAATCAAATAAATACTAAACAGATGAGTGTAATGTTATTTTGCGGAACATTCCTGACAAAGCAGTATGTTTCCATGGTGACAAGCAGGTGACTTTGCCTGCCACTGTAAAGGTTACACAGTGCACTTTTAAATTTCAATTGTAAATGATGTGATTTCAGATTATTCTTTGTGATAACGGTAAGAAAGCAAATGGAGTTTTTTTTTTTTATTATTGGCGATCATGATGTGACCAACTTTTGTCTTTTCAAATTCTTGGCAACTTTTTCTTTTTTTAGCAACTGACTTCAACGTTCCCTTTTGCCAACACAAAGTTCAACAGTCTGACGCAAACCCATGGCCAAAACATACAACAGAACAATGCGAGAAAAAAACACTGCAAAGATTTGTAAATTAAAAAGCATTAAAATAGAATCAGAAGACCATTTTTCCTTAAAAAACAAAACAAAAACAAAAGTAGTACATGTGTCTAAGGCAATTACATATAATCCGATCTTAATAAAACATGTCAATATTATTGGGGAAAGGGCTGGGTCTCTTCTGTCAAATTCACATTAGAGGAGAAACATCGTAAACTGCGCTATCTTGGTTCAAGTTACTCCAGATTTTTTATTTCCAGTCATGAAAAATGGACAAAATGATGGACTTTCGGAGGGTTGCAGCTAGCGTGGTATCAAGTTTGGATTTTATTATTTATTTTTCATCCCAAAGCTAGGAAGCACTTATCGGAAGCTCATCCTAACTTTTTCCATTTCGGACTTTCTGGTGAGGGGCTGTAACTTGTAACAGGCTGTTTTGGAAGACGGTTTAATGGCAACAGAGGAGGGACCAATGTATGTGAGGAGTTGGCAGACTTGCGGATGATTTTGTCAATGATTTACAGTCAAACCAAGAAGGTAGCGGCACGTTTTGAAGCGGTAAAACCATTCAAATAAGGCAACTTTCAACAATAGTGTCCGTAGTGAGGTTTTAATGTCACTCATTTGGTTCATAGTTTGTTTTTTCCCCGCGAAATGTCCAGCGTTTTGAGTATTTTCGCCATTATTTGGGGGCAATACATCTGCACATGCCATTGCATCAGTCGCTAAATCGGTTTCAACCCACTTTGGTCCAAGTTGGATGTACAGGAGCATCATGGCCACCAGAGGGCGCCAGTGAGTGAGGGGTGCAGTTCATTACTCAAGTTTAACGTCAAATCCCCAAAAGTTTCTCCAAATCAAAAATAAACGTTTATTTGGACGTCGACAAGACACTGGAGGAGCTCAGAACTGGAACAAAAATTAAATATTTAAAAGAAAAATCCAAATGATCACGTGTGATTGGTTCAAAAAAATTTAATTTAAATTAAAATAAAAAAAAGTGGGGGAAAAAAAAATACACCAAAATTTTATATTTGCCTCATCAAGACAAGAAAAAATGTAATAAAATAAATTGGGCCACTGATGAATCCAGTTTTCATGGGGCTGAGTAACTCCTCTCTGCTCCGTGTGGTGAAACAACGACTTGCAGATATTTTATTTAAAGATATTTTTGAGTCAGTCTGAGTCGTGGGAGTTATTTAGGGGAGTGGTCAGCAGAGGAAGGGGCGGGCTTTGCGTTGTCCTTGGCTGCAGTGGAGGTATAGGGGGCAGACGTGGCTCCGTGGCTGGGCCCAGAGACGGGAGCGGTGTTAGGGGTATAGCTGGCCTGGCTCTGGGGTCTGCTGCTGGAGCTCTGAGAGGGGTGTCTGCGCCGGCCCTCCCCACTTGAGGAGTGCCGTCTGCGGCCGCCGTCCTCCATGGGGGGCTGGGGGGAAATGTGGAGGTTACACATACAGCTCATTACCACTTTTATTTTTATACTCTTGACTGATTCTTTGATTTTCAAACTTTCCATTTTGTAAAGCCCTACAGTGATTCTGAACAGTACAAAATTATTAAGATGAATGAGTATCTTTTTAAATATATTTATCATTCAAAGGTCTTTGAATTGTATTTATTCAGCTTATTATTTTTAGACACTTTACTTTTATTTACACTACATTTAATTCATAAGAATTCATCAGAAGTGTCACTCTCCCTGTAAAAATATTTGAGCATGAGCATATTTGAAATTATGAGACTGTTCTTCTCAGCTTTGTGGAGCAAAGGTTTGGTTTGTGTGGCACTCACGTCGATCCTGAAGTCCTCCAGGCGTTTGAACTTGCTCAGATATTGCTGCAGCTTGGTGTCGATCTCCAGAGTTTTGGCTTGTTTCGAGTATTTCAAAAAGGCCCAGAACTTCTCCAGCCCATAGAGCTGACCTGCATACAAACAGCAACACCACGGTTCAAGAGAGGAAAGCTCAGCATTTTCACTTTAAAGGCTTTTGACTGAAACAGAACTAGGTCATTTTAAAAGGTTTGCTGGGAGCCACAGTTATTTCTCCCTTACCTTATGTATTGCAAGCATTCAGAATAATTCACTGTGAGGAGTTCTGATGTGGTGATGGGTCCATTTCAGGAGGAGTCAGCCTTCAATAAACCCAATTGATATACTTTGATCCAGAACATTCTGGATTGATACCCATTTCCAAATGCTGCTTCAAAACTGATCCATCCATCCATCCATTTTCTTCCGCTTATCCAGGGCTGGGTCGCAGGGGCAGCAGTCTGAGCAGGGACTCCCAGACTTCCCTCACCCCAGACACGTCCTCCAGCTCCTGTGGGGGGATCCCAAGGCATTCCCAGGCCAGCCCAACGTGTCCTGGGTCTTCCCCGGGGCCTCCTCCCAGTGGGACGTGCCCAGAACACCTACCCGAGCCACCTCAACTGGCTCCTCTCAACGTGGAGGAGCAGCGGCTCTACTCCGAGCTCCTCCTGTGTGCCTGAGCTCCTCACCCTATCTCTAAGGAAGCGCCCAGCCACCCTGCGGATCTCTTGTATCCGAGATCTTGTCTTTTTGGTCATTACCCAGAGCTCATGACCATAGGTGAGAGTAGGATTGAAGATTGACCTGTAAATCGAGAGCTTCATCTTTCGACTCAGCTCCCTCTTCACCACAACGGTTCGATACAGCGACCGCATCACTGCAGACGCTGCACCGATCCGCCTGTCAATCTCACGCTCCATCCTCCTCTCACTCGTGAATAAGACCCTGAGATACCTAAATTCCTCCACTTGAGGCAAGGACTCTCCACCCACCTGGAGAGGGCAAGCCACCTTTTTCCAGTCAAGAACCATGGCCTTGGACTTGGAAGAGCTGATTCTCATTCCAGCCGCTTCACACTCGGGTCAAACCGCCCCAGTGCTGGAGGTCCTGGCTTGATGAAGCCAACAGGACAACATCATCTGCAAACAGCAGAGATGAGATCCTGTGGTCTCCAAACTGAACCCCCTCCGGCCCCTGACTGCAGCTAGAAATTCTGTCCATAAATACAATGAACAGAACCGGTGACAAAAGGCAGCCTTGGCGGAGTCCAACATGCACTAGGAACAGGTCTAACTTACTGCCAGCAATGCGAACACAGCTCCCGCCCCGGCCGCCCCGGCCCCCCCCCGCCCCCCCCAGGACACCACGAGGGACATGGTCGAATGCCTTCTCCAGATCCACAAAGCATTGGAACAGTTTGAAAATCAGGTAGCTCAGTTTGAGCAGTAAACGGTTCTCACCGGCTTCATAGTCCTTCATGGTCTCCTCCTGGAAGTCCTTGAAGATGTCCGGTCTGAATTTTTTCTCCAGACCATAGCTGTAGTACCTGAAGAGGCATTCAAGTCCATATCTGGAACAGGAAAAAAACAAATGGCATTATTTTGACATTACTGACTTTAGTTCAAATCTTAAATAAATTTGAGTTGCCAGTGTACATCTTAAACAAAATCTCTTATGGAAATGTCTACACCCTTTGCTGGCAATACTTTTCAAATTCATGTTTTTATTTTTCAGTCAATATATAGATCAATATAATTCAACCTTGTTTCATGAATTCATAGAAAACTGGAAAATTCCACCCTATTCTAACCCGTGTCCTTTTAAACATGCTGATGTGGGCTGTACCTGTATCCCTCCTTGCCGTCCTCCACCACCAGCTGCCTGAATTCCTCGTACATCTTTCGGTTGAAGTGATCTCTCAAAAAAAACGACCAGAATCGGAACAGCGTGTTCATCTCCTGCGATTGGCCGATCCCCAGCCTCTTCCGCTCTGTAATTGGTTAAAATAATATCATTATTAAATACAGTAAATTCAATAAGAGTAGGAATGGTCCAGTCCCCTTTTACTGTGGTGTCCAGTTCCTGGTTCAATTACCATTGAGGCAGCGTCGGCGGTACTTGTGGTAGACGTGTTGTGTGAATCCGTTCTCCTTGAGCAGTTCGTGGGAGGGGTGCTGAAACTTGGGCAGGGACTGAGGCGTGGCTCCAATGGTGCCCAGGACGGGAGTGGCCTCGGAGGGGCTGGTGTTGGAACTGACGGAGGCGGTCCTGGAGCGGTGCTCTCGGGAGTCCATGACCCAACCTACGTGGCACTCCAAAGGGGGGTTGGAGCTGTGCCTGGTTTTCCTCTTCCTGGGCGTCTGAGGCAAGAATACAAAGGCGAGTGGACTAAATATAAAAATAACTTTATGAAACAGTATTGACTCGCACTGCATAAACTAAATATGGGGTTCTTAAGTGATGATATCATGACACTACTCTTAGTTTATTACAAGGAACTGCCTGTAAAATTGTGATTTTAAATTCCATAAACATGACTATCTGTATGTCCAAATCAGAGTCCTACACAGGTCCATTTTTAGAGACCTACATCTGCCTGCACCCATGCAGTACAGCACCACACCTGCCTGTTAACCCGTGATTATATCAAAGTTAAATCCGCACCCGCATGGACCCATTAACATTCCACCTGTTATCCCTCTGTGCCCGTGATAAATCAGGGTCAGCCCATTAGTCCAACAGTCCACCCAATAATCCAGGACTAAACCAGGACTGGACCAGGACTGGACCAGTGTCATTAGCATAAATATAAACAAGCCACAACCAGCGAGCCAATTGCCAGGACTATGCCAGGTCCAAACCAGGTCCAAACCAGGTCCTAACCAGGAGCGCAGCTGACGAGCCGATCACCTCGGCTGATGGGTTTTATGTAAAAAAAATACTCTAAAGTCACACTCTCAGCCTGGTCCATCGTTCCAGGGAAAGACTGGGAAATGGCACTTGTTTCCAGGGCAAAAGATGCCCTGGATGCGCATCAGGTATTTTTCTTCCATTCGCCGTTCATTTGATTCACCTGACCCACCTGTGTGTGATCACTACCCACCCACATACCTGCCCATAAAATTCCAGAATGTTAAAACCCGTTGGGTATCCGCAGGTACCCTACCCAGTGCAGGACTTAGCCTCAGATATAAGGTAAACATGTTCATCAAATACAGCTTACTAACAACTTTGCAGTGTTGATTTATTCTTAATTCAAAAACATTGGACATGGTGACAATGCTGACATCCAGTTGGTTTAAACCTCAAAGGACTCTCCGATCTGAATCATCATTCACTAAACCTCTTAAAAATGTTCATTAATTTGCCAAATGCATTTTAAACTATAGGGGATTTCTACAGTGTTAATAACACAATGTCACAAACACTCCTAAAATGGTGTACCTTGGCGTCCACAGGCCGGCTCTCCTTGACCACAGGGTAAAAACGCGGCGTCATGGTGGGGTCTTTACGGTGCGGTGTGCGGGGCGTGCGTGGTGTCCTGTTACTACGGTAACCAGGCGACTCTGGGACAGTGGTAGGGAGAGAGCGGGCGATTGAGGAGGGTTCAGGAGCACCAAAGAGCTTGTTCGCCAGAGCGTCTGTGGGGACTGTGGAGAAGAGGAAAGATTGAGAATGTTTCATCTCTTTGGACATTTTTAGTTCACAACGCTGTTGTCTTTAGGTAAATATATTTTGGAGTCTTTAAAGTCCAGATGACGACTTAAAATGATCAAGATTCACATTTACATATAGTGCATTTCTACTTTCCTAGGCAAGGTTGAGGGGGCAGGTTTTACATTTGACATCTATTGGTTAATTTATTTATTTTTTCTTTTTAAATCAAAGAAACTTACAAATGGTACTGTTAACATTTAATAAAACAGATTATTATTCCTGTTAATTAGGGCAACATTAATTAATTAATAATAATTCATTACTCCTATTAAATAGAGCGACAGTAGCTCAGTTGGTAGAGCGTTTGTCCACTGATTTAAAGGCTGGCGGTTCAAATCCACTGACCCACAGGTTGGCTGGTGTGATTCCAGCTCCCATAGATAAATCCTATCGTTGTGCCCTTGGGCAAGACATTTAACCTACCTCACTCCCAGTGTCTGTGTGTATGAATGTGTGTGTGAATAGCGGAGTGGTTCCTTGTTGGTGGAAAAAGCCGTATATAAAAAGCCGTATATAAAAATTTGACCATTTACCATTTAATTGCTTGAGCCCTAAATGCAGCTTCTGCAAGCAAAAAAAACCTCTCTGGATTAGGTGTGATCTGTATTCTAATGAGTGTACGTGCTCTTACTCTGCTGGGGTTTGGGGGGTCCGGGGGGTACTTCCTGGTTGGGGTCAACGGGGGGCTCTGGGGTCAAACAGTCAAACTGCTCTCGGCTGATTAGGTGCACCTTCTTGAAGTTCTCCACTTCTTGCTGCAAAAAAACAAATGTATGTTTATTTTTATTTCAGATGAAACAAAGTGTATGTATAATATATTTGTCACTTTCTAACTACAGTCATCCCTCATTTATCGTGGGGGTTATGTTCTAAAAATAACCTACAATAGGCGAAATCCGCAAAGTAGTCAGCAAAGCTCACAAAGCTGTAAAACTCCTCACCACACACTTTATACACTTTTCTCAGACAGGACAGTTACAACTCTTTCTGCATCTTTCTTATAACTTATTGCTGCTGTCATCCTTATGTTATTTTCCTCCTTCTTTATGTAACGGACCGAAGATTAATTTATTCTGTAATGGCCATGTAACTGCCAACAAACTACCTTTGTTCAGCATGTCCAGAAATCCAACATTTTGTGTGATGTTACCAAGTTCCTCTGCCTTTTAGGTGCAACTGCAGGAGTCTTTGTTGGTGCAGAACATTTCATCGACATTGTGGGTTTTGTCGGGGAGAAAACTTGCAAACAGCACTTCAGAATGACACTGCTAGAGATCCAACATTTATGTAAATTTGGCAGCTGAATGCATTCTGTACTGCACAGGAGACACGGCACAGAGGAGATTGATTGATGGTCTACAGTTCCAGCCAATCAGAATGCAGGAGGAGGAACACAATGTGCATTCATATGTTGTAAAATAATGAATGCAAAATTGCAAAAAAAAAAAAAAAAAAAAAAAGCGAAACAGCGAGGCCGCGAAAGCTGAACCTTGTTATAGTGAGGGACGACTGTATAAGTCATGTAGACTATCACCCAAATAACTTGTTCTTTTTGCTCCTCAAGTCTACACATGAAAAGTGCAGCATTTGTGATCTGCTAATTGCATCCATTCATAGTACAATTTCAAGTACCATAATTTCCTCCACAAACAGCATCTCCTGCCTTCCTCTGCATAAACACTGCTGACCCTGTAGTTTAGATCTGTACAAGCATGTTTTGAAATGTGATTCTCATATCAGTTTGTCAGTTCAAATTTTGAAGAATTGTCATTTTGACACTTTTTTGGACATACTGAAAATTAATTTTGAACAGAATCATATTATTTAAACAAATTGCAAATCTAATCGCAAATAGATATTCCCCTAATTGTGCAGCTCTACAATACACAATAAAAATGACAGTCACTCAATAAAGTACACACTAGTACTGATCCGATACTGATATTACACATTGGCATGATACTGAAAAAAATTGCTGGATCGAATATCTAGGCTTTTAGTCAATCCTGGTTGGACCAATAACTTGATGTAACTTGAAGACTATTTACTGATCATAGTTGGCCCTGAAAGTCTCGTAATGATTTAATTTTTATTTATACAAAGCTGTTCTGCAGTTACTTAAGAGAAACATCACAATTACATGACACATTTGGATCAGTTTTCTTATTTGGTTTTAGTTTGAAAGAAATGAATCAGCAGATACTTAAAGCTATAGCATCGGTATCATAAATTAAAAAGCTTGACCAGTGCATCGCTGCACACTAGGGTTGTCAAAAGAATCAAAAATCTGACACAAATAGATCCTAAAACGAATCTAAAAATTAGATAATTATTTGAACAAGTATCGATCATTTTAAAAAGTCACATTGACAAGATAGAAAAGAACCTTTCCTAAATAGCTTTAGAATGATCTTGAGAAGTATAAGTGCACATAAACTAGTATACGGCCATGGGCCACTATGGAACCTATCTAGATCACTGAGGGATTACACAGATGTATTAAATGTTTATTATCAGAATCGGTACTGGGTATCAATACAACACCAGTACACACACAGCCAGTCTAAAAAAAAATAAATACATTTCAAATCAATATGTGGTGCAAGTTGTTCTGAGAAAAAAAAATAATAATTCAAATACTAACACATATAATTTAAAATAAAGTAAAAAATATTTTCAATTCACTCCTAACAAACCTTCTCTTGAGAAGTCTTGAAATCGAAATACAGCAGCAAAACATGGCAGCTAGAAATGTCTTTTTAAATCTCATCTTCCTCGCTGCTCAACTCCTCTGCCTCGGCCAAAATCCAAAACGAAACTAACAATTTTCAAAGCAAAACCTGAAATTTCTAGTTCTGAATGCCCTCTGGCACCTGACCTAGAAAATGTACTTGTAAAATATGTAAAAATAGCCCAATTGTGTTCAAATTTCACTCACGGATTTGCAATAAGAGCTGTGAGAGTCCATCTTGAAAGCCCAGAGGAGGAGAGAAACTGTTAAAATGAGTTGTTTGCATAAATACTGGTGTTTTTCTTTTTGTTTATTGAAAGGGTAGTTTGTCCGTTTGCTGGTGAATGCATGAAGAGTCCACAAAAAGCAAAACAATGAAACAATGAACCAAATATAACAGACAAAAGACAGCTCTCTCTCCTCCACATGACAGTTCTGTGCCATTCTGAGCCACACTGGGCTTTGACAGAAGAAAACCTCCAGAAACACAATGAGAATGTTATGTCACGAAATGGTATTGGTTAGGTGTGGGCGATATATCGATATTTTAAATATATCTAGATAGTTTTTAAACTCTATATGAATTCTGACATATCGTATATATCGATATGTTTATATTCAATTCTGATTTCGCCGCTTCGCTTGTTTGTCTTCTCTCTCGTCACCCCCGCCTCCCTGATTTTCGCTCGTGTCTCCTTCACTCCTCACTATCACCGTGAACGCCGAAAGTTGGTGCCAGTGAAAAACTTCAAGCACCACGAACCTTTTCCACCATTTACAGACAAGAACATCAGCAGCACATCCTCATATTCCACCGAGTCGCGTCCTTTAGCCCGAAAGAAGCTAAACGAGCTGAGCTGCGTGAGAAGTGCCCTGTTTATGCAAATGAGCCATGCACTTAAGTTTCGTTTCTGTAAAATGTAAACACACGTGCGCAAAACTGCATTAAACACAATATTATCGCAAACAGGCTGATGTGGCTCTAGAGTCGTTATGCTTTATATATTGTAAAGTTTAGCAATGTAAAGTTTATTTATGCAGAATATTTTTAATTAATAATCTGCTGCAGTGTCACTTGTACAATAGTGTTTGGAAACGTTGGGTTTGATCTGCAGTGGATTGTGGGATTAAACCTCAGAACTCCTTACTGTTGGATAATAACATGGATCTATTGAAATAAGGAACATCCTGAGTTTCTTCTGCTAAAGGAGCTCATGGTTATGATTATGGTCTGGACAACAGAGTTAATGCAAAGATGAACTTGTGTTGAGTTGTTTTATTTATGAATGAAAAGAAGAAAATATGTATTATTTCTTTTATTTTACAGTTAAATTATTATTTATGTAATTAGGGTTTTTTGTCATCTTAAATGTTCCTATATGAACTGTCAACCTCTTACACTTCAATTTAAAAAAAGGACCTTGTGGAATTTGGGAGATTTGTTTTTGCAGTTTTCAGTTTTAGGGGGTTATTTTTTCTTGAACATATATCGAGATATATATCGTATATCGAGATATAGCAAAATATATCGAGATATATTTTTTGATCTATATCGCCCAGCCCTAGTATTGGTCAGGGGTTTGCTCAAAACAATGAGATAAATGAGGGCCAAAACCTGGCTAAAATCCTACTAAAATACTATGCAACTGACGTCATCAACATTCCCGGGGGCTGTGATCCAACCAAAAGGTTGTCAGATTTAAAAGTGAACCTGCTTTTCACTTACTGCACTTTCTTTTACCATGTGGCCTTATATGTGTGTAATCCTCAGTGGTGCAGTAGGTACATGGTGTCCATGGGAATATACTTGTCTATGTGCTCTTATGCTTATTCTGATAAAGCTCAAGATCATTCTAAAAGATATAAAGGAAAGCTTAAGTTCTGTGCTGTGAATGGGACTTTTTTAGTATCAGTACTTGTTCAAATAGTATTGATAGTTTCGATACGAGTTTTGGTATTGATGAGATTTCTGAAAAGCATTCTGTGAAGTAAACTAAACAACAACATTACAGTGAGTAACTGGTTTTACCTTGATTGTTGCGTACTCTGGCTCGTATGTGTCCTCCCAAAGATCCTGTTCATAGTAGAACAGCCCGTCATTGATGACTTTGGCGAGCTCGCTGGTCAGTTTGGCTCGGGAGGTGTGGTTGCCGGTTCGATCCCCACCCGGATGCTTGCGTAGATAGGGCGGAGTCTGTGTGACGATGAGGATCTTGTTCAAGTCTTGGTCGTCGATCTCTCCATCAGTCTCTTCGTCTGACCAGTCGGTGAAGGTGTTTCGGCGTCCGTCCATCTGAGCCATCTCCTCATCAAACATGAAGTCCAACTCCTCTGGTTCATCCTGCTCTCCTCCATCCTGACACAGAACCACAGAGAGAACAGTTAGGTCTGGCCGTTAATAATAATAATAATAATAACAGTAATCATAAATAGTCTTATACAGCGCTTTTCCATACACTCACAGTTGCTTTACAATTTCATGCATTGTTCATTCACGTTACACTGTGTGGTGGTAAGACACTATGTGCAGCCACAGCTGTCCTTTGCGTGAGTCTGCCCACCTGCACCATTGGCCCTTCCCGTCACCAACACTCACACACCACATTCACAGTCACCAGTGTGGGTGATGTGCCTTTGTCTTCAAACAACCGAGACACTATTGAATATCCACTTGGATCTATGGAAACGTTACAACCGTGCCTGAAAAATTCCACAGGCAAGCTTCTCCATCTCCACGTACACAGGTGGAGATACCAGGTTTGTGGAGATGTGAGCCAACACAGTAAAAATACATGGCATATTTTTTGCTGAGATCAGAGTGTTAAAATCATCCTCACTGTGTTTCAGAGAAGAGACATGAAAAGCTCATCACTTCTACAGCAAAAACTAATACAAAACTAATATAATCTTTAATGTATTAAAATGCAAAAAATAAACAAATAACATTCTTGGGTTGACAGTCACTAAAACAGCCTTGGTTTTCAATTGTGTTTCCAGCTCCTCAAATGAAAATGCATTAGATAAAAGCTATCATATTGCGCTTGTGCCAAATTATGTTTTAATTTGCACATTTTAAAAGATTTTAGATCAATATGATCAATATGATCTAAAATGATTTAATAAAAGAACCAAGTCTGCTAACTTCTCTGTTAGAAAACTGGGCCGCACGCTGTCAGCCCCTACTGTGGATGGCTTTACATCAGAGATTTTTTCTCATCTGTACCAAAATGGCTTTGCAACTCTGCTTAATCCTGCATGTATCACTGATTAAGAAAATTTTATTGGAGAACAACGTACAGAGCAGCGGGCATGTAGAGTGGACAATGAAAATAGGGGTAGATTGGAGCAAGGGTGTCTTGAATACTGAAGAATAGATTGCTCAAATATGCACAAATCACTCCACATCAGAGGGTCAATGAGAAGGAAACAACTATAACATTAAAAGCTCTGGGGAGGAAAAAAAAAAAAGAGGGCGCAGTGTCTTACCTTTGTGGGGGGTACAGTGGGGGAGGGCAAGGATCCTGTAGGGGGCACTGGAGAACGCACTTCCTCTTTGTCCTTGTGCTGAAATGAATGGGTCTGAATCAGCCACCGAAGGAAACAAGGAAAATGAAAACACAAAGGAAAAATCAAATAAAATAGAATTGTAACATAAGTAACACTGTAACTTTTGATGGAGACATAATAATTTGCCCAGAATATTCCTTAGTATGGCATTAAACTTGTCTTTCCATGAAGACAAGTGGGTGACGCAACTAGGCAAAGTTAATGGTCAGATCTGAGGAGTGGTGACCCTGCTCAGAGCAAGAACGCATGTGTTAGTTGCAAGAAAATAAATCTAAAGATCTATTTTCTTGTAACTAACACATCTGTAATTAAATAAAAGGAAAAGCAAGAAAAGCTGCAGAATGAAATAAAAGGAAAAGCTGCATAGTGCAGGTTTGATATATTAAAGGTATTGCTGTGATAAGAGATGTTTAGTCTTCCTCAAAGTTTAATCAGACAAGAGACATGAAGAACTCATCACTTCTACAGCAGGAATTAAGTTAAATGGTGAAAAAAGAAAATAAAAAGAAAAGTGCTTGATGGCAGGTTAGACTGTTCATTTTATATTTAAGATTTTGCTAAAAATGATTTTACTTCCTGGTTGGAAATCATATCCTCACACTAGGGAATATCATAATTGTTGCCATGTTGTACACTGGGCCAAAACTCCTCTAATGTACAAAAATAAATATTAGACAAATAAAAATGTAAGAAAACACCCTTATTTTGTTTGTGGGTAAATTGCAGAACTTCAATTATATTTTCAACAGGTATCCCACCAAATTAAGTCAAATTTTGAGAATCATAAAAACCTGTCATATGTACTTTAATGACAAAACTGTCGTAGCAGTGAACTCACAAATCATAAACTAGATATTAAAATGCATATTATGCGAACACTGTCAGTACAGTGTAACCAGGAGAAAGCAGTACTGACAGTGTCTGTACCGACACTGTACCGACACTGTACCGACACTGTACCGACACTGTACCGACACTGTACCGACACTAGGGATGGGCATTCGATAAAATTTTCTTAATCGATCGTCGGGAGAATTAACGATAGGTTATCAATTAATCATTAACGTTTTTATATTAAAATTATCTTCATTATTATTACTATCTGCACTACTAATCTGCATAAATAAATTCAACTATAAACCAGGGTGCTCACACTTTTTCAGCATGCGAGCTACTTACAAAATGACCAAGTCAAAATGATCTACCTAATACAAAAGCCAAGCAAACTGCACTGAAACACTCTGTGCCCCTTTTTTGGACCCTCACCCACAGTTTGAGAACCCCTTCTTTAAGAGAACTTTCTCTGGCACTTTACACAAAACTGTGAAAAAAGTGAAGGAAGATTTTTAAACCTGTTTTTTAAAGTTAGAAAAACTGGAGTTACATTCTTTTCTGGTTTTGCAGTGATATTTACCAGCCTCTGTACATTTACCAAACCAAACGCACATCGTGACACAGATGCATTTGTGCACTTTTGTTAGGCAAACTTCAGCCAAATGTGGCAGTAGGTCTGTTCTGTAGATCTGCTCTATGCTGTAGACCTGCTTTGTGCCAACACTGTAACACAAATTTAGACTCGTTTTTGCTTCACGTTTGGTCTTGCTCTTCTAATCAGCGCGCACTGTGGGAGGGGCTTGTGTTCGCTGTACGCAGGAAGGAGCAAGAGCGTGAAAAGGCGAGGGGCGGCGTGCTGACGTGAGGCAGATGGACAGGTAGGATGTTTAGGAAGTTTAACCTGCCCTGTGATGCACGCTGGTACACGAGGGCACACGCTGTCGCAGACGAGCCGTGCATAGGGAGTGTGTGTGTTTGTGATGTGCCGTAGAGTCTCCGCGGGTTTCAAATGAGCGCACAGGCTGCACTGAGACGCCCCACACGCTCCTGCACCCCGCCACAATTTTATTGCCAACAGCAGCGGCCGTAATGAAATATGATCGCACTTGTTGAGTGTCAGACCTTGAGTGAGAGACAAGACCGAATCCAAACGCGATCGAGTCCGAGACGAGACACGGCAATCTACCCACACGACCTTGGAGATCGACTGGTAGATCGCGATCGACGTATTGAGCACCCCTGATATAAACCATAACCACTCTAGAGCCACATCAGCCCGTTTAAGATTATAATGTGTTTAATGCAGCTTTGCGCAAGTCTCACAGAAACGAAACTTAAAACCGCATTGCTAACTTACATAAACTAAGCGGGGAAAAAAAAAAACAGCTCTTGTGCGCTGATGTAGCACGACTCAGTGGAATATAGGTTAGGGTGACCATATTTGCGTTTGTCAAAACCAGGACACCGTACAGAGGGTGGGAGGTGGGGCCTCGACATTGAGCTACTCTCACCTGGCAAAGTGTTTCCATGTTTTCAGTGTCTTGGTGAGCTTTTTCCCACTGGACACCGAAACATATGTGCTGCTTTGTACACTGTGCACATGCCCTCCCACTTGTCCCAACCGGAACGGAAAGCGTGGAATTTCTTGCACAACTCATAGTTAAATACGCATTTACGCTTCAGCATGTTCCAGATTGACCGACTGTTTGTGTCTGCTCGCTCCTTCTGAGTGCAGAGAGCTACATGTACGGACTCCTGTTTGTTCTCGGACACGGACGTTTGGTTACGCTATGTACAGCAACCTACATTCGGTTTGTCAATTAAAATTAACGTATCGATGAAATTCTTAATGATCAATTATCAATTAATTGACTAATCATGTCCATCCCTAACGGACACTGTACGGACACTGTACGGACACTGTCCCGACACTGTCAGTACTGCTTTCTTCTCTTCTCCGTCATAGAGTAATATTGTATACCAATGTAACAAGTACAACATTTGGGGACTTTATCAACCACTCTTGAGAAGGAGGAAGTACTAAGTACTTTGGAAGATTATGGTAAAAGTAATACTACCAGTATGTTATACAACTTGAAATTATAAATCAGTTTGGTAATTAGTAGTCAAGTATAAGTAGCCAAAGCTGACAGTAATAGTATAGACACTAATAGTATTAATAGTAGCAATAGTATCAGTAGCAGTAGTAGCAACAGTACTGACCTTGGGCCTTGCTGGAGAAGGTCGGGGTCTCTTTTTGACCTCGATCCAGGACTCAGAGTCCAGATCTGGGAGACTGGCCGACAGCCCTTTGGGCATGGTCTTCAGGTTGGACAGGTCCTGGTCTGGTTTGGTCTGCTGTACCGGTGTTGAAGCTCGTGGAGAACCTGAAAGAGAATGGAAACAGCAATAATGAGTTAGAAATATACTTCAAGCATACTTAGGCGTTTTCCTTCTTTTTTATTAAAAGGAGGACCATGTACATTTTCTAGTGGGGGTCTGCCACCAGCTTGTCTCAATAGAAATGTTACTGCTTTTCCCGGAATGTTTCACAATATGGCATTATGTCGATCTCATCTATGAGAAAAGAAATGCTTTGCTGTGATCAGAGGTGTTTAGTCTTTCTCAAATTTGAAATCAGAGAAGAGACATGAACTCATCACTTCTACAGCAGGTTTTAACGGTTAAACTTAAGAACATTTAATAACTACGCTGTTAAAAAGCTGTAGTCTAAAGTGGAACCAGAAAAAGGAAGTATTTAAACTAAATCGCGCTTCACTCTGAAGCGAAGCAGGTGGATCACCCTCACAGCAATCAGCACTCAGCGCAAACCATAACAGCGACTCAGGATTTCTATTCTGAGTTTGTGATAGATTCAATGTTTTGTGATTAAACACGGATAGAGCACAGATGTCTGATTTTGTCACTAAGTGCTGTTTTTAAAATAGAAAAGAAATTTTTTTATTTAAAATGGAAAAAAGAAAAAAACTTTTTGGAAAAATAAAGTCTGGTACCACAGCTATGAGACTATGAGGGGTGATGGGTCCACCACTTTGCCTGAAAACACACTCAGTATGGCATACTTGTAGATGACAAATTTTATGAAGTTTAATTTATCAAACCTAGCCATGCTGGCGCAACCTAGTGCCTTCACTCTACTAGGTCAGGATTCAGAATACACGGTTAGCAAAAACCCCGGAAGTGCAAGTTCAGTGCAGCCATTACACACAATCTCATTTTGACACTTTTAATGAAAAATGTTACTATGCAAACATTTACTGGCAACTCAGAAATTTCATCAAAACAATTTGAGGAGAAAAAAACTCAAATACATGCACCTATTGTTTGGCAATAGGTGCTGTGACATTTAAGGGAAAAAAAATCAAACAATCAAAGAACAGTGTGCAAAGAACAGAAAGAGAGATATGAGAGAGAGATATGTGAGAGAAAGAGATATGAGAGAGAGATATGAGAGAGAGAAATATGAGAGAGAGAGAAAGATATGAGAGAAAGAGATATGAGAGAGAGAGATATGAGAGAGAGAAAGAGAGAGAAAGATATGAGAGAGAGAAAGAGATATGAGAGATATGAGAGAGAGAAAGAGATATGAGAGAGAGAAAGAGAGAGAGAGAGATATGAGAGAGATATGAGAGAGAGAAAGATATGAGAGACAGAAAAGAGATATGAGAGATATGATAGAGAGAGAGAAAGAGATAAGAGAGAAAAAGAGAGGGAGAGAGAGAGAGAGAGAGAGATTATTATTGCCCTTCTTCCTACGGGATTTAGGAAAAGCTTAATATACCAGTTAGAGCTGTTAAGCAGCACATTACATACATCATTACCAAATAGCTGTTGAGGAAATCACTGGTCTGACCCAAATATGCAGTAACAAAAGTATTTATTAACAAAAATAGTCATGGACAGGGGAATAGGTTTCAGGGGAGGTAGGACGGGTCCAGGTTGGCTGAAGTGCAATGGTGAAGAGGCTGACCAGAGGCTTGCGGAACAGATGGTAACGGGATGAGGCTGGCTCCAAAACGGTAGAACACTTGGTTGACGGAACGATCTGGCACTGGAGAGCAGGTCAGCAGGTCTTTTATTGCAGGAGATGATTACTTGACGAGGATCAGGAGTGGAGCTCAGCAGGTGAGATGAATTGGGGACCCGCCCAGGAAATGCCAAATAAGGAGAAGGGAAGAGGGAGCAGGGGTAGGAGGGGCAGAAATAAACCCTCACAGTACCCCGCCCCTCAATGGACACCTCCTGGCGCACCACCAGGCCGGTCAGCGTGAGCGCGGTGAAACTCCTTCAGCATGTTGGAGTCCAGGATCAGCGCATGACTAACTCACGACCGCTCCACGGGGCTGTACCCTTCCCAGTCGACGAAGTATTGGAGCCCACGGCCACGACGACGGACATCCAAGATCCGCCTCACTGTATAAGCTGGGTGGCCATCAACCAACCGGGGGGGCGGAGGGGGCTTGGCAGGAGGGCACAGATTACTAGACTGCACAGGTTTAATTTGGGATACGTGAAAGGTAGGATGAACACAGAGCTTGTGGGAGTCTAAGGCGAACAGAAACAGGATTAATCACCCGTTCGATTTCAAACGGTCCAATGAAGCGGGGCGACAGTTTCTTGGATTCAGTTTTTAAAGGGATATGTTTCGAAGATAACCAGACTTTCTGACCTGGGGTGTACTTTGGTGCTGGGCGGTGATGGTCAGCCAAGGACTTAGTTTGCAATGATGTCTGCAACAAGGACTTCCTGGTCTCCTTCCAGATCTTAAGACACCTTCGCATGTGGGCTTGGATGGAGGGTACAGCAACTTCAACCTCGTCCATAGACAAGAGAGGAGGCTGATAGCCCAAGGAACACTGAAAAGGGGAGAGACCAGTAGCAGAGGAGGTTAATGAATTATGTGCATATTCAACCCAAGGTAAGTGTGAGCTCCAAGATGCAGGGTTGTGACTGGCCACGCAGCGAAGAGCAGATTCCAGGTCTTGATTGGCCCTTTCAGTCTGACCGTTAGTCTGTGGATGGAAACCAGACGAGAGGCTGACGGTGGTACCCAGAGATTGACAAAATGCTTTCCAAACCTGGGAGATGAATTGGGGGCCTCGGTCAGAAACAATGTCAGTAGGGATGCCATGTAGACGGAAAACATGTACCATGATGTCGGCTGTCTCGAGCAGAGGGCAATTTTGGGAGGGCCACAAAATGAGCTACTTTAGAAAATCTGTCTACAATGGTCAAGATGACAGATTGACCATTAGAGAGGGGTAGACCAGTTACAAAATCCACTGCGATATGTGACCACGGACGATTGGCAATAGGTAGAGGCCTGAGGTGACCAGAAGGCGGTGTGTGAGACGATTTATTCTGGGAACATACAGTGCAGGCAGACACAAAACTTCGAGTATCAGTGTCCATAGATGGCCACCAAAAATGACGCCTGAGACTTGACAAGGTGCGCTTCACCCCAGGATGACAGGCAAAGAAGGAGTTATGGGACCACTACAAGACCTCACTGCGTACAGCAGACGGAACAAAGAGTCTGTTGGGTGGTCCACCTCCCGGATCGGGCTCGACCTCCTGCGCCTTTCTCACATTGGCTTCAACCTGCCAACAGAGAGCTCCAAGAACGCAATTAACAGGAAGAATGGTTTCAGGCTCAGAGTGCTCAGACGAGTCAAACTGGCGAGACAGTGCCTCAGGCTTCACATTTTTGGAACCAGGGCGGTATGTAATAGTGAATTTGAATCTTCCGAAGAACAAAGCCCACCTGGCCTGGCGTGAGTTTAGCCTCTTAGCGGACTGGATGTAGGCTAGGTTCTTGTGGTCTGTCCATACAACGAAGGGTTGCTCTGCTCCTTCCAGCCAGTGCCTCCATTCCTCAAGTGCGAGTTTAACAGCCAGGAGTTCTCTGTTGCCCACATCATAGTTACGCTCAGCGGGGGCAAGCCGCCTGGAAAAGCAAGCACAGGGACAGTGCTTTCTCCTTACTGAAGACTTCCCCTAAGTCATGGTATTCTGGTGGAACTGAGGTTAAATCCGGAGTAGACATAGGTAGTTTGGATTTAGTCTCCTCTGACGGAGGGAGAGCTGACTGCAAACAAGACTGGTGACAAAATGAGCTCCAGCTAACAATCTTATTGAGAGACCAGTCTATTAGAGGATTATGAAGCTTTAGCCAAGAGTAGCCCAAAACTAACGGAGTCAGAAGAGCAGACAAAACAAAGAAACGTGTCTCTTCGTGATGGTTGCCAGACAGAATTAAGTGGAGATGAACAGTGTGGTGAGTAATTTTAGCTAGAACGGTACCATTCAAAGCACTGACCTGGATAGGATCTGGAAGGGGCTCAGTGGAGATCCCCGCCTGCAATATCAAATTTGAGTCCATGAACTTTTGCTCTGCCCCGGAGTCCAGTAGTGCTTGAAGGGGAAGTGACTGGGTATTGTGACACAGGGTAGCAGGTAACAGGAGTCTGGGTTGGTCAGTGGGGATTTTAGAAACCTCGCCCATCAGTACCAACATTACTGATGAGCGGGCTCTTTTGGACGGACAGGACACTGAATGAGAAAATGACCACCTTGACCGCAATACAAGCACTCGCCAGCTCGAATTCTCCGTGACCGCTCCTGAACAGTCAACAGCCCGGCCAATTTGTATAGGAACCTCTGGGGATAGAGGAGTGGGGGGCAGAGCAGGAACATTACCGACAGTCTGAATTCGGGCTGGAGGTGAGGAGCGAGGCACAGAGGATGTAGTGCGAGGAATTCTCTCACGTCTTCGCTCGCCCAGCCTGTTGTCAATACGAATAGAGAGAGAGAGAGGGATAAGTTCCTCCAGAGAGACAGGGTCATCACGGACTGATAGTTCATCTTTTAGAGTGTCTGTTAATCCCCGCCAGAAAACTCCCTTTAAAGCTGTGTCATTCCACCCAGATTCCTCAGCCAAGATTCAGAACTGAATGGAGTAGTCTGCCACACTCTTTTTTCCCTGGTGGAGATCTAGAAGCCCCATGGCAGCATTCGCCCCACAATCTGGGTGAGCAAAAACTCTTTTAAAATCCGCTAAAAATTCTGAATAACTGATACTTTCAATGCCCCTGCCACCCAACATAGCTTCAGCCCAATCAAGGGCTCTTCCACGTAACAACCCTGTAATAAAGGCTACCTTGGAATGGTCAGTTGAAAATGTCAAAGGCTGGCAAGTGAAAACAGTCATACACTGCAAGAGAAAACCTTTACTTTTACCCAGGTCCCCATTGTATGGCTCAGGATGAGGAACTGGAGTTTCACGGGGAGGGTGTACAGCGGAGGCACCGGCAGCGGCAGCAGCAGAGGCAGCAATGGAAGTGGGGTTACTGGGTTGAGAGAGATTCTGGGCTGAGAGTTGATTTGAAAGGTGCTCCACCAACCTGGCTAAGTTTGAGACTTGGAGTCCAATATTTAGATTTGATTCCCTGAGATCCTGTAGTGACTTGTGGTGCTGGCCAAGTAGATTTCCTTGGGTGGCAACAATCTTTTCCAACTCGTTGGGGTCTGCTGGGTCCATTGTTTGGCCAGATTGTTCTGTTGAGGAAATCACTGGTCGGACCCAAATATGCAGTAACAAAAGTATTTATTAACAAAAATAGTCGTGGACAGGGGGATAGGTTCCAGGGGAGGTAGGACGGGTCCAGTTTGGCTGAAATGCAATGGTGAAGAGACTGACCAGAGGCTTGCAGAACAGGTGGTAACGGGATGAGGCTGGCTATAAAACAGTAGAACACTTGGTTGACGGAACGATCTGGCACTGGAGAGCAGGTCAGCAGTTCTTTTATTGCAGGAGATGATTACTTGACGAGGATCAGGAGTGGAGCTCAGCAGGTGAGATGAATTGGGGATCCGCCCAGGAAACGCCAAATAAGGTGAGAGAAGGGAAGAGGGAGCAGGGAAAGGAGGGGTAGGAGGGGCAGAAAGAAACCCTCACAGTAGCAGTGATTGGATAAATTAAAAAAAAGTACCTGCCTACCGTCTAGGGAACGAATTCTAATGCTGAGCGGTCAGACGAAGTGAAACCAGCTGATGAATCAGGCTGGATCATACCTGAATGACTGAGGGATTAAAGAGACTGTAGAGCTGTAGAGTACTTGTTCTAGTGTTAGTCGTTACCTTGTTGATCGGGTACGGTGCGGGGGATGAACTCAGGGCAGTTGATGAGTTGGGAGAAATCTGTGGTGTGGGCGTGGTTAGGCAGGTTCAGACCCGGTAAAGGCCACTTCTCCGGGTCCTCTTTCCTCCGAATCTTCATGTCAATTATCTCCACCTCCTGACTGTCTCTCAACGCCTGGAGCAAAACAACTAAAAGTTATTACACAGAAAATACACCATGAGTGAGTCTGCTCCAACTATGAAACTGAATGGAAGACGTGTTTGAAAATTTGAAAATTGCCTGGACAGATAGTTGGCTAATTGTTATTGACTGTGACTTTCTTGGTTAAAGGACATGTTTAATAAGATCAGGTCTACATGCTCCTCTTGCAACATGGCTGCACACAGTAATGTTGTTGAAACTTCTGGCAACATGGCTACATGCAAGAATGAAAATAACTGATCTTACAGTGGCCATAGTGTGCATTTGTATGGCTTTTAAACAAGCTTTTGGTCATCTTGGCATTTCACATTTTCTAACCTGAATGTATGTCTACAGTTGAAAAACATGCATCGAGATTCAAGATCTACTCATTTCTAATGGTATAAGATCAGTTTGGTTGTCTTTACAGGAAAGAGGATTGGCTGCAGAGCTCTTCATTAAAATCATGTGGTTTGGACTACACCAAAGACTTATTTTTTTGTGTTAATATCCACTGACAAAAATACACCAAACCTATCATTCATTAAATTAATTTTGAATGCCAGTTTAATCTTTAATAGAATAAAAACTTTCAATTTCGATTTGAATGCAACACACATGAATCAATTACACAATCAAATACAATTTTGAATGTGTAAATGAGAAGAGAAAACCTTTATAACATTTTGAATAGGTTAGTTTTGTGCTGTGTGACAGTTGTAAAGTCATCTTCAGGTTGATTCAGAGAGGAGACTTGAAGAACTGATCACCTCTACAGAGTCACCATCTGGCCACACAATAATATCCAAAACTGTCTTGTACTTTTCAGACCAAATACTTGTCCTCCTACTTGAGAAATATTTTTAATGAAGTAACAGTACTCTGATACAGTACTCGAGTTAAAGTTTTGGTTACTCTTCCCACTGTAAGTCTACGCATATCTGGGTAAATCAGATGTAATGTCCAGACAGTTACTCTAAGTTACTCTTATTTAGCAATTTTCCCAGTAATTCCTTAGGCCATTACTTCTCGTAACTTATACAACTGAAATTTTTTAATAACTGTGCTATAACTTCAGTAATTTTTTGCTAAACCGTGAATACCTCCAGTATGAGGCTGACATCAGTGGTCAGTGCCTGCACTCGGTGGAAGCTCGCAATGAGGCCAATGGGCAGAAAACCTTCCTGGTCCATCTTCCGTCGCAGAAAAAAGTCCCTCTCCAGGTTATCCAGGCTGAAGTAGTACTCACTGCAGCAAAAGACAAAAACACATTTAATACAACCTACAAGAGATTCTTCAAAAATGGGTATCCAACATTTGTATATAAACCTCAGTCTATATAAAAAATAAAAAGTTCAGAGCCGTGTGTGGAAATACGAGATAATTGGAAACACTTTTCAGAGCACTCATGTGGAGGACAATACATGATTTAGGGATGAATAGGGTAATGGCCGATACCAGGTGCTAGTGCTCGTCAATGTGCTGCAGATACAACTGTAACTGCACTGTCGACGAGCTCACAGCTCATCTCAGCTGAGCAGTGACTCTCTGCTCTGAGCAGAGAAGTGACCATAAAGAGAACTACACATTAATTGTTGTGCACACAATTTAGCTTTAATCACATGTGACTGTCACATGAACTATGGAATTATTTGGGACTCAAGTTTTTTATTTTTTAAAGTTCACAAAGGATATCAGGACAGGAAAGAATATACTTGTGTTAGAATTGTAGCTTTTAAAAGAGATATGACATGTCCATATTGGCCACTGTAATGTTAGAGAACACTCACTGTTACACTATAGCAAGCACAGTATCAGCAACAAGTACACAAAATTAAGTACTGGTGCTCATACTACCTTTGGAAATAGTGATATCTGTGCATCCATTACAGGATTACTCAAACATGTATAAATAACTAAATACAGTGGAGGAAATAAGTATATGATCTCTTGCTGATTTTGTAGGTTTGCCCATTGACAACAAAATGAACAGTCTATAATTTTAATGGTACGTTTATTTTATTTTAACATTGAGAGATAGAATATCAAAAACAAAATAACTTGCATTTCAATGAATGAAATAAGTATTTGGACCCTCAAGCTAAAAAAGATTTAGTACTTGGTGGCAAAACCCTTGTTTGCAGCACAGAGGTCAGATCTTTCTTGCAGTTGATGACCAGGTTAGAGCACATATCAGAAGGAATCTTTGTCCACTCTTCTTTGCAGATAATCTCTAAATCACTGAGGTTTCGTGGTTGTCACTTGGCAACTCAGAGCTTCAGCTCCCTCCATAGGTTTTCTGTAGGGTTAAGGTCTGGACACTGGCTGGGCCACTCCATGATCTCCATGTGCTTCTTCTTGAGGCACTCCTTCGTTGCCTTGGCTCTATGGTTTGGTCATTGTCGTGTTGGAAGACCCATCCACGACCCATTTTCAGTTTCCTGAGGGAAGGAGTTTGTCACTCAGGATTTTAACAGTACATGGCTCTGTGAATCCTCCCGTTGATGCTGTGAAGTTGTCCTGTGCCCTTGGCAGAAAAACACCCCCAAAGCAGAATGTGTTACCTCCATGCTTGACGGTGGGGATGGTGTTCTTGGGGTCATAGGCAGCATTTCTCTTCAAACATGGCAAGTTGAGATAATGCCAAAAGAGCTTGATTTTGGTCTCATCTGACCACAGCACCTTCTCCAAATTACTCTCTAAATCCTTCAGGTGTCCATTGATAAACTTCAGGCAGGCTGCACATGTGCCTTCTTAAGCAGGGGGACCTTAAGCACTGCAGGATTTTAATTTATTGCGGCGTTAAGTGTTACCAATGGTTTTCTTAGTGACTGTGGTCCCAGCTGCTGTAGTAGCCAGCTGTAGTTCTAGGCTGATTTCTCACTGTTCACATGATCACTGAAACCCCACGAGGTGAGATCTTATGTGGAGCCCCAGACCGAGGTCAGCTGATGGTCATTTTGTAGTTCTTAAATTTTTTAAACAATTGCACCAACAGTTGCTGCATATGGTTTGGCAGCCCACCGCAGCCTCGTGCAGGTCGACAGTCTTGTCCCTAACGTCCTTTGACAGCTCTTTGGTCTTTCTCATGTTGGACAGTTTGAAGTACGGATGTCCCGATCACCTTTGATTTTGAGTATCTGCCAATACAAAGTCCCGATCCGATACTTCTATAAAACATTATAAAATGAACTAAGAATGTGTGCGGAATCAGATTGTATTGATTTCAATGTGTAGTATTTGGGCTGAACTTGTGAAAAATCAAATGTCCTATTTTTTTTATTAACTTTTCTAACCATAAACCATCATTGTTGAAAATCTTGACTTTTCACAGTCTGGTCTTAGAAAGTGTAACTTAGTATATTTAATGAATTGGACAAAACAGGAACCAGACCAGAATCAGATCAGACCTGAGACTCGACTCTGCACTAGAGTTTGTATATTTGATAGTATATGGAAGCCTCTGAAACATTTACGCTTGTCTATGAAATCTAAATAATACAAAATCTTACCAAATAAAAACGAGATGACAGAAGCCCCACAGCCTCTCTCCCCCAGCCGCCCCCAACCCCCGCACCACCCCCACATCAGAACACACACCGCAACATCGGTGCCAGCGCTCAATAGACACTCCATGATCACTGTTGGGCAAGTTACTTTGAAACTGTAATGCGTTATTTATTACCTATTACTGTCTTTTCAAAGTAATTCGTTACATTACAATATTACTGCATTTAAAATGTAAGGCATTACATTACTATTGCATTACTTTAAGTTACTCTCACCAAAATAACTTTTGCGCTGTATATGGACTGAACCAGGACTAAACCAGGTCTAAACCAGGACTAAACCAGAGCTGAACCAGGACTAAACCAGAAGTGAACTAGGACTAAACCAGAACTGAACTAGGACTAAAACAGGACTCACTGTAGGGAAGGGCTCGAAGGTGACCGCAGGAGAAAGGAGCGGCTCTGCTCCGCACCTCACGGAGGGAAGAGCGGCTGTCACCCGATCGCTCTTTATAGACACCCTGCTGCTCGGGCTCGCGGCCCTGATTTCAGCAACTATTTGCAGGTACCCGAGCCGGTGCAAGAGTCTGCTACAGCGCGTAACTTCTACCTTCCTTCATCGTGTCCAGAAGTCCAACTTTTTGTGTGATGTTTAGCATCTTCTTCTGCCTTTTGGGTGCGAGCGCAGGAGCCTTTGTCGGTGCAGAACGTTTCGTCGACGTTGTGGGTTTCGTCAGGGAGAAAACTTGCAACCGTACAGCACTTCAGAATCACACTGCTAGAGATTGAACATGTATTTAAATTTGGCAGCTGAACACATTCTGTACTGTACTGTACAGGAGACAGGAGTCCCTTGGCCAGTCAGGACGCAGCGGGAGGAACGCAATACGCATTCATACAATGTAAAAAAAACAGGGCATGCAAAATTGCACAAAAAAACCCCCAAAAAACTGCGAAACAGCGAGACCGCGAAAAGTGAACTGCGATAGAGGGCAGGACGAGTGTAAACCAGGTCTAAACCAGAACTGACCCAGGTCTAAACCAGGTCTAAACAGCGTGGAGTTCTTTGTCAGTCCTTCCTTTTTACCTGAAGGTCTATGAGGGCGCATCTCCGGCGTTTCACCGCTGCTGATATCGAGGTGATTTTAGCGAATTTGTATGAAGAAAAACCCACCACTTCAATCCAGGTTAAAAAAACATTGTAACGCGCGTTACTCACATTTGTACCGAGTAAAATATTACTATTTTTTCCCCTGTAATGCCTTACATTACTGCGTTACAGCAAAAAGTAATGCATTACTGTAATTCGTTACTTTTATAACGCGTTACTCCCAACACTGTCCATGATGCTGGACGGACCTTCACCACCAACAGCACCAGCTCCGCTGCGCAGCAGCACTGTTTGTTTTGTTTGCAACAAACACCACTGTGCAACACCATCGGCCGTGCAGGTGTGAACACGGGCCACAGAACCACAGGTAAGAGTGCCCGAGCACGGCACAGCCCAAAAGTTCCAGCGTAAGTGCGTCTCTAGTACAGCAGGCGCTGGGACAGACAGTCGCGCTGACTGGACGTCCCTGAGTGAATCCTGCACCTCAGAAAAACTGTTGTGTCCCGTGTGTCCTGTGTGTTATATACGTATGTATATGTATGTACGTAAGTACCTGATCTAACCATAACGGCCGAGTCCAGATCGAGTCCGCAGTTTTTTTTTGTTTTTTTTTACTTTGCTGAGATTAGTGGTAAATTCTCCTTCAATGTTTAAATCAGAGCAAAGACATGAAGACCTCATCACTTCTGCAGCAGGTTACCAAATATTTGAACACTATTCTGATTTTATACTGAGGACACACATCAGACAGCACTTTTGTGTACGGTATATTACAAACTGGTTTTAGTTGTAGAATCTAGCAACCCAGAGGAAGGAGCTCATTCTGCTTTCTGATTGGATAATCGTCTTAAGAATGAAAACACAAATTGTATAACTTTACCTCAATTGCGAATAAAATTAACATTACAGCTGTTCAGTAAAAGTAATATTTGATTTGAACAATTTCAAAGGAACTGAACCTTATTTTTACTGTCTGTCAGAACTGGTTTAGTTCTTTGCAGTGCTTTAAACTTAGAATAAGTTGTAGTGTTGAATAATTAGGATGCTCCGAATGCCTAACTTAAGTGACTGAGTAACTAGCATGCTAACCACACAATTCTGGCTTCTCTGACAATTTAACTTGTTATACTTCTCATATAAAGATTTCTCAAAGATATAGAGTATATATTGTAAGTGTTGGCTCACATCTGCCTCTTGATGTAGTCTTTGAGCAGGTCCTGGTCCACAGAGTACAGATCGTTGCTGCTCATGTTGTCGTAGTAATAAGTCACAGAGTTTCCAAACTTCTGTCCATACGCTGCGTCTTTCACATCATATGATTTGTACCCATAGTGGTACTCATAATGACCTGAAAACAAGGGACAAGGCATATTAGAAGATATGTTACTGTAAAACTGATAGCTAATGCTAGCTAGCTTGTGACTAATATATGAGTGACATGTTTAGCAGCACAAATCAGCTCACTTCCATCAAAGTCAGTTCTTTATGACCAGATTGGGTTAAAACAAAGCTCATATTGAGCAGTCTGATTACAGCTTAAGACAGAGCAGTTCCTCTAGTTAGCTTCACTAACTATGTTATTGTTGTATACGTGTTTCACAGGCTGCTTTCATGAAAGCTCCTTTTTGGAAAGTCAGATGATTCTGTACATGAATGCTGCGTCAAAAGCACCACACTTCAAACCCGTGTGACCTTAAAATGTGTGTCCTCACCTCTGCCAGCCCCTCTGCCTCTGCCCCGCCCCCTGCCACGCCCCCGGCCTCGCCCCCTGAAGCCGCCTCTGAACGGCGCCCCCTCGCTCTTCACACTGGACACTTCATCATGGTCGTCTCTCCACTCACGCTCGTACTTCTGAGAGTGCCAGTCTAAAAGAAAACATTTACAAGGTTAAAAAAACAAGGCTGCAAGTTGGTTGACTCACCAGATATTATTTCAATTTTTTTTTTAAACTAAAAAGATAGTCGATAATACTTTTAAAAGAAGCAATATGTAACTTTTCTGGAAAGGGTAGAATTTGCACTAGCAACATCTGAAATAGAGAGACTGGATTTTGCAATGTCAGATCAAAACATTCACAGCTATTCTAACATACAATAAATTGTAAACTAGATTAATCTCCATAAGTAACCAATACCTTTAACAGAAAACAGACTTGAGTGATGCTTCTCCCCTCGACAAATCATTATATTCTAAAGTCTGTAGTGTTTGTGAATTTTCTAAACCAAACTTATTTCCTCTAAAAATCTGTGTCTGTGTAAAGGCAGAAGTATGCAGACAGTTTGACACGCCCACTTCCTGCTGGTGCAATACTGATCAATTATATTAGTCCTAAATAAACCTTTTACCCTTTTAGTGACATCATGCTGTTGTTCTGCATGTTTGTTTGTGAGTTGTTCTGCATGTATGTTTGCGGTGATTTTATGTGTGAGACTTGCTTAACAGCACAAATCACCTCTTCTGTTGTAGTTTCCAGTTCATTATGGTCAGATTGTGTTAAAACAAAGCTCAATTTATCTGTTCATAACATTAAGAGTTTGGCGTAATATTAAGGGTCATCTTTTCAAGTGCGATGCAGCCTCTTATTAAAAGCACAGCATTTACTCAGGTCTTACAGGTCTTAGCATATTCCAAAACTGGTATTTAAGAGGTTTGAAACTTGTTTGCGACTTGTTTAAGGAGGGTGATCTTATGTCATTTAAACAAATTCAGAATAGGTATGCAGTTTCACAGAAGGACTTTTTTGGTTTTCTCCAGGTGAGACACTTAGTTCAATCATCCCTTTCTTTCCCGGGTGATCAACCATCTTAAACCCAATAGAAACATTTCTATTAAAATTTAATAAGGATGCAGTACCAAAAAAGACATTTATTTCTCTTTGCTATGCACAATTAATGGAATCAAAACCTTCCACCACTGGGAATTCCAGGACTCATTGGGCAGCAGTTATGGGGATTGAGCTTAGTGCTGAGACTTGGTTAAGAGCTTTTAGGGTGGCCAAAAAAAGTTTTACTTGTAATAAACTCAGGGAGAACAATATAGAATTTTACACAGACTTCAACGTACTCCTCAATTCTTGCATAAGATTCACCCTCAATATTCACCTTTTTGTGTAAAATGTAAAAACATTGTGGGCACTTATTATCATTGTATCTGGCAGTGTCCATTTATACTCGCTCCATTTTTCATCGAGCTGTCCCCGTGGAGCCTGTTTTATTTCTTTTTGGCCTGTCTGAGAGGCTGCCTATGTTACCAGGGCAGATGACGTTACTACGTAAACTTTTACACCTGGCAAGAAGATGCATCCTGCTTCAGTGGATACAGGCAAAACCTCCATCTGTTACATAATGGTACAGAGAGACTTTTAAAGTTTTCCCAATGGAATGCCTCAGTGCGCTCTTAAAAGACAATTCAAACATTTTCTATAAAATATGGCAACCCTTTCTGGACCACCTACCTCAGGACTTGGCTGATGTGCTTTATAAAGGAGGCTCCCAATTTGTTTTGAATTTTAATCAATAATTGTGCAATGTTTATATCCATTTAGTTCTATGCAGACTAAGCTGTGCTGGATTGTATTGTATTGTATTGTTCTATTTTGTTTAAAAAGACAATAAATTATTATTTAAAAAAAAAAAAAAAAAAAAAAAAAGCTCAATTTAAAGGTGCATGTAAGTTTTTGGTTGGGGTCCATTACCTTCCTGTTTCTATGGATATGTCATTGCTTTGCCTGGAATGTTCCACAGTATCAAATTAAACAGCTTTAACTTTTTTTTTTTTTTTTTTTAATTATTATTATTACAGGTGATTTTATAGCTCAAAATAGCTAACAGGCATTCTGACAGTGAGTGGGGTCCCCTCTCCACAGACCTGACCTGTAACTTGGCCTGATATGGTCTCCCTGATGATAGAAAGGTTTAATACCATACTGTGAAAGATTCCAGACAAAGCAGTAATATTTCTATGGAGAAAAGCATTTGACAGACCTTCCATCAGAAAAGTTACACAATGCACCTTTAGAGTCTAAGTTGAGTAACAGAGCTTCAGACAGAGCAGTGCCTACAGCTAGTGTTACACTCCCAGGGAATGTGGATGACATCACATGCAAAATATCAATATACTTATGTGCAGTGTGCCTCCCTCACCGCGCAGGTCATTTCTGGCAGTAGAGGGCACTCTTGGGCTCTCATTGGGGCGGCTGTTGTTCCGTGATGCAGATCGTTCTCTGGGACCCTCAGACTTCACCTCAATCATCAGAGGGACCCATTTCTGCTTGTTACCTAGCAACAAACACAAAAACCATAACACATTTTAAAGTGTATGCAACAGGTTTTCTTGTTTTTCTAAGGATGACTTGGTTTGACCTGCGCTAAATATTGAACATCCGTTTTACATCAGTTAAGTGTCAGTTTGTGGAAATATAAAAGTACAAATACACAGGAAGTAGCGCTGAGTTCTAAATAGTATTGTCATGACACTCAAATTTAAGACTCAATTTCAATATGAACATTTGACACAAAAAGGTACAAAGTTTCTTTTCTGTCAGTATAAATAAACAAAACTGAAAAGTTTTATTTATTTATTTATTTATTTTTTACAATAGCTTCAGAAAATGGTGCCATTATTCAACCCCAAAGACATAAGATTAATATGACAAGTCTGTGGAGCCAATCCTGAAAAAATAAGGTTCAAAATTTGTGAGTTACAAGCTCGATGGAAATTCTCCCATCTAGTTCCATTCATATCTGCTTACTGTGGGCTGATAGGACTGCTGCAGTATCATTATCCTCCAGTAGGGGGCACCACTGTCCATAGTTTTACAGTTGTGGTCAGCAAGTGTAAAACAGGAAATGAGTGGGGGTTTTTTTATTTCTTTTTAATGAAAACTGCTTTCAGTATGTGCCGACAGACCAAAGAAAAAGGAATAAACAGGAACAGTACAAAAATACAACTGATGACATTTTAAAATTGTAATCTTATTTAATGGGCCTATATTACCCTATTTTCTGATCTATGCTGTTTCATCATCAAAACAACCAGGAGTTATGTTTCATTCACACACGTTTATCAGACAAACCCTGCATATTTAGAGAGTTCTTCTCTCAAACGGAAAGCACTGTGTTCCACATTGTGATGTCATGCAGTACAGGAATTGCGTTTTTAAACTCCATACACCTTCACTGGAATCATTTGCATTATTTCTGCCCTGAAATTGCCCGTACCTACTGAGCTAAAGACAAAAGGTAGCTATTAAATTGAAAACTATCACTACATGATGTCACAAGGTGGAACAAAGCCTTTTGAGCCTTGGAGATGTAGACAGACCTTTCTTCTTGGGCCCATTCCTCTGGCCATCCTCATCAGGGTTCTTGTCTTCTCCAGAGTCGTCAGATTTGGACTTGAGGTTTTCTTTGCTCTCCTCAATGCTCTCACGCTTCTCCTTCAACTCCTTCTTCTGTGATGATCGTTTTGGAGGCTGCACAAAAAAATAAATATATGAAAATCATCATATTTTAAATAAATCCAGAAGCATTAACATTTGAGAGAAGGCTTATGTCTGAACTGCAGAACTGATCCAAGAAACCCATGCATTTCGGAACATGTTTGTGGAGGTCTAAACTACAGGGTTAGCAGCTTTTACACAGAATAAGACCCCATTGCTAATACAGGGAGGGCATCTGGCACACAGGGACAGGGACAATTCATTGTTTACAATTTACAATGTCACTTTTGTACAGTTGGGAGTATTCGGTTTTCTTTCACGTCTGCCTGTTTACATCTGAAATTAAAGCTTTTTTTTTTTTTTGGTTGTGTTTACTGCACTGAAAAACTGGTGTTACTGTGTACAAGCTTGCATCTCCACAAACCTGACACTTACTTTGCCTCAAGGAGGGTTATTCTTTTGGCTATACAGTATGGCATAAAACTTATCTATATCCATGGAGAATGTTCCACAGTATGGTTTAAACTTATTTCTCCAAGGAATTATGTAGGTGACATTCTACCTTGAGGAAGTTACATACTGTAGCATTAACATAATCATATTTAAAAAGTGATTTGATGAAGCTAAATAAGTGTAAGCTATTCTAATGACAGTATGGTTTTAATAGTGAGTGTAGAGCATAGTGGGCTTGTCCCTGTGTTATCAGCTCTCACACACTGATAAAAGTCCTGCCCAACACAACTCAGCCAAAACCTTCACCAACTTTCACTCAAAACAAACCATAAAAAACACACAACCAGTCAAAGCGTCAGACACACTTTTTCATTAATGTCTCTTTTTATTTCCATGATTATTTGCATTGTAGATTCTCACTTAAGACATCAAAACTATGAATGACAAATAACAAACTTAAATTTAGCCTTTCAAATAGCCTTTGCTTTGTTGACTGCTTTGCACTAGGGCCCAACCGATATGATACTGATAAAATAGGAGTTGGAGCTGCCAATAGCCGATATAATCGCCGATATATTTAGTGATGTAAAAATTCACTGTAAATCTTGAACTGTTAAAAAAAACTTAGGTTTGGCTCTAGTGTATTTTAAATTGGGTTTATTTAGGCAACATTTATTATTATTCTGCCTCTTTACATCATATTTACAGACAGTAGGTCAGCCTAATGGCATTTTTGCATCACATTCTAGCTACTAGAGATGGGTATTCCAGTTCTTTTTAGAGAACAGGCTCTTTTTGGCTCGGCTCACTAAAAGCAGCTGGCTCTTTCGGCTCCCAAGCGGCTCTTGAGATTGTTTTGTTGCAAGCAGGACTAAAGCAGGTTTAAAGCAACACTAAACCAAAACTGAACCAGGACTGAGTGTCGGGACTCGGTCTCTATCTCTCTCCGTCTCTCGAGCTCAAGATTAGTTCTGGTTTATTTATTTTATGCTGAACTACAGCCAAACATGCACATTTTTCTATCCTATGCACACGCACGTTTCTGAAAGTTTCACTTTGAGCCGCTGCTGCTGTTAAACTACCACGAGTTTACACGCGACATGAACAGAAAAAAGTGAGATAGAGAAAACACGGCTCCCAATAAGGAGCAGGCTCAAGTCGTTCACTTCAAAGAGCCGGCTCTACGAGTCACTTCGTTCGCGACCGACCCATCACTACTAGCTAGTAAAGAAATTACCGCTATTTAGCCTCTATTCACAGCTCATTTACATATCAATGCAGGTCCAGTAACTATAGTAAATATATGGCCAATATAGTCACTTTACAATAGACCAATAGAAAACAGTCTGTTTATGTGTGGGAGCTACAGCAGCTAATTGCTAACCAAAACTAGCTTCAAAGTCGACATATTTCCAACACTCCGTGCTCACACAGGCTCCTCCCACATCACAAGTCTGAATTAATAAATGTCCTTTTAATCCAGACTCAAACCGATTGTCTGTAAAAAGAATATAATCTCAGTGTTGGATCTATGTCTGTGGGTGTAAACAAACACACGTGAGGTAAGTGACGTGACTGGGGGTGTGTTCAGGGACAGTACGGACACACACTCAGACAAATGACTCCGCAGATAAATACTGATGCAGAGCCACATATTAGGACATTTATCTGCCTGTAAATTGGATTAAATGAACATAAGAGAGTCTAAGATTTATAACGAGGTATAACATGCCCACGTGAAATATCGGCCCATATCAGCAAACATATCGGCCGATCACTGATATGTTTCCAGTTGCCCATATCGATAACTGATATATCGGTTGGCTGATATATCGGTCGGGCTCTACTTTGCACCCACAGTAATTCTTGACCATGACAAGGCACAGCTGTAAAGTGAAAACCATTTCACGAGAATTCATGAAGCAAAAACTTTGAATGAAAGCATGTGTCCTTACTTTTGACTGGTTGTGTAGACAAACTGCAATTTCATTGACATTTATAGCAGATTAGACTTAAGTTTAAATAGGATTCAGTTCATGGTTCTTGTGTGATTAAAGCGCCTATGACAGGTTGGACGAATCATCACAATTAAGTGAACAATCCCTCAGTCGTCGAGGTAGAATCCGTGGTAAGGACAAACTGAATTTCTCCTTTGCCTGCCACAATTAAGATCATTATATTTAAGATTGTAAATATAGGGTCACATTTGTCTCATTAATATTCACAAATACACAGATGATGATCAACAAATAGTCATTGGTTTGTACTAGGGATGGGCATTCAATAAAATTTTCTTAATCGATCGTCGGGAGAATTAATGATTGATTATCAATTAATCATTAACGTTTTTATATTAAAATGATCATCATTATTATTACAATCTGCACTACTACTCTGCATAAATAAATTCAACTTTACGACATATAAACCGTAACCACTCTAGAGCCACATCAGCCCGTTTGACATTATAATGTGTTTAATTAAGTTTTGTTCAACTCTCACAGAAACGAAACTTAAAACCACATCGTTAATTTGCATAAACTAAGCGAAGAAAAAAAACAGCTCTTGTGTTGCTGATAAAAGACATGACTCAGTGGAATACAGGTTAGTGTGACCATATTTGTGCTTGTCAAATCCAGGACACCATACGGTGGGAGGTGGGGACTCGTCATCGACTTTGCACTACTCTCACCTGGCAACGCTTTTTCCCACTGGACACCAAAACACATGCGCTGCTTTGTACACTCTGCACATGGTCTCCCACTTGTCCCGACCGGAACGGAAAGCGTGGAATTTCTGGTACAAGTCATAGTTAAATACGCATTTGCGCTTCAGCATGTTGCAGACTGTCTGACTGTGTCTGCTCGCTCCTTCTGAGTGCTCAGAACTACATGTCCGGACCCGTTTGTCCCCGGACACGTACGTTTGGTCACACTACGCACAGCAACCTACATTCGGTTTGTCGATTAAAATGAACGTAATCGATGAAATTCTTAATGATCAATTATCAATTAAGCGACTAATCATGCCCTAGTTTGTACATGTGTTTTGATATCCACAAATGCATATTTAATATTTGTAACTTGTATTTTGTTGTTTACAAATGTGTATTTGTAAATATATCTCTTTTCACTTGCAAAAAATTATTTCATTTGTAAAACTAAAAATTCTATTTGTAAAATGTGATTCACATTTGTGGGTCACCAGTTCCAAGAATCCACCGATTACCGGTATGACGTCATTTTGAGACACTAAAACAGGACTAAACCAGAACCAACTGTCTGAACGACCCGGAGTTGTGCCCACGCAGACCGTCTGGTGACCGTGGGTGACGTCATAGCGGAAATTGGTGGATTCATGTAACTGGTGATCCACAAATGCGAATCACATTTGACAAATAGAATTTTTAGTTTAGAAATGAAGTTATTTTTTTGCAAATGAAAAGAGATATTTACAAATAAACATCTATTTGTAAATACCAAAATACAAGTTACAAAAATATTAAATTCGCATTTGTGGATATCAAAACACATATACAAACCAATGACTATTTGTAGATCACCATATGTGTATTTGTGAATATTAATGAGACAAATGTAACCCCAACAGTTTATAACAGTTTTCAGTCTTTATGTTAATTATTCTGGATGTTTAAAATGTGAACTCTGAAAATAATCAAATTTTCAAAACACAAAAATCACAAATATAATTATGATTGCAATGCTTTAGACAGAATATAACAGGGCATTTCGCAGCAGAAATTTAATTGAAAGCCATGGCTGTCAGTCTGATTTGCTAACTCTGATAATTCCCATTTAAATTTTGATTAAATTGTTTTTAATCTTGTAGTCCTACCATACATCGAGGCAAATGAAAAAAATCATGGTCAATTTAGCATGCAGCAAACATGTGACAAAGATTTGACATGAGTGAGACGTGATGCAGGGCTTAGGAATGTTAACAGGAGATGTAAATGGAGCGACACTGCTGGATATTTTTGCCAATGACCAATTTAGAGTTTGAACTGAAATTCTCTCAATTTTATCCTCAAAATATAATGTTTGTGAAATTTAAATGCATCTCATGTGTAAGCTAATGCCAGCTGTTACCATTACCTGAAATGTCAAACAATACAAAATGTGAATATTGTGTATATCGCCTATAATAGAAAAACATTTTAAAATCCTGAAGTAGTAGTAGGTAGTGGTAGTAGTAGGTAGTAATAGTAATAGTAATCAGTAAGTAGTAGTAATAATTAGTAGGTTGTAGTAGCAGTAGTTGTAGTATTAGCAGTAGGTGTAATAGAAGTAGTAGTAGTGTTGGCAAGTAGTAGTAGCGGCAGCAAGTAGTAGTAGTAGTAGCAAGTAGTAGTAGTAGTAGTAGTAGCAAGTAGTATTAGTAGTAGTAAGTAGTAGGTTGCAGTAGTAATTAGTAGTTTGTAGTAGTATTTAGTAGGTGGTGATAGTAGTAATAGTAGTAGTAGTAGCAAGTAGAGGTGGTAGTAGTAGTAGTAGGTAGTTGTAGTTGTAGTAGGAGTAGTAGTAGTAGTAGAAGGTAGTAGTTAGTAGTAGATGACTGCACTGCATGTTAAAGTCCATTCATTTTTTGTGTATCTAATTTGGATACTAGTTTTAGTACATATCTACTGACATATGTATACCAGTATAACAGAGGGCAGTTTACATGTAGGATATAGAGCTCTCGCTGTTTGTGAGATACTTGTGCTTTTGCAGATCATGTGTTCTGCCATTCGTCGTGTCCGCGTGTTTACCATTAGAATTTCACTATCATTTCACTATAGTAACAGTCTGGAACATTTTTGCTGCAGATTTGAAATTTGAACTTACAGCTGCTCTCCACGAGTCTCTGACCTGCCTGACAGAGGACGGGCTCGACACTGCCACCATCTGAACAAAGGAGGAACAGCAGTTTAGACAACACCACAATGAGATGGACAGACTAGAGTGGACACAACAACATGAAGAGAGGAGAGAGAGACTGAAGGTGAGGACAGAAAATATATTACAATTTATGGTTTAATAGTACAATTAAGCTCAGGTTTAAAAGCCCTCTTGAAGCCCTTAATCTAAGAATCTTAAGAATGCATTTCCCCACGCATTTCAGAACATGTTTGTAGAGGTCTAAACCACAGGAATAGCAGCTTTTACACAGAATTAGTAGTAGAATTTTGAACCTATTACCCCCAGTTCATGGGTGAAGGCTCAACCCACTGCTGCTGTTCTTCACATTTAACATTTTATAGTAACTTAAGATCATATGGATTTGAACAAAATGTATTATTACAAATTATATAAGCAGCTCTTGAGATTAAAATATGTCTGCTGTGCAATTCTCTGCATCCAAGTGTTTTATTGTTTGATATTCAGGAAGTGTGGGTTAGCATGCTAGTTGCTGTTAGTGTTACTGTCATGATTAAAAACTCCTCTCTGGGACTTGTGTAAAGTGCTTATAAACACATCTTGGTGAATAATTAGGATGGTCTGAATGCATAAGGTAAGTGAGGAACTTTGGACCACACTGTTTAAAACAAACTAGTGCAGTTTTTCCTCCTTTTAAGACTGTAAAAATCAGGTAGAGCACTTTTACATTTGGGCCCATACTCTTCTTTCCCTTAATTTGCTATTAATAGTTTTAAGTGTTACATAATGGCTCCTCTATTTATAGGTGCAGACACGTCAACATAAAAAATGCAATTATTCACATATAACTCATATAATTCATACATATAACACTCTCACTCCGATTTCTAACAACAACTAGCATGCTAAGGTACACATCCTGATTAATGGACAATATAGCACTTTATAACTAGATGCAGATGGCACACAGTACTTACTCTGACCTTAAGAGCTTAAGAACTACTTATTATGAATGAGCAAGAGATAAAAATTGTGAAAACCAAAAAAATGCAGTGCTCTATAGTTCACACATACCCCCATCTCCCTCATTGCTACGTGACAGTGGCCCTGGTCTATAAATACCTCCAGCTCTGCTCTAGGATCCAGGGGAGCATTTATCTACGGGGATCCCTAAAAGGACATCCCTCCCCAGGCTTGGCCCACTTCTTGTGCCCCCCCTCCACCTGGAGCCCGGATCTATTCCTGTGCCCATGACGTGACACACATTTCAGGCTAAACTCAGGAGGTGACAGGGGTCAGGTTCAGAGGTGGCTGTGGGTTAACCTTTAAGATAAATGCTATGTGCAAGCAGAGGTGGTAGTATATTAGTATGGTGGGTAGTATATTATATTATATTATATATATGAATCGAAAATGACTTTAAAGAGGGGGTATTATGCAAAAGTGACTTCCTGGAGCTTTCTACCATGTTATAATGTTCCCTCACCAAAAATAAACCTTAAGTGTATGGGGTGTGTATCAGTACGATTCTGTCCAATGCTCAGCCCGCAAACCTGAATTACCCATGCTCCCACATGATAATATGCAATAAATACACAAAAGCATGATACAGAACCATACATTACACATTCACTGTACATCATATCAGGTTTGTGGTTTCATAGCAGGATGCACACTGACAGGTGAGTGACTTAGAGAGAGTACCGTTACACTGTGCAACATATTACTCAAATGGCAGTAAAAGTATGGAGTCTGAAAACTATCTTGAAGTTTAACTGTATTAAAAAGGTATTCTCAAGTGAAAGTACTTAAGGAAATAGTGAAATAGACTTTTGTGCCAACCCTACTACTTGGTAATTGAAAACATTGACACAGCAGCACACTTTTTGAAATAGCAGAGTTGAGGGGGGCAGGGCACGGAGATGAAGGGGGTGGGGCTGTAATGTGACACAAATGAAATGTAAACGCAGCAGACTAACAACTGTGTAGATGAAGGTTGCCAGATTCAGAGAAACAAGTAACTAAGACTTTGAAAAAACTTTCCCGACAAGCATCACCAAAATAAGCCCAAAAAAGAAGCCACTAGTTAAACGCTGACCATTAACGCTGACCACAATTTACAAGCACAGTGTACACACAGGAGTTGCTTTTATTATTAACAGTGCGGACAATCTACACCAGCCACGTCATGTGCGTCCAAGAGGCATCATTACGCAACATGACACTCTAATTAGGCTGGGGTTCTAATTTTTCAGCATCACCAGAGAGAAGACAGGAAATAAGTACGTGGTATGAAAATAAAATGTCCGATACCCTTTCAAAATATGGTCTCCAAAAGTACTATTACTCCTACTCCAGGAGCTCGGGGAATGACTCATGATGGACTACGGAAAGTTTACACCCGCGAATATAAAACACATTGTGAGTTTCACACTCACGATGTGAAACAGCAACTCTACAAGAACAACAACTTCTGAAGGGAACGGAGCGTGGGGTGATGAAAGCAAAACTTGGACTAATCCCGCGAAATGCGGAAGTACAGTCCCTGACAAAAGTCTTGTCGCTTATCCATTTTGTAGAAACAAAAGCTTATAACCTGACTTTAAATTAATCAACTGGCTTTAGAAATGTCTCATATGAAAGCTAAAACCCTCCCAAATTATGCTCAATAAACTAAAATAAATTTGCTTCATTGAAGAAAGATTGATCATTCAATGAACACAGAAAGGTCAGATTTTGGCAAGACAAAAGTCTTGTCGCCTTGTCATATGATGCACCCAATCCTAGATTACAGCCTCACCTGTGATCAGTTACTGATCAATCAATTAGTGGGTGTGTATAAAAAGAACCCCAGCACACCAGACCTTCACATCAACTGCAACTTGCCGGGTTCCCCAGAGGAACAGAGGTACCACGTATATCGCGCTGACCCTGTCTGGGTCTACAGGATGTCTTCTGGGTCCGGACTCGGACAGCGGTCCACCAGTTAGTGACTCTGATGCAGTGCCACGGCCCTTGCGGCCCACTGGTGCAAAACTGAAAGTTTTTTGCGGCCCTCTAGGTGGCCCAAACTTGGGCCGTGGCCAATGGTTAAGAATCACTGCCCTAGGTGATCACGCAATGTAGAGACCACTGGGACTTCCAGGTGCCACAGGGGGGGCGCCAGTGGCAAAAACTGCCATTGTGTCCTTAGGCAAAACACTTCACCCACATTGCATAGTATGAAAGTGGTGTGTGCATGAATGATGGTGGTGGTCAGAGGGGCTGATGACTTGCAGCCTTGTTTCCTTCAGTCTGCCCCAGGGCAGCTGTAGCTACAATGGTATCTTAGGCACCACTGTCTCGTGGTAAGTGGAGTGTTGAGTGAATGAATAATGAACTTTAAAGTGCTTTGGGTATCTTGAAAGGTGCTATATAAATGCAATGATTAATTAAATTAATTAATTAATTAATAATTTATCACGTAGGATAATGCCAGAAATATGCTCAGAAAGCCACAACTCTCAGCTTTTCAATGAAAAAAATTTAATTTCAATCTTTTGGTTACGTGAGGTTAAATTAAAAATATTCCTAGGTATCCTATACTGTACTGGCACTCTGGGAGGGTTTGATAAGCCATGTTATAATGTTGTTACCTCCTCAAAAACATACCTGGAGATGTGTTTCGTTTCTTTCATTATTAGTCTGCATTATTAGTCTGTTTATATGTCAAAGCTCACAATTCTCTGCTTCACCTTGTGATGTCATAACAGTTCTTTTTATTTTTAGTTCAGAGATTGGCAATTCTGGAACTAAAATTAACCAGATATTCTTGTGAAGGTGTAAAGTTTAAAAACACAGTGGAGCACGTCCTATATTACCACATGACATCACAAGGTGGAACAGAGTGTTTTCTGTTTGAGAAAAGAAGTCAGCCTAAATATACAGGATCTGTGTGACAAAACAACTCCAGGTCTGTTTGTGATGAGGAAACTACATTATAACGGGGACCGACCGCTCAGATTTGGATTTTGTTGTGGCCGATATGATACCGATAAAATGGGAGTTGGAGCTGCTGATAGCCGATATAATCGCCGATATATCTTGTGATGTAAAAATTCACTGTAGGTTTGGCTCGAGTGGATTTTAAATTGGGTTTATTTCGGCAACATTTATTGTTCTTCTGTCTCTTTACCTCATATTTACAGACAGTAGGTCGGTCTAATGGCATTTTTGCATCACATTCTAGCTACTAGTGATGGGTATTCCAGCTCCCAAGCGACAGGTTGTTGCGTTGCAAGCAGGGCTAAACCAGAACTGAACCAGGTCTAAACCAGGACTGAAAAAGGACTAAACTAGAATTGAACCAGGACTGAGTTTCGGGACTCTGGAGCTACAGCAGCTAATCGCTAACCAATGAGAAAGAAGCAAAACTAGCTTAAGAGTCGACATATTTCCAACACTCAGCGCTCACACAGGCTCCTCCTCACGTCACAAGTTTGCACTAATAAATGTCCTTTTAATCCAGACTCAAACCGATGGTCTGTAAAAAGAATATAATCTAAGTGTTGCACACATGGATCTGTGTCTGCGGGTGTAAACAAAAGCACGTGAGAGATGTGACTCTGGGGGTGTGTTCAGGGACAGTATGGACACACACAGACAAATATTAGGACATTTATCTGTCTGTAAATTGGATTAAATGAACATAATGTATAGTCTAAACTTTATAACGAGGTATAACATGCCCACATGAATTATCTGCAAGATTTTCGGCAATATCGGCTGATCGCCGATATGGGTCCAGTTGCACATATCGGCCAATAATACCGGCCAACCGATATATCAGTTGGGCCATAACAGGGATCGTAATCAGCATAATATGGGACCTTTAATCCATGGAACATTATGTAAAAATGCTTGAAAATTAAAAAAGGTTGTCCCCATTTTCTTCCAAATCGTACTATAGAGGATTTGCACCGTCACGTGACCCCGTAGCAATGGTAACTACGCCGCCATGACACCGGGCACGCTATGCCATTCACTTAAGTAACATCGGAGCAGGTTTTATTGTGTGTTTGGCTGTTCTAGTTGCTCTGAAAGGGATGAAATGATTCGTTTTTTCAATGTTCCTCTGGAAATTACTCATCAGGGATCACAAACAAGGGAATTATCGAAAAAAAGACGGGAATTATGGCTAGCAAACATAAACCGCGAAGAGATTTCTAATGGTACTATCAAGTCACCCGAAGTTTGCTTGCGTCACTTTCATCAAGGTATTTGCTATTTAAATTGTTTCATAGCTTATTTAATGAAAGAACCACATTTATTGAACTAAAATTTCATTCATTTATCCAGGAAAACCCGCACCAGTCTATGATCCAGCGACCCCAGATTGGGCTCCTACTATCAATATGGGGCACGAGTCGAAGAGTCTGTGACCCGAACTGCGAAACAATCGGCCGTGAAAAGATACTCGCGAACGTTAGAGAGATCTGCTCGTAAAAAGCGATTAATTGTAGAAGACTTAGTTGTGGATAAGCAAGGCAACAAAGAAAACATCGGTCCTACGGCGAGTGACATGTTTATATGCGAGTTGGAAGATACGGTTTCTACTGCTACTCAGACTCCAAATGTGACGATGATTTTGACAGAAACACAAACAGAACTCTCTCTCAGTTCTCAGTTTTGTCAGAGTTCACGATAAGGAACTTCTGCCACAGATGTCGGCATCAACCACTTATAAGGGACTGAAGTGCACGATTTAGATTGTTTTATTCGTACTCCTGCTTCAACAGCAAACAGAATCACTTCTACATGAGAACATGTTCCTCCTAAGCCTGCCATACAATTGCAGTGGGCTGTTATTATCGTCCCTTCATTAGTTGCTGCGATCCAGGGCTTCAGAGGTGTCTCATTCAGTCGCTGAGAGTGGTTAACCTGCGCGAAAATAACATTAGATATTTTTTTTCGCGTGACATTACTGGTAGCTTTTCCTACATAAACATATCTGACCCACCCAGCAACAAAATACTGGTACACCTCTAGGCTTTTATAAGCCTTGATTTGCTCTTTGGTGTACCTACTAGTCGCAAATATCAAGTAGTTTGATATATCCGGAAATTCTTCTTCTGGCCATAATTCTGTCGAATCGGAGTAGAAACTAGTGGTCACATTATAAGGATCGATATTAGAGATTAATTTGAGCTTTTCCAAGTAGTTTTTCCGTTCATCTGAGGCTAGCGAGTCGAGATATTTCGGGAGAGATGGAACACGCTCGCTCTGTTTAGCAGCCATGCTTGATCTTGCGTGCCTGGTGTCATGGCGGCGTAGTTACCGTTGCTATGGGGTCACGTGACGATGCAAAGCCTCTATAGATGCCATTTTTCCTTTGGTTCCTGGTTGTGGAATAGAAAACCAATCGTCTCTGGTACACAGAATGAATGTTTCTGAATGTGTGCTTTAGCTCCTATGTAATTATAGCCACTAAAACATCCATTAACTTCTGTGCTATTCTGAAGACCATAGAGCTGTCAGTCAAACTCAATGCCCAATCAAATCAGAGATGATGTGAGATGCCTCCTGATTGGTCCGTTTAGCTTTAATCCAGGTAGTAAAAACACACGTTTTATATTATAATAATTATGCTGTTTAATTGAAGCCTTATGAACTTCCCACTGGATAAGTTTACATTTAAACCTCAAAAGTTGGTAATATTTGTGATTTATTTTAGCATAATATGATGGAAGTAAGAGGGTTTTACTCAACTTGATAAAAACAAAGGTTAACCAATAGAATTCTAGTTATTTCAATTAATAAAAGGAAAAAGCATTTACCTGAGTGTCTTTAGTTGCGATTTCTCCAGGGGTCGGCCAGCTGTTTGTGTCACCAAAATCTCCAACCTGGCAACAAATTATGGGGGAAAAAAATGACATAAATTTGTCAAAAGCCCAAAAATCAAACTACTTTCTACATTGTACAAAAAGACTATAGACTGGTGTACCAGATTTTTTCTTGTAAGACATTCTTTTTTTTTGTCTTTTTTTTTTTTTAAATGACACATGCAGGGGTAGTCCTGGGGGGAGGGGGTTGATTCTTGGACAGTGCGGGGCCTTTCTGTGTGGAGTTTGCATGTTCTCCCTATGCCTGTGCAGGTTTCCTCCAGGTGCTCTGGTTTCCCCTCCTACTAAAAACATGGCCAATAGTGTTCCATGTCAGGCCAGGACTCCGCGGAAAAAGAGATTCTTAATCTCAGTGGGATAGCAGTAGGGATGTAACTAGATACGATATATTTTCACGATATACCTCTCACGATACGATATTTATTGTGATATTTTCTGGAGGCTAACAAAACTGTTAATATGCCACTTCTTCCTCTTAAAATGCCTTGACAAGACTTAATCCAAATAACTAAGATTTAAAAGTGCTTATAAACAGTTATTTCTTCATCTAGTCTGCACTGAAATGGAACAAAGGATCACTGTCTACGTAGTTCCCTCTTCTTTTTTTTTTAGCTATTGCTGCACCATAACTATTAATTTAAGAGAAGACACTTGTAATTTGATATATCATGATGGTCCACAATATTATTGTGAGACTTTTGATGAAACAATATCACAATATTTCAATTACTGCTGAAGTTCTTTAGTTAAAGGTTGTATGGAGGATTTTTTGTTTTGTTTTTTTTGTTTCAAGTTGTCAATGATAGCATTATAGAGGTGCAGTAGCCTTGTAATTATGATGACCAAAAAAAAGAGAATAAAAATTCATCAACTCTGGACGTGGTGGGGCCAGCTAAACATTTGCCAATAGATAACGACATTGCCTCGTTATCTGTTAGCTGACAGGCTGTCAATCAATCTCCCTACGTTTCTAGCGTAACTGACTTGCCTGCGCGCCGCCGGTACGTGGTTTACGTACGCCTGTCACGCAGTCCACAGACGCAAGCCGCACAGACGCTGTTTACTCCACCAACGCAACAGTTCTTAGCGGCTTTTTTTAACCTATATCTTCCTCGCAGTTAGCACAAAGTTTGTTGCAATGGCAAACAAGAATCCAGGAGCAGTTAGCCGCAAAAGAAAGTCCGTTTTTGAGGTCGCTGAAAGAAGAAGACAAGGGGAAAAGCAGCGAAGCCAAACTAAGGTGATTCTTGAAGATTCATTCCAGCGATGGCGCAACTGAAGCAGACGCAGGGTCTAAAGACTGATGCACTGGTCGCCAAATTACTCCTGGACAGGTAACTTCTGCTTATTATGAAAACGTACTTTATTTCCAAGAGCTAGTCAAACGTTTTTCAGGACACGAAAGCGATATCCTATGTCTGAAAACGTAATTTTCAAGGCAAAGAAAGAGTCCGCTTGCTGCTGCGTGTTGTAGCTAGTTCATTCGCACTGAATCTCCGCGCACTCTTCTCTGCTCCCCTTTCCTGCTCCTGTCCCCGCTGCCCGTTCCGCTCTTCCCCCTGCTCCTCACTTCTCCGGGCACGGAATCTCCGCGCACCGCTCCCCTCTCCTCTCTCCTCTCTCCCTGCTCCGCTCTTCTCCCTGCTCCTCACTTCTCGTCCGCGAACGAAATGTCCGCACACCCGCTCCCCCCGCTCCTCACTTCTCCGCCTTGCCTAACCAACACTGTAGTTAGTTGTTTACAAGTCATGTGCAGCTCACCGGCTGTAAACAAACCTGTTTCTGGCGTAAAGAGGAGGCGGGAGAAGGCATTTCTACGTAGGGAGCTGTAGGGGAGGGGGGGTGGTTTCACGCATGCGCAACATTTGAAAAAGGACAAACAGTCGCTGGATTTCTCGTTCCTTGGAAAATCCTCTATACAACCTTTAATCCACCCGGAATGATGGCAAGCACTGAATTAGTTTGCTTCACTTGTTTGACGGCATCTGCGAGATGGGCGAGCATGTAGGGTTACACGTTGCCATTCTGACATACCATCACTCCAACATTGACGTGTTATTGTCAGAGTAGCGGCATTTTCCATTTTTTTATCAAATCAATCTTTCTGTCCCAGTACGGCTCTAGTGCTGAATGCAGGTCGGTAGGCGCTGTTTGTTGGTAGGAGGAGCTCCTCCTATGCGGCCGCCTCTCGTGCTGTTAGAGCTTTACGCATGCTGCTCTGTTGGCACGAGAGGGGGCCGCATATGCCTGACCTCCCTGCAGGTGAGAGTGCGGTGCCAGGTTAACGAGTGCGTAAAGGTCTGCATCTTTTAAGTGCACACACCGCCTCTTTATAAACTTTTATGTGTTTGTAAGGGAACCACACATTTCTGTGTCCCTGTGTAAGCCGCTCTGTCCTCCATGATCAGGTAAAATTCCAATCCTTTAGTCCTTATTCATGAACATATCCAAATTCCTAAATCATTGATCCTTTTAATGGCGCTGTCTGACTGCGAGCCCGGCACCACTTCACTCTCACAACACGCTGAGCTTCACAGCGCATTCTCGTGCACCCTAGTCTTTAGCGACACATAATGAATGTCTACTGCTCCTGTCCATTCACAAAAATGTCCAAATTGTCTCACAATCCAGTTTTTCATAGTTTCTCTACTTGGCCGTATCATTGCACCTTGAGCCGAGTGTGTCACCGCGCGCCTCCATCTGCAGTGACAGGTAACGCCCCGTAACCTCATCATGAAAGTTCCAAATTTGTAGCCACACTGCTCGGCTGCATTCGCAGTCCCAGGGCCTTTACACACAGTGGTGCGCCTTCAACAACTGGATAAGATAAGAGCATTCTAAATATAACTCTGGCGCACGATCCCAGGGTTGACGGCTGGGAATCTACTTTACACAACTCAGTTTCTGGAGTTTGGGATGACGAGCGCAGAATGACTTGTCCGTCCTTGGCATATTGCCAACTATACAACCAGATTCATTGTTAGAGAAAGCATGTTTAAATTATATTTAGAATGCTTTTATCTAGGGGTGTCAAATTATCACGTTAATTGCGATTAATTAATTACAGTCATATTTAGCACATTATGTTTTTTAATCACATTAATCTCATTTTTAATCTCTAACTTTACTGTTTCTGTATGCGAGTTGCCTTATTATAAAATCTGTTTATGTGTTGTTGGGACAACAAGACAAAAAAACACAAAAAACACATTTATTTTTTTATTTCGGTAATTCCACTCATTGCCGGAAACCCACACAGAACGCGCGCAGTAAGAGCGATGTAAACCTCATGTTAATGTTGGCGATGTCAGGCACAATGGACGAGGTGGAAGAGCCAGTAGAACAGAGGCAGCAGTGCACAGGTAAATTTGTGTCTTGGAAATTCTTCTCCCGACGTGAGATAAAAGAAAATAACAAATATAAAATCGCCTACAAGTTAAATGTCAAACCGGAGCTACTGGTGAAAACAAACTGCATAAGCTCATGAAATCTGCACTACTGTCCTATAGTGACCTGCGATATGAGGGGACACGCATACAAACACACACAAACACATCTCCTTCCGTAGCTACTGCGCGTACACTAGAGCCCGACCGATATGGATTTTGTTGTAGCCGATATGAAACCGATATAATGTTAGTTGGAGCTGCCGATAGCCGATATAATCACCGATATATTTAGTGATGTAAAAATTCACTGTAAATCTTGAATTGATTAAAAAACTTAGGTTTGGCTCTAGTGGATTCTAAATTGGGTTTATTTAGGCAACATTTATTGTTCTTTTGACTCTTTACATCATATTTACATACAGTAGATTGGCCTAATGGCATTTTTGCATCACATTCTAGCTACTAGTGATGGGTATTCCAGTTTTTTTTTTTTTTTGGAGAACCGGCTCTTTTGGCTCGGCTCACTAAAGCAGCTGGCTCTTTCGGCTCCCAAGCGACTCTTGAGATTGTTTTGTTGCAAGCAGGACTAAACCAGAACTGAACCAGGACTGAGTGTCGGGACTCGGTTTCTATCTCTCTCCTGCACTCAAGCCCAAGATTAGTCCTGGTTTATTAATTTTATGCTGAACTGCAGCCAAATATGCAATTTTTTTTTATCCTATGCACACGCAGATTTCTGAAAGTTTCGTTTTCAGCCGCTGCTGCTGTCAAACTACGGGTCTACATGCGGCATGAAGAGAAAAAGCGAGAAAAAGAGAAAACACGGCTCCCAATAAGAAGCAGGCTCCTGTTGTTCGCTTCAAAGACCCGGCTCTAAGAGCCGCTTCGATCGTGACCGACCCATAACTCCTACCTAGTAAACTATCACTATTAGCCTTTAGCCGTAAATGCTGCGCACCGCGGTAGTTAATTATATGCATAAATGTGGATCATTCACACATCTATTCACAGCTCATTTACTCACACAGGCTCCTCCTCACATCACAAGTCTGCACTAATAAATGTCCTTTTAATCCAGACTCAAACCGATTGTCCGAAAAAGAATATAATCTCAATGTTGCGCACGGTTGCGGGTGTAAACAAACACACGCAAGTGAAATGACGTCACTCTGGTGGTGTGTTTAGGGACAGTACGGACACAGACAAATTACGCCGCAGATAAATACTCACGCGGAGCCACATATTAGGACATTTATCTGTCTGTAAATTGGATTAAATGAACATAATGTAGAGAGTCTAAGCTTTATAACGAGGTATAACATGCCCACGTGAAATATCGGCACATATCAGCAAGCATATCGGCCGATAGCCGATATGTCTCCAGGTGCCCATTTTGGCCGATAATATCGGCCAGCCGATATATCGGTCGGGCTCTAGCGTACACCGCCGTCCTCCCATGCCCCGCGTGTGGACCGTGTTTTCTCGCGTACACTGCGTAGACCGCGCTTCCTCCTGTGCGCCTCTAAACCAGAACTAACACCAAGACTAAAACCAGGACTAACCCAGTCCAGGGCTAAACCTGGACTAAAGTAGGATTAAAGAAGGTCCAAG